TTGAGCAATTAATCCTAACTCTTTGGCATTTATGCTAAATTATTGGGCATTAATACCCAAGTTAGGCATTTAATCCTAACTCTTAGGCATTTATGCTGAACTGTTGGGCATAAATGCCCAAGTTAGGCATTCAATCCTAACTCCTAGGCATTTATGCTTAACAGTTAGGCATAAATGCCCAAGTTAGGCATACAATCCTAACTGTTAGGCATTTATGCTTAACTGTTGGGCATAAATGCCCAAGTTAGGCATATATGCTTAACTTTTCAGCATTATACCCTTGTGGAAATTTTTTCTCTGAGAAAGTCTTACTTTCTCTGAAAAAGTCTGAATAATACTTATTAAGTCGGAAAAAGTCAGAATAAGACTTATTAAGTCGGAAAAAGTCTGAATAAGTCTTATTAAGTCAGACTAATAGCAAGATTTGGGAGTCTTCTGGAAGAGTTAATAAGACTTTTTAAGACTTAATAAGACTTTTAGTAGAGAAATGGTAGGTTCCTATGGCGATAAAAATAAATATCCGAAATAATTCATAGAGATTGTAAGTATTTGGTTATCGTAAAATAAAACACATAGACAAGTATTTATTAACATTTTTGCTGTTGTTATAAGCCAAGTTTATTGCATAATTACCTATATACTAACATAGGTAAGAATCTTACCGTAAGATGTAATAATTATAACAATTATAATTTTATACATACGATGCGCTTAACATGCTTTCATTGTTTCCAACATAGAAAAAGGAGTTAATATCAAGTCTATAGACATGATATTTTCGATAGACTTATAAGACAAATATGGTTGATCTTCGTGTTTCATTCATCTTTGTATCATGGTTGATCTTCGTGTTTACGAACAGTGTTGCCATAAAAGTTCCTGACCATAAATTACAAAATACTAAAATAATAATAAAAATGTAACAAGATAGAATAAAATAATTGTGCATATTTAGTAAATATACAATATTATTTACTGAAAATTTCTTTTGTTATTATTTTGATAGAAATTTGCAAATCACCCGCAAATATTATGAAAATACCCGATTTTCGAGTAAAATACTTGCAAACGGCAACACTGTGTCCCACTGACAGGTCAGCTGTGCTCTAATTGGTCAGCTAGCTAAGCTGGTCTCTCGATATTACGTCTTACGTCTATTGTTTGTGACAATGTTTAGATAGGTAAATATTTGCGTGTATCAAAAGAAACTATTAAAATAAAACGTACAGTGGCAAACCCTTTTTCTATTGTGGAAGCATGCATGTCAAGCGCATCGTATGTATAAAATTATAATTGTTATACCTAATTATTACATCTTACCTATGTTATTATATAGGTAATTATGCAATAAACTTGGCTTATAACAACAGCAAAAATGTTAATAAATACTTTTCTATGTGTTTTATTTTACGATAACCAAATACAACCTCTATGAATTATTTCGGATATTTATTTTTATCTCCGTAGGTACCTACCATTTCTCTACTAAAAGTCTTATTAAGTCTTAAAAAGTCTTATTAACTCTTCCAGAAGACTCCCAAATCTTGCTATTAGTCTGACTTAATAAGACTTATTCAGACTTTTTCCGACTTAATAAGTCTTATTCTGACTTTTTCCGACTTAATAAGTATTATTCAGACTTTTTCAGAGAAAGTAAGACTTTCTCAGAGAAAAAATTTCCACAAGGGTAATTCCTAATTTTTGGCATTTATGCCTAAGTTAGGCATTAATGCCCAAAATGTAGGCATTTTTTTCGCAAGGGATATGTCTATCTGTATTGTATATGTGGGTTTTTAAGGTTTTACCTTATTAACTTAAATCAATGATACTTTTCAAATACAAATGTTTTTATTTATATTATTAATGTACAGTAACAATAATTAACTCTTGTATTAGTTGCCTTTATTAATAAACTTATTTTAATTTAATACTTTTTCTTTGCTTTTTAAATATCTTTTCAATTGCTCAAGTACTTACGTATCCAGAACCGTATTCACAACAAAAAGGGGTCCTAACTTAATTTCTTTAAACTAGACGATCACGTGTTTTGGCCAAAGGTAGTTTTTCTGTGGTTTTAATATTCTTTTTAATTATTAATGTGTGCCCCCCATGCCCCGTTCGTTACACTACGTATACAAAAAATTGCAAAATTGATCAGTAGGTATACCGGGAAAAACAAAAAGTTTATTTTTTTTTAATGGATCACCTCATATATAAATTTATTTTCCGATTCCTTGTAAAATTCTAAACATAATTCATAAAACATACCATATATGGTAGTAGGTAGTTTGAAGTTGGTGGAACGCATTCAAAACAAAAAACTTTGGCGAGGTGTAGGTTCAATTTTTTCTTATGAATATTACCAGTGATGGGTCCAAGAAAGTTTCTTAAAGAAACTAAGAAAATTGAATGTTTACCTTAAAGTTTAGCCCGGTTGGGTTAATTCTAGATTCCTTTAGGCCATATTAGTATCTGTGATACAATTGCTGTGTGCAGTCCCGGTTGCATAGTATGTACCGATTGCGGCAAAGGCCACGTCGTTTGACGGTGTGGATCACCTGTTGTTCTTACATCTCGCCTCTGTTGACTTAACAACTGAGCATATAGGCTCACACAGCAAACGGAAAATTATAGAGGTGTATAGGATGACGCCACGTTTGAATATCGATTTCTAAATCTCCCTACGGTATAGAGTGGTATTCGTCAGTCGAGCGTTTCAATACTCTCCACAGTATAGAGGTCGTAATTTCACTTTTGAACTAGTTTTAATATAAAAATTATTTTATGCTTAAAAAAAACTATATACTCGTACGACATGATTGTGATTTTTTTCATTTTATTAATTAATTAAGCTGTGTTGAATATTTTTCCTAAAGGAATAATTGCCAATGGGCCATTAATTCATTTGTTCGTAGATGCTACAATAACCTGCACTGGTGTGTACTTTTTCATCAACCAGATTTAAATATTACAAAACTATACCAGTGGAGATAGTGCAGGGTCTACCAACAGACCTAATTACTAAATTATTAAAGTTTAATAGCATATCGATCATTTTTCAACATAACCTCTTAAATTTTTAATACAAATATAGGTACTTTATATAATACATAAATATACTTAACATCATATCCTCTGTGCTTTACATACCTGAGTTGTTACGGTAAATAAAAATCAGACAAAGGAACCAAAGAAAGGAACTATTTTCAACAAAATCATATGGAGAAATGAGAAAATTCATTCATCAAAAGATCAAAACTTCTTGCAATATTACACCCTCTTTTTATACTCTCAGAAATATTGACTAGAACAGTATTAGAGAGACTCCAGTTTCTATAACTTGGTAGAGTAAAGAGAAGTCGAAACCGTTGCGATATTGCATTGCGCTGTTTTTGTATAATTCTCGGGGACATTAACGAAAATCATTGCCAGTAAAATTCGAAAAGCTTGAGTTTCTATGTCTCTGAGGAGAATAGGAATCCGAAGTTGCTGCACCATTGGACTGAACCCTTTTTTAATAATTTCTAGAGACATATATGACTGCACCATTCGACAGGGTCGAGTTTCTACTCCTCTGTTGAATATAGAAAATCAAAATAATGTATCTTGTAAGACACCATTGAGTTTGACTTTAAATATAGTCGTGCATAGGTATAGAGCCGAAAAATATAAAAACAAAGCACGATTCAATACAGTTATGATAAAACTTTAAGATTTGATATTCAAACGCCGAGTCATCCTATACACTTCAATAATTTTTCGTTTACCTTAAAGTTTAGCCCGGTTGGGTTAATTCTAGATTCCTTTAGGCCATATTAGTATCTGTGATACAATTGCTGTGTGCAGTCCCGGTTGCATAGTATGTACCGATTGCGGCAAAGGCCACGTCGTTTGACGGTGTGGATCACCTGTTGTTCTTACATCTCGCCTCTGTTGACTTAACAACTGAGCATATAGGCTCAGGGAGTAATTTGTTTTGATTGTGTTCCACTACACCAACTTGCCCGACACTGATGAGACCCAATAAAGGTCGAAACAGCTGTCTGTCGGTATTTGAAGTTGGTGGAACGCATTCAAAACAAAAAACTTTGGCGAGGTGTAGGTTCAATTTTTTCTTATTTTTTTTAAGATATTAAACAGGAAAAAGAATCTGTGGTACCTATTAGAATTAAATTGGCACCCAGAGACTTAAATCTTTTATCTGGTACCTAACGAAACCGCTATCCCATCAGAAGCCAAACTTCCGTGACATATGGAATGCCTTAAAAAACGAATGGATACCCTTTTGTCCAAGGACATCAAAAACATGGCGATACCGAAGCTTGCTTGTGGAATACTTAGAAGTAGGTAGGTATACTGGAATTTATCTTCAGATTTAGTGGCATATACATTCTTGTTTGCTGCCCACTCTTAAGTTCGGAATGTCTGTAATGACTCATCGCTTGTTTATCGCAAATAATTCCCGATCGAGATGGAACTGCGTAGAACGTTTACATTTATTAATTGGGAATTTTCCAGCTATTATTTGTAAATATAAATGGAAATTTTGTTATTATTAGCTATTTTCGCGGAGCTAATCCCGAACTAATTCCGGACATCCTAGGCATGCGCTTTTTAAAATTTGGCGTTCAAATTGTAAAGTGCGCATTTTAATATAAATTAAAATGCGCATGCCTAGGATGTCCGAACTGGTTCGTGATTAGCACCGCGAAAACACCTATTAGGTATATACTACTTTTATTTAAAATCTTTTCAAGAAAAAAATAAAAGGATAACGTGTTCTAAATGAAACAGAAAATAGTACCTATACGAAATTAAATAAACTTTTTCCAGTTCTGATACTTTTGTATAACCCTTCCCACTAACTCCTTTAAAGAAGAGCGCATTTTTTTAGTAGCCCACAGGCGCTGAATATCTGGTAATAACTATTGTAATTTAGAAGACTGGATGCTTTCTATAATAAAACACAGTTTAAGTAATAAAAATTTATTTAAAAATAAGCTTTATAAAAACACACACAAAACAAAACTACTCCTTCTTGGGCTTATCATCATTATCTTTGGTACAACTAAACACCCCCTTAATCTTATTAATAACCTTCGTTTTCAATTTAACCAAAATGGTCTCGTTATTCTTAACCTTCAAACGCAACCTTTTCGTCGTAATATTATGCAAGGGCCCAAACGCCAGGGCCACCACAGTGCACGCCAAACAAATAACATTGTAGGGCATGCTGAAATCTGGGGTGGGCAATGTGATCACCATATTCTCAGTTCGGACCTGAACAAGATAACCGCTACGCGACGCGTTGAAACTGTCGGCGATTGTGCTGCCATCTTGGGGCAAACCGGTGAAGTTACGGGCTAGGGGCAGGTAACTAGATACGACGGCGGAACCTATGTAGAAACCGTGGTTCGCATCCGGGGGGTATTCTTGCCACTTGAGGAAAACGTAGTCGAAGTCTACGGAAATTGAGGTAATGGAGCGAGGGGGTAAGCTGACTAGGACTTCGACGTAGTAAGGTTTTAAGCGTTGTTTTCCGGGAATGTAGCGCAAAGCGAGAGGTTGTACTTCTTTATTGTCACTTATAACTTTTAGAGTGTGTAGATAAATGGGGACATACCATGGTATGTTTTGTAACACTACAACATCCAAAGAACTCCAGTGGTTGTTGTAAATTTTTGTAACAATCCCTCCTCGTTCCTGTCCGTAACCGGTAACGTATTGATTAGCGTGCAACAAGGGGGGAGCTTTGACAGATATCTTATCACCGGTTGACACGGAATGTATACTCATGAAATAGTTCTTAATGGTATACTTAGCGAATGTACTGACTTGCCCCCCGCGTATAGATGTCACCACCTCGTCCGGCTTCGGCTCCAAGTTAAAATCGTTACTAACCTTACTAGTAATATCTACATAAATCTCACTTTTATCAGCTAAATCACACCGACCATTCACAGCCTGTCCGAATAGCTTCTTTAAAGACCAATTTTTGGTCCCCATTATTGCATAATCATACACCAATGAAACTGTTTGCTGTAGTTCGAGCGACATATGTTGACATGCGTCTTCACGACAGACGGGGCGCAGATGCAGACCAATCGAGTGGTAACGCGTGTTGTGGATAAACCCGGAGTTAAGTAGGGAGGCCAAGCCTGATTTGGAGTCGCATGGTAGCAATTTTTTCCATGGTGTTATGTTCTCTGTGCAGACTATTTCGCGTGGCAACGTCGCATATCTGTAACAAATGAAGAGTTTAGATGTTATTTTAAAGTAAGAAAAAACATTGAAAAATAAAGGTACTAGGGTGTTTTTTTATTATCGAACCATATTTTTTTAAGTTTAGGGGCCCGTAGGCACTTTTGTAGATCATTTAATTTTTGTCAAAGTAACTTTTTAACGAAACGGTAGCATAAAATGCTACGTGTATTTTCATTGGAAAATCGTTCGACGCTAAGGGAAAGTACTTAATATTAATATTAAAAGCTGAAACTTACGGGGTATTATGTTGATTGTTACAACAAAATTTTGAGGCGGAAATGAAAAAAAAATGTTCGAAAATAAAAAAGCACCCTAATATTTTATTTTGTTTAACCCCCGCAAGGAATATGTAATTTCGTGGCACCGGTAAGAGTGGGCGAAATAAAGAAACTTCAACCTGTGAACGAAATGCAATTTCGCCCACGGACTGAAGCTAAGTTGATTAAAATATTGTATAAAATATTTTAATATACAGGGTGTTTCATATTCGTGGCCCATTAGAAGTTTATGTGAAACGAAAAACGATATGGATTTAAATCATTGCCCGACCGCATAATAGGGAAATAGTAATCCCAGAAATTTGCGCTTCATATAAGTCACACATTGCCGATACAACATCATGCTTCCCACCGCTGCACGGAGTCGCCGGCACACCCGCAGGGCGGGGATATTACGCGAATTTTTGTAGACATTGAGGCCCACAAAGTTGGGCTTGTACATTATTATTTTTAACAGTAACTTGTATGTTGCCAAATGCTCGCTTTGATTTTGAACAAGGACACTCATTATTTAAATGTTTCTTTTTTAAAAATATAAAAAAATAAGTAACAACAAAAAACAAATCAAGATTTCTATACTAAAATTATTGTAGTAAACTAATCTTTATTTATTGTTTGTTACTGGGTGTTACTTCTTTAATTATATGTCATCGAACAATGGATTATTATAATCCATTGTCCGATTTCATAGGTACCTATCTGAAAAGTTTTATTGTCTACTCCGACCGTAACCGTATAGTGTTCGTGCACCTCGTGCTGGTTGTTTTGTTTTGCGAAAGACCATATTTTTAAATAATATATTTTTTATTTAGAATCTGAAGTGCTCCGAAAACGCGTGACCTTGAAAATTTCAAAAAAAAATTGCCTGTGGCGCCATACAGCCGTTTATGGGCCTCACCTTCATCAATGGTCACGAGCCGCCACTGAGTGACATATAAAAACCATCGACAAGACAAACGTTTTAAAAATAACTCAACAAAGATGTAGGATGTCAACTAGATGAAGCACTAACGAATTGGAGAGAATACAATATAACAGTATATTATTATGTATACGTATACGAGAGATAATGCAGGCTATTATTCACGAGGATGAGGTTTGCGTCTCGAGTCGCCAAATCATCCTAGTGAATAATGCGCATAATCTTGACTCAAGATTCTTGAGTGTAATACTATGCTTTATAAACTCCAATAGTAGATACCTAATTAAATGATTTTCAAAAATAAATAAATAAAATCCGACATCTGTCAAATGGTTAACCTCACTTTTTACCAATTTTAATAGCTATTTACATACCATGGGAGGAAAATATTGCATTTCCTCCCGCGAATAGTTTGATGCCCGACGCGAAGCGAAGGGCATTAAATATTCAAGGGAGGAAATGCATTTTCCTCCTGAGGTATGTATATAGTTTTTTCTATTACCTTTTAACGGTTTTAAGACATTTTAAGCGTTCCGGTTCCTTTTACTTACCCGGTATGGGGCTATAAAATTATGACAAAATATTAAGTAGGTTTTGCGTCGCCGACGTTATGTTGACAACGCTTTGTTGCTATGGTATTTTTGGTAATACCAACATAACAGTTTTTATAAGCTGTCATAATGTTTATCATAAATTTAATAGTTGCAATTAATTTCCTTCCTTAAAAATCTAAAATAGTGAATATGAATATAGTTTGTTAAAAAAATGTTAAAAGAATGGTTGGACAAGCGCGGAGTAAATCTTTTTCCTACAAAATCAAATAAAGCTAGACAAGGTACAAAAACTCTTGCCAATATAAATTTAAAAAAAAAAGAGCTTGCTCGGGGGTGGAAAATTAAGTTTTCTAGTAAGGTAGTAGAAAAATATTATTATTGTCGCCTTCTCCCAATTTTAAACCCGATTGGTTTAAATATAAAATGCGAATATTGGTATTTCGCATTTCGCATCTATGAAACCTACTTAAAAGGCTGTTTTCTGGTCTCAAATTTGTACTTCCCCCAACAAGATCAAACATAAAAGAAAAAAATTAGAGGAACAATTATTTGTGAGAACTAACAGAATTTTTGGAGAAAAAGAAGAACAAGTTCAGTTTAATATTTTTGGATAACTTATTTGAAATATGAATTTTCCAGTTTTTTAATCACAAGATCAAAAGAAAAAGGTAAAGGTAGCCAGCCAATCGGAAATAAAAGTAAAGAAAAAGAGAATGAAAAGCCTAAAATTGAAGAACCTAATTTGAAAAAAAAAGAAGAGAAAAAGTAATTTAATACCATGCCAAAAAAAATGTTTCATTTTATAAGTAGGTAGTTATTTATACATGGTTAAAAAATTGGAACCGAAAAAAACCGTATGGTCCATACGGTATGGACCGAAAAGATTGGTCCAAACAGGACAGAAATATTTTTTTTGGAACCGTAACGAACCCGAACCGAAATTTGTCCTTTCTCTCGGAACCGGACAGAAACCTTTATTTCATTTGGGCCCGGGTCCCTGTTTTAAAGGTGGGAGTAGAAAAAATAAAATTGGATATACCAATTTGGGATTCCCAAATGTTGGAAAAAATCTGGCAACACTGTTTGTAGGATTTTAAATAAACTTTGAGCATTTATTTTTAAATCCCATGATTAATTTAAAACTACTTAATTAAAAGATATTTCGCAAAAATATTATCTTTGAAGTACATTTAAATCCAGATTTATTGATTGCTTATCACATAACCTTAAATTTTTTAGGTTAACATTTTCACAGCCAACTGATAAACATCGACATTTGCGACATTCTGCGAATAAAAACGATAAAAATGTTTGAGCCTCTACTCTCTCAGCTAAATGACATGAGAATTATACTGGCAAGCAGTTCAAAAGTACGACAAACAATACTGGCAAGTACAAAGTTAAAATTCGAGGTTGTACCGTCGAATTACGAGGAAAATTTGGATCCCAAAGAGCACACATTCTCGGATTTTGTAGAAAAAACAGCCATGGGTAAATTAAACGACGTTTATGAACGTTTTAAGAATGACTCAAGAAAACCTGATATCATTATTGGTGTTGACACAATGGTAACATTTAATGGTAGAATGTATGGTAAACCAAAAGACAAAAATGACGCTATTAGAACTATTACAAACTTAACACAATCTGGGATGCCTAACATGGTTTACACAGGTGTTGCTATATGGTATAAGGATAATATTTATAAATTTACTGAAGTTACCACAGTACATATGCATAAGTTAACAAAAGAAGAAATAATTTCTTATGTTGACAGTGGTGAGCCTTTTGGTAAAGCTGGAAGTTATGGGATACAAGGGATTGCAAGCACTTTTGTTAAGCGGATAGAAGGAGATTGTAATAATGTTATAGGGCTGCCTTTACACACCCTAACATATAAGTTAAAAGAGCTTATTAACCAAAAATGAATGATTTTAAGTTAAATATTATATTTAATGTATTTTTTAATAAATTGTTAGGTTTAAATGTTTTTATTTTCAACCTACTGAGAATTTCAGGCAATTATTTTAATCATTTTCCACAATTTTGTTTAGGTTTTAAGGACAATTTTATTAACTAAAACTTTTTTTAAGATCGTTTTTATGGTTTTTGTTTTTAAAATTAAGGTATTTATTTTAACAGATTATTTATTCAATATTATTAAACCTAAAAATAAGTATATTTATTTAAAACCAAATAAAACATCAAATTATGCTTTAACAATTTAAAATCAACAGAATTTAACAATCTAAAATCAACAGAATATAACCATAAATAGCCACTGATTTTGCATAATAATAATTTTGCATTAATATTTTAAACTAAATTTATATATACATAAATATTAATAAACATACAATGTCCAAGAACATTGTATGATTATAATATTATTTAAAACAAGTTTTCTTACCTTAAAAATGTGTTGTTAACATTTTGAGTCAGGGTCACGCCCTTTGGTTTAAAAGTAAACTCAGGGCTTACACTGTTAGAAGGATCAACAAAGTTTAAAGAAGCACACAACAGTCCTGACAAGGAATTTGCCAACAACTTCCAATTTTTCTCTACATCTATGGTATCAGGCTTAAACCAAGCCCAAACTTCGGCACCTGGTGCAGCATCCTCTATAGGATAACCCCAACTCTCATACCTCCATAACCCCTCAGTTAGCGTTACGTGAAGTTCTTGCACATTATGTCTTTCAATAATTTCCCCCAGAGCTCTAGGAAAAATGTGTGTATGTCGAACTACAAAAATATACATGTATAAAACTGTTTTTATAATAATTAAACAACTCTTACATTGTTCTACATCAAGATCCACGTCCCATTTGGTAGAAAATTGAAAATGGGCATAAAGCTGTTCGCTGTATAAAGGTTTTATAAGCAATTCTTCTGTAAATGTATCCTGCTTATAGGTTAAGCCGGAAGAAACACATATAATTAAGCCAAACAATACAAGATTATGCATTTTTGTAATGTTTTTAATACTGCTAAGTAGTCCTAAGCATTATTTTTTAAATAAGCCACACTATTTACGAAGCACTAATTCAGTATCTGCACTAATTTAAACAAACTCGAATTTTCCGATTTTCTTGATTGATTAACCTGAAGTTAGTGTTCTGTCAGAATTTTTTTTTAAATTGTATAATTATTTAAAATACGATAATAAAATTGCAAAATTTAAATTAAAAGCGTCATTATAAACAATAATATATTAAATAAAATTTATTATTAAAGATTTATATCGTACACTAAAGAAATATTATTTTCGTGGATTGGTAACATTGATATTTGACGTTAGTATGACACATTGCGGCAAACTTCATTGTATACAATTGTTAAACGTCAAAATGACTTAAATAAGTACGATGAATAAAAAAATGGTAATTAAATGAAAATATGGATTCCACTTATGAGCTTCTTATGCAAGCCATTTATGACAAAGATGTACAGCTGATATACTGTATTAACAGAGGTTTTTATTGGGAAATATTGTTTAACAACAAACAAAGATTGTTTACTTTTGTAGGAATCAATGTAAATAAAATATGTTCCAACGGTATGACCCTGATTGGGGCAGCAGCACAGACTGGAAATTTGACAATACTTAAGTTGTTGATTGACTTTCACAATTGCATTACATCCAAGGCGAGCTTGCAGGATATAAGAAATGAAAATAGACCTGGAAAGCCTTTTAATTTGCAGCTGGATAGTGGACAACAGAAGAGAAATATTGGGTATTTCATTGTGTGTAGGGATATGGATGAAAATGAGTTTGGAGATGGGCCTACTCCTGATGGAATGGAGGCTTTAGAATGGGATATGGAAGTCAACTCCTCTGGTAAGTAAAATTAGAAATATTTACTGTATGTATACCTATAATTATATACCTATAGGTATAAATATAGTTACAGATTTTATGTTTTATTAAGATTTTCTCTTCAGTTGCCTTTTTTCTTTAATTGAGGAGTGGGTAAACAAAACAATTAATCCATGTTTTGAATTTTAATGAATACAATATTTTTTTACCAATAACTTTTCATAGTGGTGGACATGGAATTTTAAACATCATAATTTAGTTGTCCTGTAAAAATGACAAGAATACTGAAAACCGAAGGTAAAGTTAGTTGTACATAAGTTCTGTTCAGATTTTGATGTCAACAGAATGATAGTCATTTGACATTCTGTGTCTCCTATTGTAAAAAGTTACTCAAAACCGTTTTCAAAAATATTTAAGATATCTAGCAGGACCTTATCACAATTTACTCAAAATTTACTAATAGTGGATTTATTGGATTTTGTTTGATTGCTTCTTAATTGTTTTCATAACACAGTGTTACCAAGTTTTTTAAACTTAAATGCTTAATTAAAATAATTTTAATTTTTATAATAATAATTAATACTAATTAAAAAAACCAGAAATAAATTATTTATTATTAAAAAGGTATATTTTAAATCTACAATATAATGTCAGTAGATTACTAGATGTTAATTATTTGAGATTTTCTCAAAATTTTTTGCCTAATAATAATTGTTTTATAATAAGCTCAATTATCAACAATAATTTATGTCACCAGGATTACAATTTTTTTTAAATTAGATATAATCATAGGTGATTTCAACAAAACATTTGTTCTGCAACCACAATAGAAAGTTTAATATTAGCTAATTTACTAAGAGTTATTTTAAATTTGAAAGAAATGGACTTCAATGCTAAATATTTTAGCAACAACTCAGTGGTGTACCTGAAAATTCAGGGCCCTCCCCGCGAAAATCTCATTGGGGCCCCCATTTTTAATTTATCAATATAAAAAAGGGCTAACAAAGCTCTGTAACACAAAGGGCGTTCTGGACCTACTTTAATCATAAGATCGACGTTTAAATGATTTGCTTAAACGTAAATAATTAAAACATTGAATAGGGCCATATTAAGAGCATTTAGCTTTTATTTATTTAATATTAATCAATATTTATTTAACAAACCATTTACAGACTCAATAATTTAACATTTTTATTTTATAGACTGTAGGTTTTGAAATATTTAAAAAATATATATTTTTTATATTACGAAAGGTTGGGAAAATTAGTTGGGAATTTTTATTATTTGAATTTTTTTTAAACATTTTTGGTCTATTTTACTTATTATTTACATTTCTTAATAATAAATGCACATTTAATATAAATCATCGCAAATGCCCTGTGTTTACATGGGTTTGGCTTGTTTGTTTTTTAATAGGCTCAATTTAAGGTACATAAAGTATACATGCATACATGGTGAGCAGGCGTGTCGTCCAAAAAATTAACAATTATTTTCTAAAAACAACAGAAATCATGGATAAGCAGTGCTTAGTAAGCTTAGAAAAAATTATAAATTTAGTCATAAAACACAGTTTAAATTATTTTTGCAGGACATACAAACTGTTTGCAACAAACAAGACTGTAAAGCTTCAATTACTGTTGGATTTAAAAATTAGTTACTGATTAATTAATGTTCACCATCATGATATTACATGATATTACAACAAAGTGTAATGACATTTAATTTACACTGTAAACACACGACAAGCACCAACGAACACTGGATTTATATTTCGTAACAATGGTCCTGAGATCGGGCGAAATATTTCGGGAAAGTCCCGAACGTGGTTATTAATAGTGCTTTCAACGGTTATCGCCATGGTTCATCGGTAACCGATTAACCTGTTATGGTAATTATCTGGTCATAGTTAATCGGTCGACCGATCGGTACATATTTTCTGCTACGCCCGCTTCTACACGGTGACGCGTGAATCCCCGTCTTACATGCTATGGTTTTAATTTTAGTTGCATGAAAGTAGTTGGATGACACACGTTGTTTGTTATTTTGTTTGATTAGTTCTTATTGGCCTTTAAAAATGTCTTTTGTGTGGAATCATTTTACTAAGAAAATAAAAAATAATGTCGCGTTTTGTTTTTGAACAACATTTTCTTTGGTAAGTATACAGGGTGTCCCGGAAAATGTGGGAAATCTCTCGGATTCAGATAGAACATTAAAAAATAAGATGACAAGTTCCCATAATTTTTTTTCCTAGCGGCCCTCCCTACGGAGATACGGCCTCCTAAAGGACGCCACTGGAAATCAGTTTTTCTTGAATAACTTTTAAACTACTTAATATAATTTAATGAAAATTTAATATAATAAACAGTAGTAAGGACCTCTTAAAATACTGCCCTTAAAACATAATTAGCTTGTTTAGTTTACCAGGGGCGGACTAAGTTGTATATTTTAATGCTTACATTTTTAACACCCTGTATGATAGGGAGTTAAAAAAATAAATTTGGATACCTTGAACATTAAGCTAAAGAAAAGGTACTCTTGTTTATTGTCGATAAAATTAACCGTTTTCGAGAAAAAAAATAATAAGCATTAAAATGTACAACCTAGTCCGCCCCTGGTAAACTAAACAAGCTAATTATGTTTTAAGGACAGTATTTTAAGAGGTCCTTACTACTGTTTATCCTATTAAATTTTCATTAAATAATATTAAGTAGTTTAAAAGTTATTCAAGAAAATCTGATTTCCAGTGGCGTCCTTTAGGAGGCCGTATCTCCGTAGGGAGGGCCGCTAGGAAAAAAAATTATGGGAACTTGTCATCTTATTTTTTAATGTTCTATCTGAATCCGAGAGATTTCCCACATTTTCCGGGACACCCTGTTTATAGTATGGTGCTTGCATGACGTTAGTGAATAGAAAATTATAATTATGTATAAACAATTCAATATTAAAAAATGCGCAAAGTACGAATCAGTTCTGACCATTGGTCACTGACCAAGTTGCACATAATTTATTTAAAATATAATTTTTTTTTTAATAATTTGAATAGTATAATTAAAATAGAACTGTATCATTCCCGTATAATTATAATTCCTCTAAAATATATATTTGAAACAATTAAAAAATCCTAATTATATGGTTTAAATCAGTAATTTTTTAACAAATATTAAAAAATTAAAAAAGCATCGAAAAATTTAATAAATTTAGATTGGTATTTTTTTCTCAATGAAACAGTGTATAGTTTTGGATATTTAGATAGATTTTTTAATAATTGACCAAAGAAGTAGGCTTATTAACAATTAACGCCAAAGTTTTTTATCTATGGCAACTATGATTTTTGCGTAAAAATCAGCATGATTTTCGTGTCAATTATAATTGACCCGAAAGTCCTGCTTATTATAACGCAAAAATCATAGTATCTATAGATAAAGAACACTGGCGTTAAAATAAGCATAATTTCTATTAACTAATTAATTAAATATTAACCGATGGTCACGGTTGACCATGATCGATTAATGGCCGGTTATTTACTTAACCGGTTAATACTACATGACCGGTTAACCGGAAAAAAAAATTAACTTTTGACAGCACTAGTTTTTAAGCCACCTCTTTGGGATTTTCATTTTGTGCTGCCTATTTTTTGTTTTTTAATCATACTTTTTTTGTAGAACATTTATTTTTATTCAAATTTATTTTATTACTTATTTATAAAATAGGTATATCAAATTTTATGAATAATTATAAGGTTTTCTATAATAATAATCAATAATTTAAACATCTACTTTTTAAATGTGTCCAGATCATCTTAAATGTTGCTAATAATATAAGCAAAATGAAAAATAAAAAAAGTAATTCCTAAAAACAAAATAAAATATTTCATTATATCGCAAGCAACATAACTCAAAATTGAAAACATTTTTTGTTTTAAATTCTGTTTTAAACGATATATAACCTGTAGGTTTTATAAGAAGTAAAAAGCTATACTTATATATTATTTAGGGAATGTTTTCAATTCCCGAAATTTGTATTATGTTGCTTGCGATAGTTTGGCAGAAAGTCATTTATATGTTATTTTGTATAGAATTTAAATTTATTTATAAATAGACAAATAATTAGTACCGTCTTGATTAGACTGGGCCAAAAAAATTGACTATTTTTTTTTTTGAAAAATATATCGAGAATGTCATTCAGAATGACAAAAAAAATATTTCGTGAAAATTTGAGCCCTTAATATTAATTTTAAGAGGTCTATCATCACTATTTTTTATTTTTAGTCATAATTTGATGTTTTACGTTAGAACTGTCAAAATAATAAAGTGAAAAAAATTCCTTTTCACTTATTTTTATATAAAATTAAATTCTCTACAAAAAAGGTGTGATTGAAAATTTTCGTCAGACGAGCCGTTTCCGAGTAATTGAGCTTAATAAATCGATGTGTTTTTTCGATTTGCCCTTTTTACTTTGAAATTTTGTAACTAATGAATCAATGAATATTTAAAAAAGCTCACATCGGATTCTTAAAGTAAATTTAATGTTCTACAAAAAAGGTCTCTTAACATTTTTGCCTAAATTTAATTTTTCAAAAGTTATTCACGATTAAAATCGAAGAAAAACTTAAAATTTCAATTTTTTCTTCGTGAATAACTTTTGAAGAATTAAATTTAGGCAAAAATGTTCCGAGACCTTTTTTGTAGAACATTAAATTTCCTTTAAGAATCCGACGTGAGCTTTTTTAAATATTCATTGATTCATTAGTTACAAAATTTCAAAGTAAAAAGGGCAAATCGAAAAAACACATCGATTTATTAAGCTCAATTACACGGAAACGGCTCGTCTGGCGAAAATTTTCAATCAGACCTTTTTTGTAGAGAATTTAATTTTTTATAAAAATAAGTGACAAGGAATTTTTTTCACTTTATTGTTTTGACAGTTCCAACGTAAAACATCATATTATGACTAAAAATCAAAAATAGCGATGATAGACCTCTTAAAATTAATATTGAGGGCTCAAATTTTCACGAAATTTTTTTTTTGTCATTCTGAATGACATTCTCGATATATTTTTCAAAAAAAAAAAATAGTCAATTTTTTTGGCCCAGTCTAGTCTTGATGCTCGAAGAGGTCGGATGCGTCAAGATCCTAAGTGGCGTATACGATACAAACGTAAAATGCCAAAAGCGAAACGAAGTGTCCGGAAATGTCGGTGATCGTTAATGAATAATAAATAATAAATAAATACATAAATAAACAAGAAGTGCGAAAATTGTGAGATAACGCCGTAAAGGTGTGCAAGTGAATAAGTGCCTGATTGAGGCTGGGCAGCAACGATAAGTCAACCGGGGCACCTGGATCGGAGCGTTCCAAAAACGTCCTTTTTCTATGCAAAAACCTACAGGAGAGGGACTCCCCGCGAAGGACAAAGCATCAGGTTTATAGCCTAATAATCAAGCTAAGTAATTCTTCTAATTGCATGTCTTACCGTATAATCGTTAAATGTTTATATAAGCATTTCACAAAGTTGCAAAGAATCTAAGAAATCTATTCGTCTTAAAAATTAAATTTAAAAAATAATAAGAACATTTCCGTAACTGTTAAATAACAACCTATTTTCTCATGGCAGACAAACGTAAACAACCAGCGTAAAAGGCGTAAGCAAATAAACCAATTCAAGCAAGAAGACAAAAATTTATCATAAATAAATTTAGGGTCACACTCATAAATCAAGCCAGGCTAATACACGGAATTCAAGAGCCAAGCAGGCCATAAAGACGCATTCCACTATGCACTACAGGGCCGGCTCTATTTTGAAGATCGATTTACATAAAGTGATTAATTAATTAATTAATAATTTAATTGATTGATTGATATTGATATAATCATATTGGTATTGGTATTGATGGTAATATTGTTGGTATAAGTGTTGATGTTGATATTGGCATTATAGATATTGATATTAGTATTAATATTGATTGATTGGTTGATATTGGTATTGATTATTTGTATTATTTGGTATTAGTATTGGTATTGACTAATTGAAATTTATATTGAATTTATATAGATACTAATTTAACAGGAAACCAGGCAACAATTGATCATTGCAGAGGGCAGCGTGCGTGTGTGAAGGGAAATCAAGTGGGTGCGTCGCAATATTATATTATTGTATTATATATATTATATAATATACACATAAGCTCACGCAAGCAAAGCTTGGAGGATGGAGAAAGTAAATGGGCAAAGCCCCCACGCGAAAATGAAGTGGTAGGCCATCTATTGAGGCATGCGTTGCACGCCTGACATAGGGGCCGGGTTTCAAATTGATGCGATACACCACAGGGCCGGCTTTATCTATTTTGTATATTAATATTTTTATTTTTAAATTAATTTGAAAAAAAATAAGTAAGAAGGCAAAGATATAAATAAATGAAAACGGTATGAACACTAATAGCAATAAAATAAATAAAGAATATACAAGGTTGGTAGCCGGAGTAAGCAGAAAAACTAACATACCCACCCCCATTCAGGAATACCAAATGAATGGGGTTATTACTAAAGCCCTGGTTTAGGAGGATTCCGGATTGTACTTAGTTTTGGGTCAGTTCAATGTCCTCCAAAAACCCTTCCTAAACTGGACGTATGGCCCGACCCGGCTGACAAAAATCCCGGGAGCTGCCTTAACCTTTGACACTGTCATCCACGAACTCCTAGGGTGGATCTACCAGCCGGCGTAAAAACTTCGGATCCAACAAACACAGGTAATGCTGTGATTTGGCGGGATACGCAGGAGAACGGAAAGGGGGTAATATAACCTCGGGAGATCAGTGGATGACAATATATCTGGGGCTTGCCATACGTTCCCATACTCATACTCATACTCAATAGACAAATAATTGCAGAAAGTCATTGATATGTTATTTTGTATAGAATTTAAATTTATATATAAATAGACAAATAATTGCGTTTAAAATTTAAAAAATATTTAATTTGCAGCATTTTTTAAAAGAATATTTTCTTACAGACATTACAGAAGAAGAACCCAACGACGACGGACAAGTAAACTTGTACCGATGGTACGCGAACATCCTGAACCGAACATCGGTAATCCTCGAGTCGCCCGAATACGACATCGGCCGTCTCGATCGCCACGGCCAAAGCGTGCTGCACTACGCCGTAAACAGCGGAAACATCGAGATGGTCGAACACCTCATGACCACCTTCGAGAAAGATTTGCACGTCAATTTGACGGACGCGTGCGGCCTGTCGCCGCTGCACATCGCGTCCGCCAACGGCGATTTGGAGATGGTGAGGTGGCTGGTGAGGAAATGCGCCAAGGTAAATTATCTGGGCGGCAGGATGCGCCAGAGTGCCTTGCACATGGCCGCGCGTGGCAACCATGTCGGAGTCATGGAGATTCTTATTGATGCAGGTAAGAGCATGAGACTTTTTAATAGAATATTTAATACTAAAGTTATTAAAATTATCTGCTTATATTAAATAAAATAGTAAATTTAATATTTTGTTCAAAGTTTTTAATTTTTATGATTTTTTAATAGTTTAATTTTTAAATAAAAACAATTTTGTTAATTTTCTATTATTTTTGGAACAAATTAACAAAAATAAAATAAATATTTTCGATTTTTTTATAATTTTACGTATACAATAAAATTAAAATTAAAAAAGTAATGCTATTGGATTTTTCAAGATAACAACTTTTTGAAATAAAACTTTAATAACAACTTATTTAGATACATATCTAACCATGTTGTAATCAAAGTTTTATTGCGAAAATAAGTTTTAAAGCCCAAAAAGTCGTTTTTGTGAAACATTAATTTTATAAAATATAATATGTAAGTAGGTATAGTGGGAAATTTCACTTATTAATTTCAATTTTATCCTAAAAATGTGTTTAATGTCGTAACGAGATTTTATAGAATATAGTCACAAAATTACTTTTGTAGTTGAAAAATGCATTTTTGTGTGGAGATATTGCCTATTTTATACATTTCCAAAAGTAAAGAAAATTTGTGAGTGAGCCTAATAAATTGGCCAGGGATAGTATGCGGGACCCGCATAACAGTCCCTGGCATTGCTGGTGGTCCGTTTGATAAATTTTTACTCATCTCATAATGGTTGACCACTTTTTTGTTTGCGACAGGAGAGCCAACAACTTTTGTAGGTTAATTTGGGTGCGCTTATTTCAAAAATGACCATTATTTTCCTCAATTAGCCTTCATTTTAGAAATGGAAAGTTTTTTTTGATATTCAAACACTCTAATTTGTAAATGTTTTTTTAAATCAAATACTTTAAACAAGAATCATGTCATGTAGATACAAGTACTAATTTAACTAAAAAAATAAATTATAAACCTTTATAAAGTAAGTCCCTTAAAAAACCTATTTTTAACAAAATAAAATCTCTTTTTGGCAAAAATACGACATTTTTCAAAGTGCTATTACAAAAAAAATTGTCTGATTAATAAAACTTATATAATATATATTTATAATTGTCAAAATGGCACTCAAAACAACCGCGTGTCAAAATTTATATTTAAGATGAAAATAAATTAATTATTATTAATCAATAAACTAATACACCAGTTTAACACAATTAATATGGATTTAAATTGAAGTCTAAACAAATTTTAATTGAGAAAGAAGTTCCACAAGGTTTCATACTATACGAACGAACTTCCGTATGTTATTAAGGAAAATATAATATGCCGAAAATTCAGACTGCCATATTCGTTCCTCAATAGAAATTTTAGATAATTGGTTGAGTATAGTATGTCAAAGTACTGCTATTTATTAGAAATTTTATCCCAAACAATACGTATGTATAAACACATCAATAATGGCATTTAATGCATATACAATCTAGTGTTAGATATGGCATTATATTTGGGATTTATTCTCCATATACAGAGAGGATATTTAGTTTGCGAAAAAATGATTAGAAGAATTTTTGGAGTAAAACAAACTACATTATGTAGACCTTATTTTAACAGTTATAGGCTTTTATTAACTATAGTATTTTTATTTTTGAGGTGGTTTTCTTTGTGAAAAAGAATATAGATTTATTTGAAGTATATAAAAAAGGACATTGTTATAAAATGAGATTTAGATCAAATTATTTAGTAATAAACTAAATTTTACTCTTCAGAATATTGTTGCAAATACTATAGTTAAGGTTTTCAACAAGCTACCAGAACAATTTAGAAATTTTTTTTTAAACAAGATAAAATCAAATTAAAATTAATTTTTATAGATAGATCTTGTTCCTTAATGGAGGAATATTTTAATGATGATCTTTAACAATATTTTTTGAAATGTTATGTTTAGTAGTGTATGGAACACATACATATATTTATTTATTATTTATCTTTCTATTTTATTATTTATTTTTATATTATGTTATCTTTATTTGACGTGTTATTTAAACAAATAAAATTATTATTATTATTATTAAATGTAGGGATTTGAAAGGCCTTCAAAATGAGCTATCATTCAACCCCTCTTCCGTTTAAAAATTGTAGGGGTAATCACCATCACCCCTGCTTGATTAGGGGTTGGTGTGGAGTTTAAAATATAAAAATAAATTGTCCCCCTCAAATTAAAAATGGATGTGTGCGAGCGTTTTATATATTTTTTACGTAACATCTGAGAAAACCGGGGTAGACACTTTACATTGGCTCCCCCTGTAGGTATGAATATGTAACTTGAACTCATTTTAATTAGGAACATTTTAATTTTATTAAAACTGAACAAAAATTGTTTGCAAAACAGCACTTTAATAATTTTTACTAAAAAAGCGATTTTTAAGGGAATAACTTTATAAATGTGTATAATTTTTTTTTAGTTAAATTAGGACTCATAGCTTCATGACCAATGATCCTTGGTTAAGTATTTGATTAAAAAATATATGTACGAATTTGAATGTTTGCATATCGAAAAAAAGTTTTTTTTTCATAATATCTCGAGAACAAACGCTAATTGAGCAAAATAATGGTTTTTGAAATTAGAAAAGTTGTTGGCTTCCACGTGGCAAACAAAACATTTAATTTTCTTGACCAGTGTTATTAACAGTTATTTATATCAAAATGTTTTCTTTAATAAATTTTTTTTTAAATCGAAATCGAAGGTTTATAGTTTCTTAGTTTAATTATAATTTGTTTAAAAAATCAACTGAATTTTTTATAAATATTTGTTTTTATCATTTAACATAAAAAATTAACGTTTTACATGTTTTGCTTTTTTTTATTTAATTTTAACCTATTTTGTTAATTTTCTACTGTAACATTTTTTGAAACGTTGGTTTGTCAAAAATTTTGAATTTATTAAAGCCGTATTACAGCCGGCAATTCTTCTTGCAGCAATTTTTCTTGCCATCTAGTTTTCAAGGCCGTCTTGCATGCAGTGTTGTTGCAAGTAAAAAAATATTTGTACCAGTTTCTAGGGAATTATTGTACCACATTGTACCAACATTAAAAATTGTTCAAAATGGCGGGAAATACAAATTTTAAAATTTATTAAAAAATGCATATTTATTAAAAAATATATAAATTAAACGTATATAATATATGTTATAAAATAAAACAGTCTTTCTATCACAAAAATAAAAACAAAATATCAGTTAAATTAATAAATGTCTTTCTCACTAGAAAATAAAATACCTTTGGTTAAAAACTATCAGTTATTGAAAAATATAATAAATAATTAACTATTCTGAATCAGAATCTATAGAGTTTATCTTAAAATTACGTGGCGGTAAAATAACACCATTTTTAATATTTTGTTTCACAGCCAAAATACACCACTGCTGCCAACTGTCGGCGGTGTAGTGTATAATCTGTGGTAGTGGTTAAATACACTTTAAGTGTCAATAAGACTAAAGAGATGGCGCTGGCACAAAAATGAAAAATAAATTGAAAAAACAATTTTTAAAAATTGTACCAAATTTGCCATTGTGGTACCATTGTACCAGATAATTCTCAAATGTACCGAATTTGGTACAATTGTACCAATTGTAACAACACTGCTTGCATGTTGTTTTACAGCCGGCAATGGCAAGAACACTTGCTGTTTATTACCGTGCTACCAACCGAAGAAAAATATACGATTTTGTAAACACTAAGTTTATTTGTTATTTAGTAGAGATATTTAAAAATTAATGAGTGAAATGGATACTAGAACTTTGAACACAATGCCAATCATAAAACAAATAACCTTAAACTGTTTAAGACAAACAGCGTCTCTCTAGGGAATTTGTAGTAGGGTTGGTAACATAAAAGTTACCAGATTTCTCCCCAGAATTGCAGTAAAACGGCAATAAAAATTAGGGATGCACCGGAATTCCGGCGGTACCACTAAATCCGGCCGATCCGGCCAGTTGGCCGGAACTACCGTTCCGGCCGGATCGCTTTCCGGCCGGAATTTTCGGAACTTTTTGGAAATGTTTAAGTTTTAAATTTTTAATATAATTTAAATTCAAATATATGCAAAAATTATTTTAAATGAATAATGAAATCACCTGCAGCCCTGTGCCTTTGCTTATGATTAGCAGGCGTCTGAGATTTTCCGACTTTCGCGTCTGGGATGCCCCGACTTTCGACCAGATATATTTTATAATTGGTCAACAGTGAAGGGTGTGCGTGTTTCCTTGCCCATGATAGACCGGCGGCTGTGGTTCCTCGACTTCTTTTTAATTTTTTTATTATTCTCCAATTGAATGAGTAGAATTATTTTAATTTTGTTAACGCTTATTAAAAATTAATATTTAAATAAACAGTAATTTCTATCTAGGTAAAATTAATAGTAATAAACACTCTGCATACTCAGAGCTGCAACAAGTCAGTTTTAAAAAGACTTAAATCTTAAGTCTTAAGTCAATTCTAAAATCAAAATGATTTAAATCTTAAGTCAATTCTAAGATAAAGTTCAAATGATTTAAGTATTAAGTCTTTGAATTAAATCATCAACAGTACCGTCTTGATGCTCGAAGAGGTCGGATGCGTCAAGATCCTAAGTGGCGTATACGATACAAACGTAAAATGCCAAAAGCGAAACGAAGTGTCCGGAAATGTCGGTGATCGTTAATGAATAATAAATAATAAATAAATACATAAATAAACAAGAAGTGCGAAAATTGTGAGATAACGCCGTAAAGGTGTGCAAGTGAATAAGTGCCTGATTGAGGCTGGGCAGCAACGATAAGTCAACCGGGGCACCTGGATCGGAGCGTTCCAAAAACGTCCTTTTTCTATGCAAAAACCTACAGGAGAGGGACTCCCCGCGAAGGACAAAGCATCAGGTTTATAGCCTAATAATCAAGCTAAGTAATTCTTCTAATTGCATGTCTTACCGTATAATCGTTAAATGTTTATATAAGCATTTCACAAAGTTGCAAAGAATCTAAGAAATCTATTCGTCTTAAAAATTAAATTTAAAAAATAATAAGAACATTTCCGTAACTGTTAAATAACAACCTATTTTCTCATGGCAGACAAACGTAAACAACCAGCGTAAAAGGCGTAAGCAAATAAACCAATTCAAGCAAGAAGACAAAAATTTATCATAAATAAATTTAGGGTCACACTCATAAATCAAGCCAGGCTAATACACGGAATTCAAGAGCCAAGCAGGCCATAAAGACGCATTCCACTATGCACTACAGGGCCGGCTCTATTTTGAAGATCGATTTACATAAAGTGATTAATTAATTAATTAATAATTTAATTGATTGATTGATATTGATATAATCATATTGGTATTGGTATTGATGGTAATATTGTTGGTATAAGTGTTGATGTTGATATTGGCATTATAGATATTGATATTAGTATTAATATTGATTGATTGGTTGATATTGGTATTGATTATTTGTATTATTTGGTATTAGTATTGGTATTGACTAATTGAAATTTATATTGAATTTATATAGATACTAATTTAACAGGAAACCAGGCAACAATTGATCATTGCAGAGGGCAGCGTGCGTGTGTGAAGGGAAATCAAGTGGGTGCGTCGCAATATTATATTATTGTATTATATATATTATATAATATACACATAAGCTCACGCAAGCAAAGCTTGGAGGATGGAGAAAGTAAATGGGCAAAGCCCCCACGCGAAAATGAAGTGGTAGGCCATCTATTGAGGCATGCGTTGCACGCCTGACATAGGGGCCGGGTTTCAAATTGATGCGATACACCACAGGGCCGGCTTTATCTATTTTGTATATTAATATTTTTATTTTTAAATTAATTTGAAAAAAAATAAGTAAGAAGGCAAAGATATAAATAAATGAAAACGGTATGAACACTAATAGCAATAAAATAAATAAAGAATATACAAGGTTGGTAGCCGGAGTAAGCAGAAAAACTAACATACCCACCCCCATTCAGGAATACCAAATGAATGGGGTTATTACTAAAGCCCTGGTTTAGGAGGATTCCGGATTGTACTTAGTTTTGGGTCAGTTCAATGTCCTCCAAAAACCCTTCCTAAACTGGACGTATGGCCCGACCCGGCTGACAAAAATCCCGGGAGCTGCCTTAACCTTTGACACTGTCATCCACGAACTCCTAGGGTGGATCTACCAGCCGGCGTAAAAACTTCGGATCCAACAAACACAGGTAATGCTGTGATTTGGCGGGATACGCAGGAGAACGGAAAGGGGGTAATATAACCTCGGGAGATCAGTGGATGACAATATATCTGGGGCTTGCCATACGTTCCCATACTCATACTCATACTCAAGTCTTTGAATTAAATCATTTTCTTTCAAGTCAAGTCATTTTCGCAAATTCTTAAATCAAATTAAAATGATTTAAATCTTCTTATGACTTAATTCCTTTAGTAAGTCGTTTGAATTAAATCATTTTCTTTCAAGTCAAGTCATTTTCGCAAATTCTTAAATCAAATTAAAATGATTTAAATCTTCTTATGACTTAATTCCTTTAGTAAGTCGTTTTTATGACTTAAGTCTATATTTTTTATTTAAATCGTGACAGAGTTAAGTCAATAAAATGACTTGAATCAAAAATTGTGATTTAAATCAAAATAATTACCCTTAAGTCAATACAACGATTTTTTAAATGTTAATAATAATTTTATGGTATTAATGATACTGATATTATTAATCTATTGTAGATACAGATGATAATAAACCACTATGTTAAGAATATAAAACGATTTATTTTCAAACTTAAAAATAAAATAAAAACTTAAAACACATTTTTTGAGTATATAGTAGACAATAAAAATAAAAACTTAAACCACCTTTTTTAGTAGAGTAGACATACAGGGATGCTACTTTTTTATATACATAAATGGGTAACTTCTAAACGGTAATAGATTCAAACTCTCTTAAAATAGATAAAAGTTGAAGCATTTTTCTTAAAATCGCTGTATTTCAAAAACTGATAACTTGTTGTTTTGTTAACTTTTGTTAGCTGGTTCAACATCCATCTAGAACAAAACATATTCCTCCCTTAAGAAGGTAATGATGGGAAGTTCCAAACTCTGGATTCACGACCGCTCAAGATGTACAACTGCTCACGACTAATAATTCAAGACTACTTACGTTCACGCACAATCACGTTTGAATAATTTTATTCACGCACAATCACGTTTTTTTGTCGTAATTATTTACTTAAACAAACCGAAACACCCTGTATGATGTAAACACGTCTTTATAATATTTATTCGTCCTTACAAGTTAATCGTTTGTTTCCACTAATAATCACAAATTAGACCTAACTTCGCACGAACACGACGAATGTTGGCAAACAAAATAACAAAATTATAAATCCGCACTTTTTTAATTCATTTTAGACAGGACATTTTTTAATGTAGCCGTGGCAATTGTAGGTAGGAAATTAAAGGAGTTTTTGATCTGCTGCCGCGTGAACCCCTGGCAGTTCAAGAATGCCGCTGTAAAAAATTTATAAAAAAATCTATGAAAAATCTGACTTAAATATTTTCTAAAATGACTTAAATCTTTTTTTGACTTAAATCGTTTTTATCTGACTTAAATCGTATGTACTGATTTAAGCCTTTTATTAATGACTTAAGTTTTTTCTATTTTGAAAAAAATATTTAAGTCACAAATCATTTTGAAAATTACTTAAATTTTAAGTCTTAAGTCAGTTTTAGAGAAATGACTTATTACCAAATTACTTAAGTCATTAAAAAGATTTAAATCTAAAAAACGATTTAAGTTTTCTGATAGCTTGCAGCTCTGTGCATACTGTAGTTAGTTTTAAAAAAAGTAAAAATAAATCAGCCTCAATATTTTCAATGTTTTACGTATAAAAATAGGCATGCACATACATTTTAAATTTAGGTCCCGATCCGGCCGGAATTCCGGCGATCCGGTCCGGCCAGCGGCCGAAATTCCGGTTCCGGCCAGCGGCCGAAATTCCGGTTCCGGCCGGATCGGCAAAATACCCGATCCGGTGCAACCCTAATAAAAATCCATCCGGACCGATTTTCGGCAATTGCAAGAGATTCGTCGAAATGTATCTACCGCGCATGCCTACGGCAATTTTCATTGCAATTGCCGAAAGAATTGCCGGCTGTAATACGGCCTTTAGTAAATATTACGAATATCCTTATTGCTAGGTGCAAACGTGAACATCATAGACGTCGAAGAAAAATCCGCCCTAACCACCGTAGCCCGCAACGGCTTCGTAGAAGGCGTTGAAATCCTCGTCAGGGCGGGCGCCAAGGTGAACCACGAGGACTTGGAGGGCGTGACCGCCCTGCAGTACGGCGTGTGGGCGGACGAGGCGGGCATTGTCAAAATTCTAGTCGAGAGGGGCGCAAGAGTGATCCCTTCGCATTATTTGCTACACGTGGCCGTCTCGAATAGTAACAGCGAGTGCGTTAAGGCGCTGGTCAAAGGTGGCGCTATCGTCAATTTTAAGGATGAGAGGGGATTTACTCCTCTCATGTTGGCGTGTTCGAGGAAACATGTGGAAATGGCGAGGTAAGGATGTTTTTTTTATTAAATTACTATTATTTTTTAACAAATTTCTAATAACATCTCTAGTATTAGTGGGTCAAATATGTATTTTACACGTTTTAGGGGGGTTATTTTGAGTAAACAAAAATTAAATATTTTATGCATTGTACGTATATTTTGTTGCCATAAAAATGGTATTTAAATTCCTTATATATTTTATCATAGATAATAATTAATCACAGATAATAAATAATTATGTTTAAGATTTAATAATAAATAATCATGTTTACGTTTTAATTGGCTTAGCCTTATAGAAATATTTTTCCCTGAATGTTTGTGCAACATTTCAACAACCTTTTATTTATATACATATATACATATTATGTATATACATTAGGGTGTTTCAAAAAAATCGACTTTTTCTTTTTCTTCAAATGGTCGGCAAATTCTTTCAGAGGATGTCAACACAAAGACCTCGTCAAAATTTGAGCTTTTAATTTGAAGATTTAGAGGTCTCGGATCGCAATTTTCTATTTCCCATTTAAATAACATGGGAATTTTTTTTTTTAACTTTGAAATTTTATACGTCTGAATCGAATCAACTTATGTCAGGAATCATCTTAGATTTTTATAGTAAATTTAACGCTCTACAAAAAAGGTCTCTATCATTTTTCTATAAATTGATTCCTTCCAGAGTTATTCGAGGCCAAAGTTTGATATCCATCGAATTTTCGCGTTTTTTTTAACATTTATGGTACAATTATCATTATACGGGTGTCCCGAAATTAGGGGGCCAAACTTAAACAGTGCATTATTTGTATAAAAATAACACTTTTTTTGTTTAATAAATATGTATCAAAAAATGCTTCCTAAAGGAGCTAGGGCCCCCTGAATAGAAGCCTAAGAGGATAATTTTTTTAAAACTATTCCTAGAGGGTTGAACATAAACAAATGAATTTTCGGTACTTTGGTAATTTTTTCATGCTGAATCTAGATCTATGATCAAAACTGTTAAAATTTAATCATAGGCGTAACATTTGGAGGGGGCAAAGTTACAAAAATAGCCCCAACTTTTTTCTGGGTTAATAATTTCATTTTTTTATTAAATTATGAGAATTTATAGTTTTTTACGAAAAATAGGTACTCTTGATTTGAATTGCTCAGATGCACCATTTTCGAGAAAAATGCATTTTTATATAAATTACTCTGCATATTATACACATCTCATATTTTCATTAAAACTTTGTAGTAGGCTTTGGAAAAAAGTGACGCTTTTTTGTTTTTTTTACAACACTTCCTATGTTTCAGATATAAATATGTGATTTTTTTACTACATGATGCTAAAAGTTGAAAAAACGAGAAAATTAGATGGAAATCAAACTTTGGCCTCGAATAACTCTTATAGAAAAATTATAAGAGACATTTTTTATAGAGCGTTAAATTTACTATAAAAATCCAAGATGTTCCTTGCCATAAGTTAATTCGATATAGACGTATAAAATTCCAAAGTAAAAAAAAAAATTTCCTATGTTATTTAAATGGGAAATAGAAAATTGCGATCCGCGACCTCTAAATCTTCAAATTAAAAGCTCAAATTTTAACGAGGTCTTTGTTTTGACTTCCTCTGAAAGAATTTGCTGACCATTTGAAGAAAAAGAAAAAGTTCATTTTTTTGAAACACCCTAATATACATATATACTAGGGTGGTCGTTAAAAATTAATTTTTTTGCGACGCCCCCTAAAAAGCTTCGTTTTGATGAAAAAACACTGGGAAAACATTAACTTAGATCGTCTTGAAGCACGTGTTGTTTTTAATTAAAAAAAATCCCAGTGTTTTTTTATCAAAAAGAAGCTTTTTAGGGGGCGTCGCAAAATATTTAATTTTTAACGACCACTCTAATATATACAGAGTTGCAAAAATGTGAATGTAAAAATAATGCAATCGTAATTTTTTTAATGGTCTAAATTGAAATTTTTATTTCTTAAAATTTTCGGGTATCAAAAATATCCAAAGCATTTTTGCATTCGAATTTTGAGTTTTAAAATTTTAATTTTTAAACTGTTTGTATTCTTTGATATCCTAAATTTTTTACGTTAAACTTCTACCCACTCAAGAAGTTTTAAGCTGGGGTTGATAGTGGGATTATGATAATAAGGTGAGAAGGCGACCTAAACTCAAAAAAGTATTGAATCCGCGATGGTATGAACGAATAATTAATTTTGATTGTCTGTTACTGGTAAAAAACCAATTTAAAACAAAAATTGAAAAAATGTTTCATGCAATAAAAATATCTTCCTTGCCCACTTAAAAGGAGTAATTCGATAATCATTCATTTCTCATTAAAAATTTAAAAAAAATGAGTAATGTAAAGTGAGTACATTACTCATTAACATTAAAAAATGTAATTGAAAATTTTAAAATACTCATAACAAATTAAAAATGAGTAATGTAAAAAATAATACATTAGTCATTGGAAAAAATGTAATGACTAATTAACTTAATTTTTATTAAAAAAGAATTAATACATAATGAAAATTAAACACATTACTCATTATTTTAAAAATGTGTATTGAAACCTTAATGCATTAAACAAAAAATATTGCATTATTTGCAACTCTGTATATATATATTAGGGTGGTCCATCTTTTGAAAATGTTTGAATTTTCTTGCTCTCAGGGGCTCATATAGTGTTCAAAATAAATTTAAAAGAATATTCTCCAAGTTTCAAGTCCCTATCTCAATATTAACCCGTGCCGCGTTGCAGTTTAAGTTTCCTATATAAATAACATAGGGTTTTCGGCATTGAATAATTAATTATTTATTTCGGCTAAAGTAACTGTCCAAAAAATTTAAAACTTGTCAGAATTTAACCTTATAATAGTAGCTATTCCTGAGAATTTTTACAAACTTACACTGTAATGCGGCACGGGTATTTTTTTTATTTATTTCGAACACTATGAGCCCATTCTCAAAAGATGGACCACCCTAATATATATACTATATATGTGGGTACGTTAGGTACTAAGAGTAGTAAATAAAAGCACGACCGTATTTATAAAAACTTTAACTGATTTATTTAAAAATAAAGATACTAAAAATTATTGTAACAAAGATGTTGTCGCGGAGAGGTCAAAAACCGATCTGTCCCTTTTACAAAGTTCAAAAAGGGAAAGTAGGTAGTTTTGGGATTCTACAAAAATAGCAAGGCACTTGACTTCTCTGTTGAATAAGAACCGGGGAGTCAAGTGTCGAGGTCCAGGTATAAAAAGAAATGACATTATGTATATCTTGCTACATACAACTTAAAACTTAAAAACCTTAAATAATATTTGAATTTACAAAATGAAGCGAATAAAAATAAGTATAAAGAGTATAAGTATAAAGAGTTTAAGTATAAAGAGTATAAAAACATTGAAATTATAAAATAATTGTAGAAATATTAAAGGTGTATCACCACAATATATATACCAGGTGTATCTGAGAATAGGCGCACCCCTGTAACTTTTTTATTTATAAATATATACACATGAAATTTAGCATGGTTAATTAGGATATAAAATGCCACTTATAAGAGTACATTTAGTATATATCAATTGTTCTCCAAACGGCCTGACAACATTTAAAAAACATATTGTGTTATGTGGGTAGGTACTCACAATACTACATCTAACTAAAATGAGTTAAGATCCCAGTTAAAAAGAACGTACTCAATATTCCATATTTTTTGTTACCAATGCTTTCTCTTTACAGACTGTTAATAGACCTGGGCGCAGACGTTAACACAGCAAGTCACATCGACGGCAAAACCGCGCTACACGTCTGCGTGCAAGACGTGCGCGAGCAACGCAGCGCAAACGCGCTCATCGAGCTACTGATCGACCACGGAGCCGACATGAACGCATCCAGTTACCAGGGCACGGTCCTCTTCTACTCCATCATCCTCGAAAACCGCAGCGCCTCGATGGCCGTCATACGCCACGGCGCCGAGGTGAACCTGCGCGACGAGCGCGCGTACGTGGACAATTTGAGTTTGGCGAAGCGCCACGGGAATTTAGAGCTAGTGAAAATGTTGGTGTTCGGCGGGTTCCGCATGACCGACATGTCCGTCGAATTGGACAAGCTAAGGACGCGACAGGACGATGCGGCGTACGATTTTTTGACGCACGTCAAAAGCAACGCGCTGAGTTTGAAGGAGATTTGCCGGATTTCGATACGCAGCGAGATGGGCGCCAAAAATTTGATCAAACGGATCAAGTTGCTGCCGTTGCCGACAACCGTGCAGCACTATTTGTCCCTAAATATTCTGTAAGCTATAGTGTGTTCAGCGAATGGAAAATTCTGAAAGATGTTTGTTTGCTTGTATTCTCAATTATTTATGACAACAAGCAAATTATTTTTTCCCGATTTTTTCATTTAAAATCAGTAAATATTTTTAGGCCTACATTCTTAACCCTTAGCCACCGTAGTGCAAATACAGTAACGTCATCACCGTGGTGCGGTCTTGGTGACCGCATAATTAACAACCTTTAATTAATAAAGATAAATTTTTTTACCCATTAAAAATTTTTTTATTAGATAAAGTATACCTTAAAGTAAAACTCAAGATGCTTTTTAACATAGTTTATAGGTTAATTAACATACACATAACAAAATAACCGTTAATGTCACATTTTGCTTCCTTTTTTGACAAAATTGCCATATATTTTTTTAAACCATATTCTATTAAAAAATAATAATAAATTCTTGAAAATGAATCAATATGCAATAAAAAAATCAATAATAAAAGAAATTACTTGAAAAAAATGTAAAAATTGCAAAGGGTAAAATACTCAAAGATTGTGTTTACAATTTTTACAAATTTTTGATACACATTCTAAACAGGTAGGCTTATAACAAATTTTAACAAAATAAAACGTTTTTCTTGATGGACAGGTGCAACAAGTTTTTCGTTTTTTTAGTTTTTCTTCTAAAACTTCTGCCTCCTCAGGGTCAGGAAGAGATACCTATAGGTATATCTATAGGGTTCTACAAATTATAGCTCGGACGTCACGTATTAACTTTTTATTTTTTACATGTCTATAAAGATGTGGTCTTACTAATTCATTCGCAACTATTTTCAGAAAATCGGCTTTTTTGCATTATTATGTAAAAAAAGCGCAACTCAAATACTAGCGTAAACACCGTAGACCGGTCACTGTGACCGCTCCCTAAATTTAGCCCTGTTTTTATTGCACACCGGGTCAAGTAGCCACTTCAAATTTTCGCAGCGTACTGATAATGCACCCACTTGAAGGTAACAAGAATACGGTTCTATGATATTGAAGGGAGGATAAGATAAACAAAAACGAAAATTCGCTGCGGTCGCAAAGACCGCACTACGGTGGCTAAGGGATAAAAACGACTTCTTATTGAATCTATTTACGTTTTTAAAGGACGTTATAATCGAATATCGTGTTTTTAAAAAATTGATTGGCATTATTTTTTATATTAAAAATTTACAGGGTTTTAATTCAATTACAAGACATGCTTTACTATTCCATGTATTTCATAGAATCTTATTGATGTGATATATTTTTATTTCCCTATAATGACCAATTCTTCCATTTCACTCCCTAGAACTTTTAGAAACAAATGTAAAAAACACTAATAGAAGTAATTTTAAAAAGCACAATATGAAAGGGATTTAAGATTTTTAATTGTGTGAATTGGTTGCCTAAATCGTGGTAATAAAAAAGGAATTCATGTACAACACAAAAGGTGATCTCAAAATAAAGTTCGTTTTATTTTTATTTGGATTTTAGAACATTTAACTAATTAAGTTGATATAAATAAAAGGTTAATTTTATTTTATGACCACAAATACATTTTTAAGACTTAAGTCATTAAGCCAATAAAACAATATTCATGACTTAAGCCTTAAAAATATATTTGTTTTCAAATTGTATCAATATTTATATGCTGGATTTATGCAGCACAAATTAACATTAAGATTAAGATTAACATTAACATTAAGAAGTTAAATGAACGTAATCCATTGGAAGCTTTTATGCAACACATTAACATTAACTTTAGCATTAAGTTAACATTAAGAGATGCCCAACTTTTATCTTCTTAATGATAATGTTAATTTTTATTCCTCCTGCGCAGGTTTGCGGCGCAATTTTTAAATAAACCGTGTCAGTAATGCCAACATACCCGAAAATAAATGAAACTTACTGCTGAATGATTAATTTTTTATTCAATGATTGTGTTCTTTGGTTTATTGTTTGACGTGGAGTTTATAGTTTTCATTTATTTTACTTAACAGATGCTAAAACGGGATTAAAACAAAATTCAAACAAACCAAAAATGTCAGATGACAAAATTACTTTAGCTTATACGCATGCTTAATTTGCTACTAATTTTGCTGCATAAATACCCTCCTATTAATGTTAAATTAATCTTAACACTTTAACTGCCACGCTGATTTGGAAAAAAAAATGTACCGGGTCCCGTGGGCCAAAATATTTTTTTAGCCTCAAGCACTTTATTTGTGTTTGTTTTAAGTAAAAGTCGTAAAAGAAATTTTTTTTTTTATTATAGTATAGTGCCACGCCAGACCCATCGATATTCCCATTTAAATACACAGCAGATGTGTACCAGCCACGCACACATGGCCGAGAATCTTTCTAATACATGTGTACATGTGTACCAATATAGGTACACATGGCAGAGAATTAAAATCTCCTGTGTCCATTTATGGTACATATGGCAGTTAGTGTTAATGTTAAAGTTAATCTTAATGTTAATTTGTGCTGCATAAATCCACCATTATTTTACGACTACGAATATATTTTTAAGAGTAAAGTCATTAAGTCATAAAGCCAAGAACACTATATTCATGACTTAAGCCTTAAATATTAATTGTTTGTCAAATTGTACCAATATAATGACATTTGTGGTAATTACCAATATAATGACATTTGTCAACAAAATTCCTTAATTGTACACAAATTAACGTTTTTTTTACAAATATATTGGGAAGCCTTAAAAAGTTATTTGCATATTATAAGTCCAAATAAAAACGAACTGTAATTTACACTTTAGTCTAGTCAACAGAATAGTCATATTTAAAGGAAACTATTATTAGGTAGAATTTTAGAATTTAGGTAATTAGAAACATGTGATAACTATTGAACAAAGTATTTATTGTATAAATATAAAATTATTAGAAGTTACGTTTTTTCTTTTAAAATTTTAATTATATATTCTCGTTTGCTCTCAATGGCTCTATCAAGGGCCAATTTTCCATCAGCATCTTTTAAATTTACATTTGCACCTTTTGTTAGTAAGTATTCCACTACAGGTTGGTGTCCTACAAAACAAATATATGTATATTTAATTGTTACCTTTACCGTTTAGGTTCGCGTTCTCGTTACCGGGCTGTTGTGCAGCGTGCTTTAAACATTTAAAAATATTAAGAATATTAGTTATACCTACTGTTACCGCCCTATGCAGTGGCGTGGCCCTTAACTCTTTGGTCTGCGCATTAAAATCAGCGCCTCTCTCGACCAGAAATTTGCACGCTTCCAATTGGCCGTTCCTGGCCGCGTAGTGCAAGGCAGTGAAGCCGTATTGGTCCATCGTGTTTACGGTCACTTGATTTTTATCGAGGCATTTTTGCATTTTGTCTATTTCACCGTACATCGCTGCAGACCAGATTCCTCTTTCAAATTCCATTTCGTCTAGGGTTTGGGAAGCTACTGGTGTTTGCTTGCAACAACCAGTGTCGCACGTGTCGTGGGTTTTAAAGTTCATTTTTCAGTTAAGAAACTGTAGAAAATAAGATTTATTGTTAGAAATCATTTAATTATAATTTATAATTAAGATATTGAAAACAATACAATTTTTTTTAACAATTATTGTTAAAATTTAAATTTGTTGTTTCTACTTAAAATTATAATATATGCATTTATGATTAGTTCGTGATTAGTATATTTCATACCAATTTTATCACTTTTGAACTCGAATTTGGGAACTACACAAAAAAGACGTTTTTTGATTTGTTCGTTTTTGAATATAAGTTTTTATTAAGTTTGGGTCATTATTTTTGTTTTTTTTCATCAAAAAACTTTATAAAGTTTAATTTAAAAAAGTAAATACAAAAAAATATATAATCTTTTAAAATTTGGCCCTCATTGGGACGTAAACGCAGAATGAATTCATTAATATTAATATTAAAAAAAAATTGACAAAATTACCTATAATTTTGGATGCATTCAAATAAGTTTTGGAAAGTTAAAAGCGAACAAAAGATATTAGGTATAAATAAATTTTTTTTTCAAATAATTAATTTTTTTTTGGTTGGGTAAATTCAAAAAATATCACAAAAAAGTATTTAGTGGGGTACTTAAATTTAACACATATATATATTACATATAATATTTAATTTCAAAACTACCTTTGGACACAGCATTACAAAACAAATGTTTTGTATGCTCCAGCACATGTGCTTTATCTACTTTTATTTAATTAAAATTTAATCTTAAACATTAAAACATAAGGTACAAAAACATAAATGGTTATAATGATAACTTAAGTTATCACCGTTATTTACTACTTTTTATAATCAAGATAAAATTTTAATTAAATAAAAGTAGAAATACAGACACTCTATATACACTGAGAAAAAAATGGGACAAATAAACTGTTTACCTAATACTTTTATTTGTAGTGAATATATTGTTTATTACCTCTAAATAGTCGATATAATAACGATAAATATACTTTAGTAAAACTTTATGTGTCGGGAATAAAAATATATTTAGGATAAATAAACTGTACCCTTGTCCCATATTTAAATATTTTTTTTATTTGGGAGCAATAAACTTTTTTCTCCGTGTATGTATGTATATATATATATAGGTATATATTAAAAATAATTACCTCGATAATTACTTACTAATTAGATAGAATTAGATAGACTTAAGTCTATAGAATTCGATAAAATATTTTTCAAGATTCATTGGTTGCTTATAAATTTAATGTCAGGAACTTAAAAAATTAAGTATGTGTACCTAATTAAAGGTACTATTGCGGCCGATAAAAAGTAATCGATTCTTTAAAGAAAAGATAATTATCAAGTTGCATGTTTTTCTTAAAAATTGGCTATTGTAAGTAGGGTTTTTTACGCCAGTCATGTCAATTAAATTATTTTGACAAGAAATCATAGGTGTATGACATATTTAATTTTTTAATAAAAAAAACTTAAATTATATACTTAAAGCATGTTTATTCGTAATACAAACAAAAAGAACAAATTATTTATTGGGCGACCAAAATAAATAAATTTAAACTTAAACTTAAAAAGAAATAGTATACTACGACCAAAATAAATAAATTTAAACTTAAACTTAAAAAGAAATAGTATACTACGACTATAACAATTATAAAAGATGAGCCAACCACAGATTATAAAGGGTTGGATGAGCTCAGAAAAACCGGCCCCGGCAATTTTTTCATTCAGCCCTCCCTCGGGCATTATCTTACATAATCTTACACATTTGTAATGCTATATAAACTCCATTAAAAAAAAAATAATACTTGGTAGAACCACCATTCTCCTCTATAACATTTTGTAACCTCCTAGGCATGGAACTAATTAAATTTTGCATATCGTAATTTTCTTCCAAATTGTTCCACTCATTTTGAATTGCATTAATAAGGTCTTCCCTATTTCTTGTTCTAAATTCATATTTATATATTTTTTTTTACGAGATAGGTATCCCCAAATATTTTCGATTGGGTTTAAATCTGGGCTTCTTGACGGCCAAGGAAGCGTTGTAATGCGATTTTCTTCTAGCCAATAATGAACCACATGAGCAGTGTGAACTGGCGAGTTATCCTTAAAATGAAAAAAATATATTTTTTTGATCAGGAAAGATAAATCATAAAGTGTTATGTGTTGAAACAACACAAAATCATTATCAAATCTTTCTTGCACTGACGGGAGCATTACATCGTTTAAAATTTCCACGTATCGGTTCCCAGTTAATCGGCCTTCTACAATATGAATTATACCAGCCCCTGAAGATGATATTCACGCCCACACGTGGACAGAAAATCTTCCGCTGTTGTCAGTTTTGTGGAGGTATTCTTCATCAAACTTATGCATGAGAAACCATGGTTTCTGGGACGATAAACTCGCAGTTGCCCATTGTAGCAGGATTGAAATATTTGTCATCTGAAAAGACTACTCGCTCCCAATATTCAGCGTTTTGATTTAAAACATTATTTGCAAACTCTTGCCTCTTTATTAACATCCGTCAAGCGAGGCTTTTTAGCACTCACGCAGTTAAATAAACCTTGTTCTCGCAACCGTTTTCTTGCCGTCCTAACAGATGCTGGGAAGTTGGTTTCCTCTTTGGCTTGAATGGAGTTAGAAAATGGGTTTTGCCTCACATATTCCACCAACTCGTCGTTTACTGGAGTTGTCTTTCTTGGACGCCCAGAACCCATTACCATACTCAGGTCACCAGTTTTCACCCACTTTTTGTTTAATTTTTGAATAGCGCTTTTGCTGCAGTTTATTTCATCTGCTATTTGTTGTTGAGACCACAATCCATGTGTGGATTGTGGTTGAGACCATCCTTCTCCAATTTTGGCGATAATATAGCCTTTCTCTGCTTCACTTAAAGTATGGTAAGGCATAATTAAGTAATGACTTTACTTAATTTAAGATGACGTTACTTAATTTTATAAAATTATTTTTGAAATGCCACTGCTGACAACCATATTTACAACGGGAAAATTAGTCGATTACTTTTTATCGGCTGCAATACACAGCAAACGAAAAATTATAGAAGTGTATAGGATGACTCCGCGTTTGAATATCAAATCTTAAAGTTTTATCATAACTGTATTGAATCGTGCTTAGTTTTTATATTTTTCGGCTCTATACCTATGCACGACTATATTTAAAGTCAAACTCAATGGTGTCTTACAAGATACATTATTTTGATTTTCTATATTCAACAGAGGAGTAGAAACTCGACCCTGTCGAATGGTGCAGTCATATATGTCTCTAGAAATTATTAAAAAAGGGTTCAGTCCAATGGTGCAGCAACTTCGGATTCCTATTCTCCTCAGAGACATAGAAACTCAAGCTTTTCGAATTTTATTGGCAATGATTTTCGTTAATGTCCCCGAGAATTATACAAAAACAGCGCAATGCAATATCGCAACGGTTTCGACTTCTCTTTACTCTACCAAGTTATAGAAACTGGAGTCTCTCTAATACTGTTCTAGTCAATATTTCTGAGAGTATAAAAAGAGGGTGTAATATTGCAAGAAGTTTTGATCTTTTGATGGATGAATTTTCTCATTTCTCCATATGATTTTGTTGAAAATAGTTCCTTTCTTTGGTTCCTTTGTCTGATTTTTATTTACCGTAACAACTCAGGTATGTAAAGCACAGAGGATATGATGTTAAGTATATTTATGTATTATATAAAGTACCTATATTTGTATTAAAAATTTAAGAGGTTATGTTGAAAAATGATCGATATGCTATTAAACTTTAATAATTTAGTAATTAGGTCTGTTGGTAGACCCTGCACTATCTCCACTGGTATATGTTAATTTTGTAATATTTAAATCTGTTTGATGAAAAAGTACACACCAGTGCAGGTTATTGTAGCATCTACGAACAAATGAATTAATGGCCCATTGGCAATTATTCCTTTAGGAAAAATATTCAACACAGCTTAATTAATTAATAAAATGAAAAAAATCACAATCATATCGTATATAGTTTTTTTTAAGCATAAAATAATTTTTATATTAATACTAGTTCAAAAGTGAAATTACGACCTCTATACTGTGGAGAGTATTGAAACGCTCGACTGACGAATACAACTCTATACCGTAGGGAGATTTAGAAATCGATATTCAAACGTGGCGTCATCCTATACACCTCTATAATTTTCCGTTTGCTGTGTAGTACATAATTAAAAACAATTTTATTTACAGCATAGATAACAAAGCCTTTTAATTAAAATCCAGTTTTGTCAGATAACAAATCTGTCTTCTGCATACAGGTATTAATTTAATCTACTCGTCGTTTATCTGACAAAGAGGCGTATCTCATTTTTAAACAAAACGGTGTGAATTGAATTACGCCAGTTTGTACGGCACACAAAATGCAAAAATATTAGTTACGCCGACACTGATTTATGCTAAAACTTTATTTGTACCTATTTATTATAGAGCTACGCCAGTTTGTGAGATTATAAAGTCGATTTTGGTGATCATTCTGGTATAACTCAAAAACGATTTTTTTTGAGTTACGCCTCTTTGTCAGATAAACGACGTACTGCTTAAAACAAATTAAAGAACAAGTTTTAATTAGCGTTAAACTGGCAGATACGTAACCTCAATTATTTGACTATTCCTTATTCAAATGTCAGTGTGACTTTTTGATGTGAAGCATAGTAGGTACCAGTGGCGGCTGGTGGATTTTAAGTATACCAATATCTCAGTTATTAGACATGGGACCCACACCAAATTTATAATAGTTTATATTGACATTAAATAAACAAGTTCGGCGCAAACAGAATTTAAATTGAAGTTTGCGAAAAAAAGTTAGTTTTTCCTGTCGCCTACCCTGCCTCCAGGCCCCCCTATTTGAGATAATTCAAATTAAAGTGGTGCAATTTATTATCTACTATCTATTAAAATAAAAAAATATTTAAAATGGTATAAAAACTGTAATATTTGGATTTTTTAAATAAAATTTTAAATTTGTCGATAAATTATAGTGGATAATAAATTGCACCACTTTAATTTGAATTATCTCAAATAGGGGGGCCTGGAGGCAGGGTAGGCGACAGGAAAAACAAACTTTTTTTCGCAAACTTCAATTTAAATTCTGTTTGCGCCGAACTTGTTTATTTAATGTCAATATAAACTATTATAAATTTGGTGTGGGTCCCATGTCTAATAACTGAGATATTGGTATACTTAAAATCCACCAGCCGCCACTGGTAGGTACTTATATTGCAAAAATAAAACAAAATATAACATTGAGTGGATATATTTATTCACTACATAATATTTATTAATAAAGCTTAAGAAAATATAGTTGGGACCATATTGGCAAGACAATCTTGCATGTAAGCATTCAAAGTGCATATAAAAATTTACTTCATCAAAATAAATTAAGTAAATTATTGCTCATAAAAATTATTCTATTGTTTTTTCATGACAATGAATAATAAATAAGTGTGGTTAAGGACAGATAAAAAGTTTTTGTATACACATAAAATTCATTGTTTTAATGTGCTTATTGGTGCAAGGGAGGTTTTCATTATTATATCATATTTAATATTCATTAAATATCTCGTTGTAATGTCCAGATAACTTCTGTTTCTCCTGTGGAAGCAACTACACGATACCCAAGCTGGCCTAGAGCATTAATAACAGGTATCGGTGGAGCTTTTATTAGAACCCCATTAATAACACCTTTCTGGTAGTTATCAAACTTCTTAACAAGTGCTTTAAGTTCATCTTCATTTAATCCAAACACTGAACTGTCGTTGGCATGGATTGAAGCCTTAACAGCCACATAGGCATATGTCCCAGTCGACATCAGTAAGCTTGCAGGAATTTCCATTGTTTAAACTTAAACTTCCTCACCACTTGGACTAGAGCTGGATTTTTCTACTGTTGGAGAATGCACTGGGATTGTAGGCTCAGGTTCAGAAAAGTCCTTTCTCATAGTCCACATGTACTCATTGTAGTCCTGTTTAACACTTGTTGATGAGGATGCGACAACTTTGTATCCCAACACTTCCAGAGCGGTTAAAATTACGCAGGGATGTTGCATGTACACTATAGTACAGTCGTCGCAGTAGCCTCCGCTCGCGAAACGATTCAATTGTTCGATATCCGCCGCTTTTAAGCCCGATACGAGTACGCGCCAAGGGTAACGTTGACCATAAGCCGCGAGATTACCGCGAACCAAAATGTAGGGCATTTGTACCACCACACACACTTGATTTATCACCGTTATCTTTCACCTATCGGTGAAGTCGAGATAACCTAATTTCAAGTTTAAAACAAAACCCGGAATGTCACTGGCAAACTTCTTTCACCTTTATTCGCCCACACGTAACCTTATGTTCTCTACACGTAACGTTTGAGTACACATTGCGTCTTATTTATTTATTTTCGAATCAGAAATAATTTCTGCAATTGCTAACTATATAGAAAATTCTGTTAACATACAAACAATTAAAAAACACTGTTGCCAAACTTTACAACTGGTAATTTTCGATGATTTTAAATAAAACATCGGCTCAATCCAACTCAGATTGCGTGTATTTTATACGCCTAAAATGCGTATTAATCGATAGATAAACCTTTCAAGAAACAAATCCTTTAAGGAATTTCAAATGTGGCAATGACCTCAGATTTTATTGTATTTTTCGGGCAAATTTCTCTACAAAGCCTTAAAATTTTATTTGAAATAGAAATATAAATGGCAGATCAGCTGTTTTCCATTTTCTTTTAATTTTATGGGGGAAATCGATTTATCAAAATTAATACGCAATATATTTTATTATATTAAAAGTTTATAAATCGTTTTATCTAATTTTTGTAAAAGCACAAATTTATATTATTTTTTAGTTAAACTGACCTGTTTTTTCTTCTATAATCTGTGTAAATCTGACAAATACAGGCCTAACCTCAATTATTTGACTGAATTCCTCGACCCTTCCACCATAGATGACTTAGGTCCACGATACATGTATCGTGGTTAGGTCTTAGCTGCCAGGGGCCATACCTAAGATAGCCCTGGCCCAGGGCTATCTTAGGTATGGCTCCCATTTATGGGATATTGTATGGGATTCCATTAGTTTTCTTTTTAAGTTAAAAATTAAATATTTTAACCTCAAACCCAGGGTCGAATTTACATTTTCAAGGGCCCAAAGCAAAAGTCAGAGGAGGGGCCCTTAAGGTAGCATCTCCATTTGAAGCATAGAAAATAAATCATGATCTTATCACAATCAGTGTTGCCAGATGTAAAAGTTGAAATTATCGAATTGGGATAATAAAATTATCGAATTTTCAGAAAATTATGATACAATAATTGTAATAATTATGTTATAATAATGTTACAATAATTATTATAATTTAATCATAAAATATGTAATAATTGAAAGAAGCAGGGGAGTTTATAAACAGCAGTACGGTTTTCGTATTGTTGATCTTTTACGGGAGGAAAGAAGGAATGCAATCTATAAATCAGGCTTGATGCTTAATTATTAGGTATCTTAATTAAATTAATTAATCCGGTTAATTAATTAGGTTAATTTTGTCCAGATACTTGGATTAAAAATTATGTTACAATTATCGATTATGTTACATATTATTTTCAAGCATTGGTTTTAGAAAAATTTATGTTACAATTCGATAATTATGTTACAAGTGGCAACACTGATCACAATCCACACATGTGTGGATTGTGACAGCAGATTCAGCGGTGCCAATGTAGCAAATGATATAGTAAAAATAAAACGTATTTTAATTAAAATAATAATTAATTATCAAATAAACAAATTAAAGTATCATTAAAGCCTGATTTATAGATTGCCTTTCTTCTTTCCTTCCTCCCGTAGAAGATGAACAATACAAAAACGTACGGGAATTTAAACAGCACTACGATTTTCGTATTGCTCATTTTTTACGGGAGAAAGTAAGAAAGGAAGGAAGGCAATCTATAAATCAGGCTTAAAAACTAAAAGCAACATACAATTTTAATTTTAAAGTAAATAAGTATTACAATAAAAATATAATATTTATAATTTGTTAATTTGTTATTATAATTCAAAATTAAGGTTTAAAACGATCATACTTTTGTTTTTCTTAAGTTGGCAGCACAAAATTTTAAATGAAAATTTTAAAACGTGCTAATATATTTTTATATTGTTCTTTATCTAATCTATGATAATATTATACGAGAGATAATGCAGGCTTTTATTCCATAAATAAAAAGCAAGTGTGCGCCCCCGCGAATTTTGATGGTGCCTTTATTTAGAAAACAATTGTTTTCTTTGTCCAAATACGTTTGGACGCAAAATGGTGTGTGAAAAAATGTATCTTCAGATCAACCTTCAAGCGCCTATGAATCTTCAGCCACCTTCGGGGGTGTTATTTACGCCTATGAGGCTCATAGTATGGGCGTTGAGTAAAAAGTTTCTTTCACACCTTTGGCGTAGTTAGTGGAGAATGCGAACAAACCTTTTAGGTTAAAAACATGGCAACACTGCCAAGATCTATTTTTATACCTTCCATCGTATCAAAACATAAGTTTAATATTTTGTTATAATAATTTTGGTTAAAAATGGGTGTACCGAAGTTTTTTAGGTATATCTCCGAAAGATATCCATGTTTAAGCGAACTGGTTAAAGAATACCAGGTTAGGCACTCAACACTAGATAAAGCTAAATTCTTCATTTTTTCATTCATTCTTTTTCAGTTGCCTGAGTTTGATAATCTTTATCTGGATATGAACGGGATTATTCACAATTGCTCCCATCCAGATGACAACAATCCCCATTTCAGAATTACAGAGGAAAAAATCTTTCAGGACATCTTTCATTATATTGAGGTACTTTTTCGTATGATACGTCCACAACAGTTATTTTTCATGGCTGTGGATGGAGTGGCTCCCAGAGCTAAAATGAACCAACAGAGAGGTAGAAGATTTAGGTCTGCCAAGGATGCAGAAAAAATGGAGAAAGAGGCCAAATCAAAGGGAGAAAAATTGCCTGACACTGCAAGATTTGATTCAAATTGTATTACACCTGGAACACCTTTTATGTACAAATTGCAGGAAGCTTTAAAATACTTTGTTGTCGATAAAATTTCAAATGATCCATTGTGGAAAAAGTGTAAGGTTATACTTTCTGGACATGAGGTAATGTTATGAAATATTGTGGATTTTTTTTAATAAAATATATAGACTCCAGGTGAGGGTGAACACAAAATTATGGACTATATTAGATATATGAGGGCTCAGCCAGGGTATGATCCCAATACTAGACATTGCCTTTATGGCCTTGATGCTGATTTAATTATGTTGGGACTTTGTACACATGAACCACATTTTAGTTTGTTAAGAGAAGAGGTAAAATGTATAACACCCAAAAAATACTCTTTAAAAATATTTTTTCCAGGTTAAATTTGGACGAAAGTCAACAAAAAAAATTTCAGTACCTGAAGAAATAACGTTTTTTCTTTTACATTTGTCTCTGATGAGGGAATATTTGGAGTTGGAGTTTAAAACTTTGGAAGAAAAATTACAGGGTTTTCAGTATGATTTTGAGAAAATTATTGATGATTGGGTTTTGATGGGATTTTTGGTGGGAAATGATTTTATACCACATTTGCCAAATTTGCACATTGCAAATGGGGCTCTGCCTATTTTGTACAAGGCCTACAGTGATGTGCTCCCAGAGTTAGGAGGTAAGAAAAAAAGAAAAAAAACATTTATAAATTTATATACAAAAAGATTGTTTATTTGTTTAAACAAAGATTAAAAATCTTTGAGATCCTATTTTAAAATATTACAATTTATAAAATAATTTAACATGCTAGGCCAGAGTCTCTGGGTTTACTTATACATTAAAATAATACACTAGAAATGCAAAAATTAAATATAGAAACTAATATTTAATTTAAATTGTATTATTTTATATATACATACACTATAGTGTATTATTAATAAACTAAACTGAAATCAATTTAAAAAAAATTTCAACAAAAATGTTGTTTTGGAGATTTTGACCATTGACCATTACTTTATATAAAAGGATGGAAACCAATTTTCTAAGGATGTTTAAAAAAATTGGAAGTTTGTTAATAACAAAGTTTTAATTTTTTTACCAAAATGTCTAAAAACATGTCTTAATTAAGATTAATCTAGCTTCAGCTGGCTGCAGATTTCTTGTTTATTTTGTTTCCATATCAACCAAATCAGTTCCATGACAATAAACTTTATCTGTCAGATAAATGAACTGGGACTTAACGAGAGATTGAAAAACCGAGTTTAACGAGGGTTTACAATATTACATGTTACACTTTTTTATATACTTACACTAATTTACAATTGAATTGGTGAGATTAAGGATAGTACAAGTCCAAAAGTTAAATTGACAAATTATTGCATAAAATTAGTTTTATAAAGTCTATTCAAATCCAAGCTGGACTAAATGTAAACACAATCCTCCGAATCGACCAATAAGAGCTAACAATCCGAGTCACACCATCATAATCGACTAATAGAAACAAGTTATCACGCGTCTGGGCGTTTTTGTTTAGTCCAGCTTGGATTTGTATAGTTTTTAGTTCAAAATGCATTTTGTGAGAATATTTTAACTATTTTATAGAATATAATATTTGTAAAATAATTTACATCTTAAAAAAAAAAAGCATTTTAAACTTATACATTGATTTTAGAAAATGATTCGTCGAAGGTAATATCATAGGGGCATTTAATTTTTCCGAAAAAAATCGAAAAAACACGTTGCTGAGTAATATTTTAACAAAAAGCATGAGTGCTTTTTGCATCTGCACGAATACATTTTGTTAAAAAATATTACTTAGCATTGTGTTTTTTCGATTTTTTTCACAGGAAAAATTAGATGCCCGAATGGTATTTGACAAGACTATTTCATGAGTAACAGTTAACAATTAAAATATAAATTGCAATTTTTGGTGACAACAGCTGTCAAGTTTTGCCGCGGGCACGTTCTTATATACAGGTCTTGCAACTTTAAGCTTCGTGGTGGCTTCCTTAACGTGCCAAGCCGCTAGGTGGCGCTAAGATCGAAGGGGTAAAGACAATTAAACTACTACTTAGTTAACACGTTGGCTGCGGGACGTAATTTTCAAAAGTTTAATGATGTGCGTTACGGGGTCTAAATGACCCGCATGTTTATTTATCAGTGTGCGTTACGTGACACATATGTCCCGTAGACATTAGTTACAAAAAAAATTTAAGTTTTATGCAAAAAATGTGTTTTTTTGCATTAATATAAAATATTTCGTATCCTGAACTTACAAAGGGAAGTTGGATAGGGATAGTATATTTTTTATTATGAACGTATAAAAATAAATGCCTTTGCAAACAGACTTAAAAATAAATTTCTTTCCTTAACCCAAATTATTTCAAGATATGTTGAACAAGTAGAACAAACTGTTTATTTATATAAAATAATAAAGTTTTGGCTTATTGAGGGTCGTGTGCTTTATTAAAACAAGGCAAGCAATACCCCGGTTGGCCCACACAATCCGCACAAAATGTATATACTTTTTTTACTTTTTTGTCACATTCCCTACTTGACATTGTTTCTCTTAAGATTTTGTAACAGCCTGTGCATTTTTTTCTCTTCTTATTTTCTGGTCCTGAGGTCGTTAACGTGTGTATTCTTTTTGGAGTCCGTGGTCTGGGAATCTCTTCAGTACTTTCCACAAAAGCTTTACTAATACTCACACGAAAATCTAATATTGACATTTTTTTATCCGGAAACACCGAATTGTAAATAATCCACGCATTTGTCAACGCTGCTCCAAATATAATTTCTGTAGCAACTTTTCTATACCATTTACATCCTTTTCTTAATGGGCTCTGATATGATGACATTTGGTCGCTAAAAAAATATTTATTAATAAAAACCGTAACTTTTATCACATTGATAAATTACCTGAAGTCGACTCCTTTTTTCGCATTGTTATATTCAATTATGCAGAGTGGCTTTCTTATGGGTTCATTATGCCTGTCATTCTTTGCAGTTTCAACCAGCGAAGCATCATGATGTGGACAAGTACTTAACTTTATTACTTTTACGTGTTTTTTTTGAAATCCACATACTTCTCCCTTCTTTAGTTTCTTAGCATTAAGGCGTTTGGGATAGCAACGTCTGTTCTTTCTATATGTACCACAAATTTGAGTATTGTTTTTTTCCAAATTTTGTGCGACTTCTACCGTGGTGTAAAATTTATCGCAAAAAAGAATCCTGCCACAACCATAAAACGGGTGCATCAATATATTGATAACTGCTTCGGCATGTCCAGGTCCACTACTTGCATCTTCTTTACCGGTATAAATTTTAAAATTTAGTATATAACCATTTATGCAACACAGCTTGTATATTTTTACCCCGTACTTATGTCTTTTGTTCTTAATATATTGCCTAAATCCCAGCCGACCTCGCCAGTGCACCATACTCTCGTCAATTACTAGGCTTTTGCCTGGTGTAATATACTTTTGATACGCATTTATTATTGGCTCCAAAATTGGTCTTAGTTTAAAAAGTTTATCTTCGCCAACATTATTTAAGTTGTTTGCAAAATGCCAGCATTTAGGAATTAATAAAAAATGATCACGAGTCATTATTTTCGATATAAATTCATTATGAAACATGGTCTCTTTTGACCAATAAAAGTTTATCTTTGGCACATCAACCAAACCCATTACTATTATGATAGAGAAAAATCGTTTCATTTCTTCTATGGTAACTCCTGTCCATGCTTTTATTCTTCCGTTCCTTTGAGATATTTCTTTCTGTTTCTCTGCATAGGTATTTGTTTCATTAACCATCATTTCAATCAGTTCATCGGTTAAAAACAATTGAAAAACTTGTACAGGAGTCAATATATTATCCGGAAGTGTAAATATATCTTGAATGGGACAATTTACTGTGAATACGTTGTCATTTGGAATAATTTGTTCTTGCCAATCATCAGGAGTTTGTGGTAAAGCTGATTCGTCTTCATTTTCATTTTCTAGATTATTTAGTTCTTCTGCTTCAATTGAACTCGTATCAGAGTCTTTGTCACTAGGAAAATAATTTTTATCTGCAATTGAGTCATCGGAGTCTTCACTAAAACTGTCGGAACTCGAACTAATATGATAGCTTCTGGCAAGATTCAGAATCTTTGCTGCTCGCGAACTCATTTTTCTTTTATATTGCACGAAGAGTAACTTCGAAATATTATACAAATGATTCGAAACTATTTTGCGGAACGGGACATATGTGTCCCGTAAACACGTGCTTTGTGGAAGAAATAAATAGCGACGCGCGCACCGTCCCACGGTTCAAACAAAACTGATTTTATTTTGGCACTGCAACTGAATTTCTGCGCAGGCGACAGTCAAGGCCAGGTTAGAAAAGGATGCCCTCATTTTGGCTTGCGGCACGGGACATATATGACCCGTAACAGTGTGTCCCGTAAGTACTCTACGGGAGGTGATGTGCGGTACGGGTCACAGTTGACCCGTACGTATTCACTATTCAGAATTAACGTCCTAGGCCTACGATTTAGATCTGTATAAGAATCACTGACATATGTAAAGAAATAAAAAAGTTATTGTACTCGCACCTGAAAAAAAATCATTTTTTTTCTTTTCGCACATTAACAAAGTACGATACAGGACAAATATGTCCCGTACCGCAGCCAACGTGTTAAATGTGGAACTACTGCATAACCATAACCTAACTTTTTAAATTATTTTTCTGTTTTGTTTACATTTTCAAAAATTTAATATTTGTGAGTTTGTTTCGGATAATTTACGTTAACAAAATAGGACAACAAAGTCTATACTCTATGCACAAAGTCCTCGGCCGTCACATGCCCAGACCAAGGGTCTTGGCTAATTTACTTGAAATTATTTAGGAATAGCTGGATAATTTGTAAACTATCCAATTCAATTTGGCTAATATGAAAACCAAAATTTCTAGTAACACAACATAGCCAAGCTTTAGATAGTTTACAAACTAACCAACCAATATTCTGGCTAATTTATTAATAACCGATTTTTTTATTGTCTTGGCGGGGATGGGTTGATTGTTTATTTAAAATAATATATATTTTACCAACACAATGTGCTTAATTATATAATAATCATACAAAATGTGAAGGTGTCAATAATAATATAAAAAACATATTATGTTTTTTATTGCACATTGCCATGTTTTTAACCGCTCCTTATTTGTTGGCACTTTAAACATGGACCGCTTAATTTTAATGCCGGAACGATAGCTTTGCTGGTTACATTTTGGCACAACACAGGACTTCATGTCTATTAAAAAGCACAAATACAAATGTATAACAAGAACAAATATAACAAGAACAAATATAACAAGAAAAAATAGAACAATATAATATAACAATAACGAATATCACAATAACAATAAGTAAAAACTCCCTGTAACAAAATACACAAGCTTGTTTATAAAAATGTAGGTTATGTTTCTTCACAGAACATAAGTAGGTAGTTCATTTGACCTTTATCCCATAGACTTTAAGGAATTATAGCCGGTTTTACAATCGTTAGATTAAGTTAGCTTATTTGGCGGATAACTTTCATAGAAACCTTCTATCTAAGAAAATTATCCACCAGAGAGCTTATCTAACGATTGTAAAACCCAAAGATAAAGAAGGTAAAAACGACCTTTAAACATCTATGGTTCACCCTCAACTCGATGCGCCATCTGGTGGGTGTCTCATTAGAGAGGTCACTTTTCCTATTGAAATTGGGCGAAGTTGCAATACCTGTATATAAGACCGTGGCCGCGGGTAAACTCGAAAAAACTGCTGACAGGTGCTGTCACACAGTTTTTCACCTAGAAACCATTTGTAATTCAAAATTGCGCGTTTGTGATTGGTGGAAATTAAGACGAGGGAAATAGTCAAAATAAAATTTTTGGACATGTACTCACCGATTTAATTGCATTAATTAATATATCCAGGTACTATTCTTCACTCCCACCTTGATATTTGAATAAAAATAATTGAGGTTTTCTATCTGTCAGTTTAGCGCTAATTTTGTCTTATTTTCTGAAAACACCTAATACAATAAATGTATGTATTTTTTGCTCATAAAGGTTACATAAACGAAGGAGGCAAACTAAACTTGGAACGTTTCGAAAAATTTATGGAAAAACTGTCTAAGATTGACATGGACAATTTTGAGGATATCCAAGAAGACATTACGTACATGGAATCAAAAACCGGACGGAAGTTCAACCCGTTCGATATGGATTTGCGACCTGACAACCTGCAGGCGTGGAAACCGGAAGACGGAGACGACTTGAAAACGGAAGCTCTGCAACCGGAAAACGATCTAGCCGCCTTGATTAAGGCCACGGACGATATGGTAGAAATAAGGATACGCGTTTTTTGTCGTAGATATTTAATTATTTGTTTTTTTCCTGCAGTTTATTAATTCTTCTGATGATACTTCAGATGATGATGATGCCTTTGATATGTATAAAAAGGAATACTACAGGACTAAGATGGAGTATGCAAAAGTTACACCGTGAGTACTTCTTTTAAGACAAACTTAAAATGTTTACAAAAACAATTTAGAATGTAAAAAAAAACATTTTAAATATGGTAAATCAATTTTATAGGACTAGAAATACTTTTTCCAAGAACTCGCAAAAAAGAGTATCAAACTTGCTTAAATGTCTAAAACAAATTTTAAAATAAAAAATAATATATATTTTTATCTACTCCTATGGCATAATTTTTTGTGTTTTTTTCCGTGAATATTGATAAACATTATAAATTCCCGGGTGACGTTCACAATATCGAAATTCATTATATCGAATTCAAAATATCGAACACTTTTTATCGAAAATCAAAATATCGAAAATACAAAATGTCGAAAATCAAAATATCGAAAATTAAAATGTCGAAAATGATAATATCGAAAATTAAAATGTCGATTTGAAAATGTCGAATAATTAAAATTTCGAAAATTAAAATGTCGAAAATGATAATATCGAAAATTAAAATGTCGATTTGAAAATGTCGAAAATGATAATATCGAAAATTAAAATGTCGATTTGAAAATGTCGAATAATTAAAATTTCGAAAATTAAAATATCGATTTAAAAATATCGAAAATTAAAATGTATGATTAAAATCGAAGTGTATATGTACAGAGGCGCCTCTGTAGATAAAGTTACGGTTATGCACCGAATTATCTTGGCTCCCTGGCTCCTAGAGATGCGCGTTTTATAGAAATGTACTCAAACTCAACAACACAACCCAACCGACCCCGCCCCATTGGCCCCCCCCCCGCCCCATTGAGCAAAAAACCCAACTAAAATGGGCAAATTCATGTTACGATAAAAATAAAACACTTTTTAATTACATAAATTAGCCCATTTTAGTTGGGTTTTTTGCTCAATGGGGCGGGGGGGGGGGCCAATGGGGCGGGGTCGGTTGGGTTGTGTTGTTGAGTTTGAGTACATTTCTATATCAGAGGCGCCTCTATACATATACACTTCGGATTAAAATAATATGTCGATTAATTGAAATATTTAAACAAAATATCAAATTCAAAATAAGAAAATATGGTTTAGTTTCACATTAAAATTCGATTAAATAAAATTTCGATATTATCATTTTCGACATTTTAATTTTCGACATTTTGTATTTTCGATATTTTGATTTTCGATAAAAAGTGTTCGATATTTTGAATTCGATAAAGTGAATTTCGATATTATGAACGTCGATATTTTATTTTCGATAAATTGAAAATTCGATTAAATAAAATTTCGATATTATCATTTTCGACATTTTAATTTTCGATATTTTGATTTTCGACATTTTGTATTTTCGATATTTTGATTTTCGATAAAAAGTGTTCGATATTTTGAATTCGATAAAGTGAATTTCGATATTATGAACGTCACCCTAAATTCCCTGCCTAACAACTCATTATTCACGTTGTTATTGTTATTAGTAATTGGTTGATTTCAATACTCACTGTGATTTTAACCAATCGGGTTTTAAATTGAAAGAAGGCGACTATAATAATATTTAAAATTGGTAAAAAGTAAGGTTAACCATTTGACAGATGTCAGATTTTATTTAATTAATTTTTTCTACTCCTATTACGGAATATGACCGTTCTAATCACTTTTTAATATGGAATGACATATATTCCTGAAAGTATTACAATGAATTGAATGAAGTGCTAACAATTGCTTTCTCCCCATGACGTATTAATTTCAGCACAAACAAAAACCAAATGTACAGCCTACACAGGTTAGAGGTTAAAAGAGAAAAACATGGGAGTGGGATCTGTTTTAATTACAGACCTTTTGGAATTTGAGATTGGTTGGTCGGATAGACCATACGTTAAAGGGAATAAGAAATTAAATGTCTGAATTTCCCGTCGTATGTGGGCATTGACATATTGACTTTTTGGCACGATGTTTCGAATCGTAGCGACACAAACGGATGAAAAAGAACGTAATAAAAAAAATCGATTTTTTTTGGCTTTCTGGTCCACGGAATGTTCTGACTTAACCACCAATGAATAAATGTTCTACAAGAATTTGCTATTGTTTTTTTGAAAAAAAATCCATACTCTACATGAAAATCATGAAAAAAGTGCTTTTGGTAGCTTTTTGAAAAATCAAGCGCTGAATCAAAAATATTATATGTAGTTACTTTTTTTAGGACCAAATCAAAACAAGCGCGGCCCTTATTGGTCAATTCGGTGGTGGTGGCGCGTGCATAGCGCGAGACTGTATTTACATTTACTAATTGTCATTTAGTGGCTAATTTTAGTCCATGAAACCTAAAAAATTAGGCAAATGGGACTAATCTTGAAAAAAAACCTAAAATGTGAAAAAAAACCATTTGAAAAAAAACAAAAAAAAACCTGATAAAAAAACAAAAAAAACGGACCGTTTTTTTTCAAGTCGCATCTCTAGATATGATAAAAAGCATAAAAAGCAATGTTACTCTGAGGCCCCTATACTCTATTAAAAAAATTACGTTAATCCGTTGCTACCTGAAAGGCTAACCAACTAATACATATTACAACACACTTTCGCTAATACATATCATGTCAGGATTTAAACAAAATCTTACGAAATTGGCTACACTGACAAATACATAACCCGAATTATGGAACTGCGTCCCTCATTTAAGTGTCAAGTGGGCCTTTTTCTTATTAGAAACCATGCATGCATGTGTGAAACACTTGTCAGCCAATAACCTTAGAATAAAACAAATATTAAACTTTTGCCTCATCTTACAGTGAAGTAATGAGAGACCAAGCAGAAGGTTACGTAAAGGCCATCCAATGGAATCTAAACTACTACTACAATGGATGTTGTTCCTGGTCATGGTATTACCCCCACCACTACGCCCCCTATATTTCTGATATCAAAGGTTTCACCAACTTGAAAATCGAATTTGATCTTGGAAACCCATTTAAACCTTTTGAACAAGTAAATGTTACCTCTAACAATGTAAAGAATATAATAAAAAAAATTATTTTTAGTTGTTGGCAGTGCTGCCATCAGCAAGTAAAATGCATTTACCTGAAGTGTATCATGGTCTTATGACCGATGATATTTCTTTGATTAAACAGTATTATCCAGAAGATTTCCAAACTGATTTAAATGGTAAAAAACAGGAATGGGAAGCTGTTGTTTTGGTTCCATTTATTGATGAGGTAACAAAAATTTCAGTAATATTTTAGTTTTTATAAGTTATGCCATTAATAATTAAAAAATAATATTGGTTCCATTACTTGAGGCCTGTCAGAGCAAAGTCAACAATCTCCCGTCAGACTAAAACTGAGTAAATTGAGATAATTGATTTTGGTATTTTAAATTCTAGGTTTGTAATTTGTAAACAAGGTCTCCAGGATGCATAGTATAGGTGAAATCTATAATTATAAATTGGAGATTGCTGACTTTAATATGAATTGCTGGAGATTGCTCATTTTGTTGTAAACGTTTAAGGAGATTTAGAAAAATAAACAAAAAAATAATTGTATTTTTATTCCTTTAATGGTTATAAAATTTAACTATACAATCAATGTGGGAAAATTCTGAACTGGACCACATAAATCTGGAGTTTCTTCTAAATCTGGGACCAGGTTGCCTCATGCAAAAAAGTTTTTATAGTGCAACAACTCATCATCTTCGTCCCACTTTGCCCCGTAATATTTTATTTGCAATGTTTTGACATTATCAGCCTTTTCTTGCTTTACCTTTACGTCTTATTATGGTATAATAGTACACAATAAACAAGATAACTTTTTTATAATTCTTAAAACAATAAAACGTATATGTATACCTACCTATTTTAAATATATTTTTAAGTTCAAATTACTGCAATCGAACTTAACAGTATGTACCAGTAAAAAAACACAAAATTAAATCTCTAATAGTATATTATGTATCAAGTTTGGTAAACGCCATTTTATACACGAATTTAATTTAATGAGTGTATAGAAAAGTTTATAAACGAGGTGCATACTATACTTTTTCTACGACAAATACTTATTATTATCTTAAAATGATTTAAATCAAAAATTTGTATAGAGCGCCATCTATGAAACAATAGGGGAATCTGTGTGTCACCGTCAAATGTCACATTTTTGTATTTTATAAACACAGATTATAAACGTTATAAATGGAAATGTATTTCTTGAAAATTGACAGTTTTTCACAGTGAAAGTAAAGAAAATGTTTTATGAGGACTTTACAGTGGAGTCCGTGCCCGAATTTAAGTTATAGTTTACTGCCGGCGAAATTAAAAGGTCAGTACAATGTTCATATAAACTTTTTAAATATTAATTGGCGTTGAGAAACTATTTAATACTTTTGTATTGAGATAAAATAATTTTCACATTTAGTATTATTTTACAAGAAAGGCACTTTATTTTAACGATTGTATGACATTTGACAACTGTCAACTAACTTAAAACTAACTTCAGCCCGTGACTAAAAACCTGTTGCTAACTTCAGCCCGTGACTAAAGCGCCGTAAAGCCACAACTTGTCAATGTGTATTTAAAAGGTCACTTAGTGTCATGGAAACATGTACGATAAAGGTGGGAGTAGAAAAAATACGTTATAACATCAAATGTTAGGATATCAGGTGACACAAATTACTTACAAATCAGTGGAGATTGTCGACTTTGCACTAAATGTCATTTTTAAAATAGGATTTTAGGCAGCATTTATCTCCTTTTGCAGCACATAAACTTTATCATCTTATAGATTATTATTATTATTAGTTGAAGTACAGTCTCCGCCAAAAATCTAATTTTTGACCAAAAGTGGAGATTGTCGGTTTTGCTATGACAGGCCTCACTTAATCTTGAGGTATACCATGTTTCATAACACTTTTTTCTCAAATAACATTTAGACGCCGTGTCAAATGCTACCCGTAAATTTCTAATTTATTTTAAAGAACCTTTTGCTTGAAGCCATGGCACCGTGCAACCAAAAATTGTCTTTGGAAGAGCAGTCGCGCAACAAGCACGGGCCGATGTGCGTTTACAGGTGGGTTGAGCGTTCCCTTGGCTCGTACCAAGCTCCAGACCATTTTAAGGACATCGGCGAAAACCACGCTTTCCTTAAAAGTCTCTCTATCGACGACATCAGGGTGCCTGTGGATAAATTGGTCAAAGGCGCATATCCCGGTGTCAAGATGAACGTTTATTATCCAGGTTTCCCCACCCTAAAACATCTGAACTATAGGGTAGAGTATTTTTTTAATTTAATCAAATTTTGACGAAAAATGAGTAAAAAAACAATCTTTAATATAAATTAAGTACTTTGATTATTTAATTATTAGTTAAATGTATTTTTAGGGAGAGCTTAAATTAAACAAAATCAAAGTTTTCGATCAACCAAGCAGGAATGAAAATATGGTAATAAAAATCATACCAGATGAAAAATACTTGGGTGATTCAATACCTGTTGATCTTCTAGGAACAACAATTTTTGTTGGTTGGCCACATTTGGTTGAAGCAAAGTGAGTTTTAGTCTTCAACTTAATCATCCGATTTTTATCTAAGTTTTAAGTAAATCGTATTTTTATATTTTTAGAGTTATTGCTATTTCCAATAGCAAAAGAAAATATGTTAGCATGGGATCCCCCGGAGAGTACGATATAAATGACAAACTTGGCGACGAAAAAGCCTTTAAATACGAATACGACGGCATAATTGAATAGTACAAATAAGCATAACATTAAAAAAAATACAATTTTAACAACTCTATTTCAGCTATAAAACAAGAATGGGCATAGATTGCGGTGAAACTAAAGTCCTGATGCACGTGCAAGTTATGATTGGTCGCAGGTATGTGTTTTCGCCGCAAGGAAGGCTCTCATTGGACAAACAATTCGCCAAAGAAGAATCAAGATACCCGCTACAAACAACCGTTTTTAATATCGATGCGTACGATTCTCACAATTCGACATTCAAAGATATACACAGCGTTTTACCCATCGGCAGCGAATGCTTTTTGATTACCAATCCATACTATGGATCTCAAGGAACGGTAAGTGAAAAGGAATGTTGCGCAATTTTTCGACGGAAATTTAATTTGGGAAATAGTTTTAAACTGTTTTTAAACAATATAGACTTGCGCAGCAAAAAGTTTTACTCAAATGATACGATTTTAAAACTTGCGCATCAAACTGTGTACAACAAAATTGAAACATGGCGTAATTTTCCCGGTTACTTTGAAAATCAATATGAATGTTGCACAATTTTGCCGCGCAAGTTTACTTTAAGTTTTAATAACTTTTCGCACTAAGAATACTCCTGACTTGCTACGTACTTGGGCAGCATATTTAAATATAATTGCGGATCAAAACGTGTTAAGCAAGATTTACAATTTTTAAACTTGCGCATAAAATTGCGTAGTAAAACACAAGAAAATTAAAATGTTTTTAATTTTGATATTAACTCTAAAAATCAATTTTAAAACAATGTTAAAATTCTTGCGCAACAAAAAGAGAAAAAGAATGTTGCGCAATTTTGTGGATCAAGTTAAAAACACTGTTTTAATAACTTTGTTTGTGTAAAAAACAGAAGGTTGTTTCATATTTAAGTTTTAATATTTTAAAAAAATTTGAAAATTCTAAAATTTTTATTTATTTTTGAAACCTTTAAAAATTCTGAATTTATTTAATATAATGTGCTTCATTACATTTTTAATTTTTTTTTTGAAATTTTAGAAATTTGTAAATATAATTTGCTAAAGTTTGAGTAATTCAAAATTTTTGAACCCTCCTTTTAATTACACTGGCCCTATCTGCTTTTTAGTGGATTCTGGTGGATTTTATGCAGGATTTTGGTATAACTAGTACAACTGTTGGCAACACTGGTTGCTAGCAAAAAATAAAATGCAAGGGTTGTAGGTCCTACACCACAATAAACACCATAATTTAAGTGGAAGCCTTTGCCTGTTTTATTTTAATAATTTGTCAAATTGTGGTTCTATTTTTGAGACATGCTGTCATGAGCAAAATCTATAAGATCTTGTTTCATCTTCAGATATTGTACTCACATATCCACAAAAGGATTTAGTATCCACGTATCTCCATTGTTAGCTGCAGAGTTCTGAAAATTAACTTCCCTGTTTCTCTTTTAAATCTCTGAATAATTCAAGGAATATAGTAACATACTACCAACGTTTGGTCCTTTTCAATTTCTTCTAAACGCAGGGGATTTTATAATTGGCCTTTACAGTGTTTTCTTCTCTATATTGGAGGCACTTGTTTTAAAAATTAATCACTGCCCGCATAGTACTCGCGACTAGCTTGCACAATGCACTTTATTTCTTGATGAGTATCTATAGTCTCAATAGAAAACAAAAATAATACGTCGTCTTTGAATACACTGACAGTTTTATTACGGTCCTGGGGGTCGCCTTTTTTTACTTGTTGGTTGAAAATCACGGCTTTAAAAAACAGTTTTAAACTGTTTCAATGACTTTGTGCAATAAAACACCATAGATTTGCAAGCAAATTATTAAAACTTGCGCAACATTTTAGATGAGAATTGCACCGAAATGTTGAATAATTTTTCTGTTTACTTTGAAAACCAATTTTAAAACACTCTAGACTTGCGCAGCATATTTTAATACAATTTACGGTTTTATACCAGCGATTTTCGACTTGCGCAATAAACTGCGTAATAATAAAAAAATTGAAATTGTTGCGTAATTTTTCAGTTTATCTTAAAAAGCAACTTCTAAACTTAAAAAAAAATTGCGCTACCAAGTCACTTGCGCAGCATTGTGAATTAGAATTGCACCGTAAAAAGTAAATATGGCTGGTCAAATTTTCCTGTGCATGTTTATAATTATTACATATCAAATTACTAAACTTTTACATCTATTTGACTAACCATTGTTTTTGTCTAAAAACAATTCTTTAACTTTGACATGCTTATAACATTTTTAGAAATGTTGCCTTAAAATTCACTTTTTTTTTAGATCTTGGATAGTTCGGATACACTTAAAAACGGCCGTCTTAAAGTTTGTATAAGCGTAGTGGAGGAGCCGGATATGTCATCTGTTTTTGTTAAACATGAACAAATGAAAAATATGTATATGTCAACGCACACTGCGTCTCAAACTTTAGGTTTGTAAATTCAAAAGCCAAACAATGTTTGTTCTAAAATCTTTCGTTTAGGTATGCCGCCGTATTTGTTCTCGAAAATTACCGGGTGCGTTTTTATAACGGCTCGCAATAACGAAGGTGGTTTGAAAAACGTCAATGGTGGATTGGATTTAAAATTTAACAAGAGAAATAAGGAAATTCCCGGTTACACAAAAAAATATGGCAACACGTGGGTGTATACAGCGAAAGCCGTCGATTTGGTGTTGGAATATTGCGAACGATTTCCGGAACTAGTTCAATTTTTGTCCAAGGGTGCCAAGCAAGATGGAATCGCAGCTGAAATACTGTTTGGAGATAACTGGTAAGTTATAATTTATAAAATTAAAACACAAAACCATGGAGCCTACACAAGAAGTTCTTAAATAGAGAAAATTGACAGAACCTGCCTACTAAATCGCACAAATTACGTTTTATTTTTTTATACATAGAAGTGTCAATTAGAGTTTTAAAGTGGCGAAAAAAAAACGGAAAGATTGGGGAAAAACTGTTTTTTTCCTTTTTCCCAGGCTTTAGAAAAATTGTTTTTTTTGGGAAAAATTATTTTTTTTTTGGAAAATATACAGGGTGAAGTGGGGTAAGTGTAATCAAAAAAATGATACCTCAACTTTAAACTAAAATAACTAGAGAACCAATAGAGGTACAGGGCCCATTTTTTGCGAGATTATTGCTTATTTAGTTGTTTAAGAAATGCAAGTAAAACTATTTTTCTAACCGCCTTATTCTTTTATATATAAATGATAATGCTGGACCGAGTGTGCTGATTACACTTGCCCCAGCATTTGGGGCAAGTGTAATCACGACTCGTAGTTGCTAACTAGAAATCGTGCTAATGTGTCTGGGGCAAGTGTAATATAGAATACAAAATTCTGATTTTAACAAAATAAAGAACAAATTTATATCTTGTATGATAAGCAAGTTACAAGCTTTTTTGTGGTACATACTAAGGGAATAAAACTTTGGTGTTTTCTTCATTAAAAATCTGAAGCAAACAAGAATACATTACAAAATTATAAATTAAAGCCAAATATTAGAGACTGGGGCAAATATAATCACCGATTACATTTACTCTGTGATTACACTTACCCCATGTATAGATTTTCTGGGGTAAATGTAATCACTACTGTAAATTTTGTTGTCATCATTCAAATCAAAATCTGGTAGCAGGACTGGATTACTCTTGTAAAATAACCCAGGATAGCAAAATATTTGAACCCTTTTTTAGTATTCATAGCAGGAATCTGAAATAAAATTTTTTAGGTGATACTCATAAGACAAGTCTAAATAAAAGTTAACTTAAAAAAATTTTTTATTTTGCAGCCAGATCTCCAAAAAAGGTAAAAAATCCACAAATGAGTAAAAGAAGGGTTATATTTTTGAGTTTTAAATAAAAAAATGCCAAAAATTTCATGAGAAAAAATACCGGGTGCCTGATTACACTTGCCCCAAGATTACATTTACCCCAATTCACCCCACATGTAAAAAAAAGTCGCAAACAGCATCACCTTAACATTATTTTAATTTTAAAAAAATATCCTTTATTACAAAAAAAACTAAATTGAATTAAATTGATTTAAGAAAATAAAAGTAAACGTTAAATACACTGTCGGTTGGGACTTTTTTCCAATTTCAAAATAATGAATTTAAGCTAAATTACAAAATTATAATTTTATAAATCAAACTGTCAAAAAGTTGTATTAATACAGCACCGAATATGTTCTTTTTGCGGCCCGGTAGAAAACAAAATAGAATCTTACTGAATAAAAATAAAAGGAATAATTATTATGTTCATCATAATATTATATGATTATAACCAGTGTCGGAAATTCACTTTTTTCCGAGGGGTAAACCACTTTAAAATCAGCGTTCAACATTATATGGACGTTGGGTTGATTTTTCCTTATCAGTCGTTATCAATAAGGAAAAATCCTTATGAATAGGAAATTTCTTTTAGCAACGCGTTGCGCTTGACTACCTTTGTGATTGTTTTTCTTAGCCGTTAATCCGTATGCAATTTTTAATTATTATAAAAATCAGTGGTTTACCCCTCGCTTTTTTCTAGATATTATTGTATAGATAATATCCTACAAATTTGTAAATTTTCAGAAAAATTGACTTTTGCATTACCTTTTGAATAAAATGAAAAAAGTGCAAAAGTCATTTTTTCCAATTTAAAAAAAAAAACGTTTTTTTCCGTTTTCCCTAGTGTCAATAGCCTGCTATCTCTACCCTTAGTTACACTACTTATTTTACTTTGTTAGGGACGTAAAAATGAAGGAATTAAACAAATTTTTGAAAGAGTTGCCAACACACAGCATAGAAAAACGAACATGTGGATCTGAGGCGTTTGAAAAAGAAATTGTCGATGATATTGAAAAAATCATAGACAGCCAGGCTGACAAACTGGTAGTCAAGAAAGTCACCATGCAAGTCAAGCCTGGATTTTTGTACAGGGTATGTTTAAAAACTTCTTTTAAATTTTTTTACCAAATCTTTTTTTAGCCTGAGCTTCAAAGTGGGACACTGATGCCAGATCCTACAATGCGCGCAGAAATTCTGGACCGAATCGTGAACGTTCGTACCGGGTACACGGTACCGTTCGGTCTTAAAGGTACCATAATTGCTATACAAGAACCCAGCGATGGTAACGACAGGGATATTCTTTACGATGTCGTGTTTGACAAATCCTTTAGGGACGGTATGACTTTAAATTGCTCCGAAGGAAGAGGATATCGTTTGCCAAGCAATGCTTTTATAAATTTGACGCACGGCAAAAGAAAGATGGAAGCTCGAACAGGAAAACCAGGTAAATATATTATTTAAAAATTGAAGTTTGTTTTTAATAGCTATTTCGGTAACACGTCTGATCCGTTAATATTGAGGTTTACAACGGTTTTAAATATGTCTCTTAAAGTTTAGATTAATATTTTTAAAACTATCTGAATTAACAGCACTGCCCTTGACTAATACTTTGCGTTTCCCCAAAACACACAGATTATAGCTAAAAAAGTACATGTGTGCTTAGATCACAAGGTTCTTTTGGACAATTTAATTTAATTCGTATTTTGTTTTAATCCAATTAATAATCAATATGTATATACATATGTATTTGGGTTTTCTTAAGGAGTTCAACATTTATAGTGCTAAAAATTTTATTTGTTTGATTTATTAATATTAAATTGTGATATTTAATTCTAAAGTAATTTTTTAATCTGCTTTTGGTATGAGAAATATGAAACAGGTTTTTTTGTCCTAGGTACCATTTTATTTTATATTTATACTACTGCAAATTTTCCCACATTTTTTTATTTTTTTAACTAGTGTGCGAATTTGTCGTACCATTTTTTAAATTTATGCTACTGTTCAAATATTCCAATAGGAGGCATTTAAAATTTTTGGTAATTTTTATAGTTATAGAAATTTCAAAAATGTTGGAAGGATCTTTTGCCTATCCCTAGGCTAGAGTTATGTCTAAAAAATTAAAAATAGTTTCTACTCGATTAAATTTTAGTATTGAAAATTAAAATTTTTTGAGGGTCTTCTGTTACTTATTACAAGAAATAAATTTTTTAATTGAAAAGCTAAGAATTTTTTACATTATTTACATGAAAAAAAAAAAACTTTAATGTTAAGAGCTAAAATCTTCAGTAATGGATTTTGATGTAAAGAATAACTGGAATGACCCATATACTATTGCAAATTTTTCCTACAATTTTTTTTTATTTTAAACTACTATGCTAATTTGTCATTATTTTTTAATTTTGAAAAACTGCGAATTTGTCCTACCATTTTTTAAAGTTAAATTGTTAATGGTTGAAATCAATGTTAAACCCAAATATTTTTTATTTTTATTTTAAAAGCTTTTTATGCACACGACCACATCTGGTTTTCATCTAAGAGTATTGATATTTTTTATTTAACATTTACATTAAATTTATATTTGTTTATTAAACTACTATGTTTTAATGATATTTCAACACATACGCGAAAAAATAACTAACAGTTATGTAACTGCAAATTTTGTTCAAATATTCTAATTTTATTTGGGCGTTTTAAAAATTTTGAAAATTTGTTCCCTTTTTTACAACAGTGCGAATTTTTCTCACAATTTTTTGATTTTAAACTATTTTGCCAATTTGTCCTATTTTTTTGGACGCTGTTTCAGTTTCATCTGTCGTAAAGCCAATTTTTGGTTTACCCTGTCCGCAAAGAAGTTTCACTTAAAAAAATTTTCATTGAAAGAAATTTAGCCAAAACCACTATATTAACCAGTTTTCTGTCTTTTTTCGTTTTTTTTTACGACAGAAATTTTGAATTTTTTTAGGAGATTATATGGGTGAATATGGAAACAAAACGGAGGCAACAGAGAGACGCGAGCCCGTCAAGTCGAACAACTTTTTCACTCCGTCCGCATTCGCATCGGTTCCGCAGAGTCCGCAGAATCAAAAATATCCACCAGATCAGCCGAGAATCAAGATTAATCCACAGAATATCAAAGTACAAACGCCGCCAAAAGGCGATTTTATGCCAGATTTTGGTGGCAATGCGTCCGAGAAAAAGGGAAATAACCGGAATAGGAATGGAAATAAAGTTCCTAATCAACCTTTAAATATGGTGAGAAATATACTAAAAAAATATCTACCGTTTCAAGTAAAAGCAAACCTACAATTTAAAATGTAAATATTTTTTAATATATGGAAAAATTTATTTCTCGGTTTTAATGCAGATGAAGTTAATCACTTTATTATTACTTTAATCGACAAAAATGTTGGGTTTAATTTTTTTCAAGAATATATATATTTTTTATTAAGCACTTCTCGTTATTAGTTTCCGGACTATTCGCATGCGCAATAATAAATAAAAAAATCTAAATTAAATTGAAATAGATTTTTGTTATTGCGCATTCCCAATGCGCCGGAGAATGAACAAGAAGTTGGTTAATTAAGTTTATTAGAAAATTAACAACAATTTTTATAACTCTTAGGTACCAAGAGTGGTGAGTAACTATATTGTTATAATATACCTAATATGTACAAAAATTAAATGTTTTTTTTTGTTATATAGGATACTGATATGTTGAAAAAACTACTAAAAATTGGCAGCGACGATAATAAAAATAATAAACCGACACCAAAGCCAACCGAAACAATGCCTCCACTAGAAAATAAAATTAATGTGGCTGATATTTTTGCAGTAAGTTTGTTTTGAACTAAAAATATTAATTTAACGCAAACATTATTAAATTTTGCCTTCTATTTTTTACATCAATAATTGAGTCGCCTAGTTCCAAAACCCTCTAAATCCACCTTAACATTTTATTGAGGAAACGCGAAACTTTACACCTGGTCAAAAAATAAGGTTACTAAAATTTGATAGGCAGTAGCATAAACAAACAAGAAAGCTTAAGTGGAAAAATTTCACTTTAATGGTTTTTTGGAAAACTTTTTGGTTTAAAATTTACATGCTCTTTTAAATTGAATCAGTGGAATTTCATTAATTTTCCTGTGGATCCCACTGGTTGTACAGTAAAATCTGAATTTCATTGATGGAATCAGTAAATTTTAATGGATTACCATGGTGAAATAAAAAAGATCAACTGGTTCAATCAGTAAAAAACCTAAAATTTCACTGGTGAACTTTTTACTCACTGGTCGAATCAGTAAAATTCCACTGATTATGCTTTTGAAAGTTTAGAGTTTATTAGCATAAAGACAATTTTATTTCTTAACAAAACTTTTTAAAATTAAAACATTAATGTTTTAATTTAAAAAAAACATTAATGTTTTAATTTACAAAAAATCAAATATAGGTTTTATTGTAAAAAATAATTTTTGTAGAAAAAACACATTATAGAACGCATTCCTGAAAGTCACATCCTCCTCTCCATCGTCACTTTTTTTATTTTCTACTGCTTCATTGACTGCAGATCTTGTTACAATGATTTTGTAATACAAAAGATTTTATTGTTCAGGTTTTTTGGTAGTCATTTCCAAAAGACGCCAAAATGTATCCAATTGGATTTATTGGGTTTTGTTTATGATTTTCTGTGTACATGTTTAATTTAATTTGGATTTAGTAAGTTTTTGTTGTTCAATGGATTTAGCGATGTTTGAATATCTGTACCTCAGAGCCAAAGCATGCCAAGTCCATAAACCTGATTTTGAGCAGTTTAAAGATATAAAATTCATCTGCATTGTTGTTTAAAGCTCTATTTATATGAAACCCACAGAAAATACTTTGTTTCATAAGTTCCATAAAAACTTGGCTTTAAATAATAATTCAAAAAAGAAAATGTCGCGTTTCAAATCAATCCTTCACAAGTCAGGTTTTTGGACTTTTGGCTCTGGGGGACAGGTATGGATTTAGGGGATTTTGAATCTAACCTTGGATTCCTACAGTGATTTAAACCAGGATTCAGCGGGTTTTAAAACTTATTTATCATCTAAAAATGTAATTTAGACCTCCCACATGTATATGGTATAACAAATTCGATTTTTAATAAAAGTGGATTTAGTGGGTTTTGGAACTAGGCGACTCAATTATTATCGATTTGCAATCAGGGTTGTCCACCTACATTCAAAAAAACACGGGGCAGACATACTGCGCTCCCATAAGCGGCTTTAAAATTTATCCTTTTATTTTGGTTATCTTTTTTATTTGAAGAGCTACAAGGTCAGTTAAATTAGAGAAAAGTTGCGTAATTACAAGTCTATTAAAATTACATTTAAAAATTGAAAAAAAACGGACTTTCTCTAATAATTTGGAAAAAAACAAAAATCGTTATAACCCTATTTTTGGGAATTTAAAAAAAAGTTATGGTGGATTTATGCAGCACAAATTAACATTAAGATTAACTTTAACATTAAGATTAAGATTAATTTAACATTAATAGGAGGGTATTTATGCAGCAAAATTAGTAGCAAATTAAGCATGCGTATAAGTTAAAGTAATTTTGACATCTGACATTTTTTATTTGTTTGAATTTTGTTTTAATCCCGTTTTAGCATCTGTTAAGTAAAATAAATGAAAACTATAAACTCCACGTCAAACAATAAACCAAAGAACACAATCATTGAATAAAAAATTAATCATTCAGCAGTAAGTTTCATTTTTTTTCGGGTATGTTGGCATTACTGACACGGTTTATTTAAAAATTGCGCCGCAAACCTGCGCAGGAGGAATAAAAATTAACATTATCATTAAGAAGATAAAAGTTGGCCATCTCTTAATGTTAACTTAATGCTAAAGTTAATGTTAATGTGTTGCATAAAAGCTTCCAATGGATTACGTTCATTTAACTTCTTAATGTTAATGTTCATCTTAATCTTAATGTTAACTTAATGTTAATTTGTGCTGCATAAATCCACCATAACTTTTATCTACATTTTTAACCAATTTGTGATTTTTTTCACAACCACCAACTTTTGTTTTATCTATGGTCCCATATTGAAATTTCACATGGTTAGATAGAAAAAAAATCAAGAAATTCAACAATGTTTCAAAGTACTAAAGCCTTCCATTATAAAAACAAGAGATGGTGATGGTATTAAAACCATCATGGTAACTCAAAATATAATAGCAAATAAATTGGATAAAAATGTAGGTCTTCAAATAAAAAAAAATACCCATAGAAGTTAGTTTTAGTTAAAAATAATGTTTACAACCCTATTTAGAAATGTTAAAAGCTAAATATATTTAAGGTAACAAAGTTATTTATTATTTTTATCGATATTATTAAAACCCCAAAAACTGTTTTGGTGTGTTTAAAATTCTTTTTTATTTTATATTTAGAATGCAGGTACTGCAACAGTTAGGTTGTTAACCTACTTCCAATCAAACAACTTAGGTCTGCCAAGGTATCAATACTTTGAAGAAAACAATGGCATTGTAGCCCAGTTAATCCTTCCACCAAAAGGCCTAATGGTTGGAAAACTTTGTTCAAATAGAGAAGAAGCCAGCGAGAGTGTAGCTGAAGCCGCACTTAATGAATTTATGAAAAAAGTATTAAAAACAAAATGGACAAAAAATATGTTATTTATAAATGAATTTTTTAGGGTAGCGAAAGAACTGTAGAAGTTGTAAATAACTTCCCAGCCCCGCCTAAAACGTGGGTACAGCCACCACCATCAGCCCCACACCCTAAAAGAGTATTTTTTTTATATTTTGTTGTTACCCTATTTAAAGTCTTGTATTTTAGGACTCTGGAAACAATTCATCTAATTCAAAATCCCAAAATGGCCACCACAACAAAAGCCAAAATTTAGTGTCAACCAACTCCTTTATACCGACTCAGGCCTTAAAACGACAAGCACAAAAAAATGCTCAACATGGAAACTCGTCTAAACATACAGGTGCTGATAATGTGAAATCCAGCCCTTCAAATACGAGTTTAAAGGAAAATAAACAGGTAATAACCTAATTTGTTCCTTATTAATTAAAATGTAAATTAATGGGTACTTATTTGTTTAAGGAACAGTCCCCAAAAAAGAATGATAGGCCACGAAGGGAAAGAAAAACCAGAATTGCTGCTAATTTTTGTAATCAATGAATATTTCATTATCTGACTTATATACTTGTAAGAATAAAATGAAATTAAAAAAATACAATGTTTTTTTTAGAAAAACAGGTTTTTTTGAGAGTTGTGATTTTGTCCACTTTTTTTGATTTCGTCCATGACGTGGTCAAAATTGGACAAAATCGGAAAATATCAAATAATATTCTATTTTATTATTGGTTTATTTTTTATTACCTACTACTATTAATAGTATAATCGGTATACAGTAGGTAACCTACTACTTATATAATATGTAGGTAAACAACTACTGTGAGTACAGACTACTCTATGGTCAAGAATGAGTTGTGCTAAGTGATAAGGAAGAGTTAAGCGACAAGTGCAAACTAATATAGTGAAACGGTCAAAAAAGAGTTAAGTGTTAAGTGACAAGAAAGAGTTAAGCTTCTGAGCGATCGCACCACCTGTCAACCGGACGATTTTCACTGGCCAAACAAAAGAGGTCAAACAAGGGAGCAATAGGCCATCTGCAAAAAATTGATAAGTATCCTCAACTCATCTGCATGACCTAACACATTATTTGCAAAACTAACTAGACAATGCACACTGCCTAATCTCTAAAATATAAATGTTAGAAATTTCGTACTACTGCGCCAATAAACAATTTAAAAAAAAAACATCAAAAGCTACAAGTTACATACCCAACTACTAAACATGTGCAGGAACAATCCTACTTGGACACGAACAATAACGATAAAAACGTAGACCAAGACGTAGGCTCCTGCAGCAAAATAAAAACTCCCGAACTCCATACAGTAATCCCAAATGTTTGGAGTAATACTAACTGCCTGGTCTAGGGGGGTACCGCGTCGTACTTAGATTTAAGTAGGCGTAATTGCCCCCCAAACACCAAACTGTCTATCCCTCCCGTCCTACCTACTTCATGACCATACTGGGCGAATAGCATCGGCTCGGCGAACCCGGGAATGGCTACTAAAACTATTGGCATTTCGCTCTCGAGTCCTAATTAGGGGACAGTACGGGACGCAATGGACATTCGCAACCAGCAAACACGGGCGAAGCCGTTGCTGGTGGAGAAAGAAAATCGGCGCAAGGAAACAGAGGCCTATGCGGGGCCCGGGAGCGATGAGGCAATGGGGCCGGTTATACGTCTCTTATACTCATACTCATACTATATATATTGCTAAACTATATTGTTAAACAACCTTAAATGTACAAAGTAATACTTAAGTAGTTACCATATATCGGTGTATACCGGGTATATGGTAAATACCAAATTGAATACACCCTGAATTTACCCATTGGGTACCTACATACCGGATACATACCATGGGTATTTACCCAAATTTCAATATACCGGGTACTTGCTCATCACTGCCCACAATTGAGATTTTTTACTTTTCCAATACTTGTTCATGTATGTAAAAATCCTTTCAGTGGGTGCGTATTTACAAACTTACCCAGTTTTAACAATAAAATGGCAAACATCACAATACCTGACTAGATATTTATAGCTAAACTGTCACTTAATTAAATATTCTTGTATTAACCTATGATTCTATCATAGAAAAAGGATATATATTCTATAATAATGAACGAATCATAAAGAATGGAATGAATACAGTACTGTTTGGTTCAGTATGTTAAGCCGGGTGTACAATTGTCGCAGGGGTCCGATCGCAGAACATAAGCTTGCGCAAAGCACCCCGAGACGTGGCGATGGAGCAACATTCTTTTGTCAGCTAGGTGCTTTGCGCAAGCTTATGTACTGCGATCTGCGACAATTGTAGACCCGGCTTTAGATGACGCTACAGAGTATGCGCACTGCGTATTGCGCAGTTGAAATATCTTTAGTTTCGGGAAATTCCATACCCTCTCAAGCGTTAAGCCTAATATATAGGAAGGCAATCTATAAATCAGGCTTTACGTTGCCAGATTTAAATTACAGGACATTTTACAGGACGCCCACAATAAAGGGGTTTCATATAAACTGCGCACCACTCAATGTGTCGCGACCAAAAAGTTCGTCCTTTTTCAAAACGACATAACTTTTTTGTTTCTTGAACGATTTTATTTTGGTCTGTGATGTCTGCTAACCCCATCCTCTGGCAATTCATGCTATAGATATAAGGCATACGGTTCTTCAAGTAAATTTCCTACAGGGTGATATGTAAAACGGTGAAAAATTTCAATAACTTCATCCAAGCCCCGTTTGTAAAACAATAATTTTTTTTCGTTTTTACTTTGAAATAATGAAGTATTATGTGTTACCTTGAAACGTTTTTGGAATCTTAGCAACGAAAATATGATTTTTTTTTCCAAAAGAGTACATTTAAGGGTTTTGGTAGGCAATAGGTAGGCAATGATAGGCAATATATATATTCAGTCTTTTTAAGAACAAGAAAATAAGATGGTAAAAGATTGTTCCTTGAATAATTCTGAACAAGCGACAAGCAACAAAATTCCATTATTTTCAGAGGGGCCTAAGCAACCACTTTTTCAAAATGACATTTTGGTGAAAATTTGCGAAAACTAAACCTGAACCGATATTTACTTTCGTGACATGTTTTCTTTATAATTTTGACCTCCTGATTGAAATTCAGTTGTCAAATTTAAGTTTCAGATAAAACCAAAATCATCAAGAATCAAAATTCGAAAACAATTCCCTGATGTTAAATGTCTTAATAAAATCCGATTGCTGTCGTGTTTCTTGCATATTTATGATGAAAATGCCATTTGGGGATTCATTTTTTGGGCAATTACTGCAATTTGTTTGAGTGGTTAGGATAATGTTACATAACTTACATTTACATTGCGCAGTAGTGATAACATTGATAAGTACCTACCTTATTTATAATAAAGTTAAATAAAAATATTTTTGTTCATTTTTGAAAATTGTATGCGTAGATATAATCATAATCAAAACTTCAACATTCAACAGAAAAATGTAACAAACAATAACAATAACACCCCCATTTTTCCTGAATAGCATTTACTAATTCATCCAAATTTTCCATGCCTCCTTCCCTCTCTTTCATCTTCAATTTTATCCTGCTCCACACATGCTCAATAGGATTTATATCCGGAGACAAAGGTGGCCAATTCATTTTCTCAATATGGTGGTCCCTTAAATACTCATTTACGATATGTAAAAAAACAGTAAAAACCAGCAATCGGATTTTATTGACACATTTAACAGCCGGGAATTTTTTTCGAATCTTGATTCGTAGTGATTTTGGTTTTATCTAAAACTTAAATTTGACAACTGAATCACAATCAGGAGGTCAAAATTATGAAGAAAACATTTTACGAAAGTAAATATCGGTTTAGGTTTAGTTTTTGCATACTTTCACAAAAATGTCATTTTCAAAAAGTGGTCTTAGCTTAGGCCCTCTGAAAATAATGGAAGTTTGTTGCTTGTCGCTTGTTCAGAATTATTTAAGGAACAATCTTTCACCATCTTATCTTCTTGTTCCTAAAAAAAGACTGAGTGTATTGCCTAAAAAAAAGCCTTAAATGTACTCTTTTGGAAAAAAAATCATATTTTCGTTGCTAAGATTCCAATTCGAAAAATTTGAAAACCGTTTAAAGGTAACACATAATACTTCATTATTTCAAAGTAAAAACGAAAAAAAAAATATTTTTTTACAAACGGGGCTTAGATAAAGTTATTGAAATTTTTCACCGTTTAACATATCACCCTGTAGGAAGTTTACTTGACCAATCGTGAGCTTCATATCTATAGCATAAATTGCCAGAGGATGAGGCTAGCAGACATCACAAACCAAAATAAAATCGTTCGAGAAACATTAAAGTTATATCGTTTTGAAAAAGAACGAACTTTTTGGTCGCGACACATTGAGTGGTGCGCAGTTTAGATGCGAAATGCGAAATACAAATATTCGCATTTCGCAAGTCCATTTTCATATAGATGCGAACTATTTTAGAGAAATTTTTTTCTCACTAGGTGATATTTGCCCAGAGATATATCTATACTAGGTGATATTTGCCCAGAGATATCTCTGTATTTTCCATGGTATTTTAGGGACTTAATTTTCTCCCCAGGCGATATTTGCCATACTTTGTTAACATTTTCTATTTGTTGTTTTATGTATATTGAGTTTTGTGTTTTTATTATGGATGAACAATTATACCAGTGGCAATTATACCATTGGCGACGAAGGAGTGTAATTGCGCATATTTATTATTGAAACGAAGACGGAACTGATTAATGCGCATGCGCATCACGGCAAATTCGTGCAAAATATTGGATCAATCTCAAGATTCCCGCCCCCCAGATTTCAAATCTTGCGAATTTGCAGGATCTGTCGAAACGTCAAAACGCTTTTCCCGCCAAATCAAATGGACCAATGAAAATATTTTTCGTATTTCGCATTTCGCAACTATATGAAACCGCTTACAGGACAGTGGAAAAAAAGAAAGGACAGTCCTGTAGAATACAGGACGTATAGTCAGCTTACCCAAATAACACCTTTGCATGCACCGTTGTTCTGTGGCGGAGACTGCCTAAAAAATAACGCTGTGTCTAGTCTCACGCTAGCGTGAACGCAATTTTATTACCCTTATTCTCACGCGGTGACGTCACTAATTATAATCCGTTTTTGTTCCCAGAGCGTTTAATATTTGACAACAAGCTAGATGGCTCCGATGGTAGGGCGGGCGCTTGGCATGCGAGAGGTCCCGGGTTCGATTCTAAGAACTTTTTTTATTTTTTTATTTCATAAATTTGTTGTTTCTTTGTTAAACAGTGTTCGGTTGGGTTGGGTTGGTTAATTTGTTTTAGTTTTATCGTAACATAAAATCTACCAGAAGTTGTCGAACTTTTTTTATTTCATAAATTTGTTGTTCCTTTGTTAAAGTGTTTTATTTTTATCGTAACATAAATTTGCCCATTTTAGTTGGGTTTTTTGCTCAATGGGGCGGGGGGGGGCCCAATGGGGCGGGGTCGGTTGGGTTGTGTTATTGAGTTTGGGTTGGTTTGGCTGCAGTAAAAGAGTCTCGATTTTATTATTAGTAAATTTTATTACATTTGCATAATCAAATAAAATGACATAATCAAATAATAATCAAATCAAATGACACGACACCTAAAAAGTAAAATTAAATAAAATAATACGTGAGAATAAAATTAAAATTATTTTGACTTTAGCGTGAGAATAAAAATTAAATTGCGTTCACGCTAGCGTGAGACTAGACACAGCGAAAAAATAAATACTATTTTTTATTTTACGATGCATTTGAACTACTAGTGGTACAATATATTGTCACGTATTTTATTTCTTAAAGTTGGTAACACTGTTTCTGACAAGCTGTCATGAAAATGCATAAAAACTGAAATTATTTACGGTTGAAAACATGATTTTGAGGCTTTATTTTTAAACTAATACATTTGTGATAAAACTATTTTACTTATATATAAAATGGTTGTTAATGATATTAACCAATTGGCCGAAGACCTTGAGAAACAGGAGCTAGAGGTAACTTAACCTAAAAAACGAAATTTCTATCAATAACTTTACTCTGTAATGGAATAATTTGTTTTAGGCTCCAAATGGCATTGCCACCCCACAAGTTTATGAACAATTACTAGCTATATATTTATACCAAAATGACCTGTAAGTTAAAAATAAAAACACCCAAATGACAGATCAGTAGGTTCGACTGAACACTTTGTTTTTAGATGTAATGCTAAATATTTATGGAAGCGTATACCACCTAGCGTTAAAACTTCAACCCCGCAATTAGGAAATATATGGGCTGTTGCTCAAAATATGTGGAAAAGAGACTTTCCTGCAATTTACAAAGCTTTAAATGCTGTTACTTGGTCGGAACCTATTGCAGAAACTATGAGACAAGTTCAAGGTAAACAAAATTTTAAATAGACTACCAGGTGATTTCTAAATTATTTTAATTTAACATAAATAAAAAATCCTGTTTAACAATTCACCTAAAAACACCTTTTACACCATGTACTATCTATAGTAAGGATATTTAATTTTATTACCTTAGTGTAAAAAAATTGTAACTAGTTTTTAAGTATAGTTGATTTAAATAATATAGTAAAAACCAAATGCAGGGGCATTCCACGTTATTCGGTAATTTTTGTCCCGCCCGTCACAATTAAAAATTGTGAGTAAAAACTACAAGTTATAAAATTAATATTTTATAATAATATTTTTATTGTGCTTATAATTTATTAAAAGCATAATAAAACAATATTTTTAAATAAATTTTATAACGTGTAGTTTTTACTCACAATTTTTAATTGTGACGGGCGGGACAAAAATCCCCGAGTAACGTGGAATGACCCTGCATTGTCGATGATAAAATATGTAAAATAAACTTAACATAGATTTAACTATCATAAGTAGTTAAGTTAAGCTAGATGTCAAAGTCTTAATGATAGTAATATGCAGGTTTAAACATTATTTTTGGGAAATTCAACAAATTCTTGCATTTAATAATCCTTGTTTAGTTTCAGGGACCCGGACCGAAATGAAATATCGGTTCCGGTACGGTTTTGGTTCACCCTATTTTCGTTTTAATGGTTCCGATTCCGGTTTCGGTTTCGTGGAGATATAACGGTTCGGTTCTTTTCGGTTTTAAGCGGTTCCAGTGAGGTTATTTGTTTTACGTAATTTTAATCTATAACCTAATATGTTATATAATGTTATTAGAATGAAAGCAAATAAAGGTTTCGGTTCCGGTCCAACAGATTTTATCAAAAGCGAAAACGGTTCCGGTTCGGGTTTCGGTTGGAAAAAAAAAACCGGTTCCGTTCCGGTTTTCGGTTTTTTTCGGTTTAGGTCCGGGTCCCTGTTTAGTTTATTTTACTCCATATTACCCCTAGACCAGGATAGGATATTACCAAACATAAACTAGAGATTTTTGTTGCCTAGACAATAAACTTCAAAAATTTAAGCGTAAAGCTGTATATTATTTTGCTTTCTCTATGATTAACACTTATTGCTTACTAAAAAGTGCCATACTGCCCTGTCAATTCAAAAGGTTCTATCTACAATATTAAGTTATAAAGGACAAAAGATCATTTTTATTGTTAAAAAGAATAAAAATTACCTAACTTTTTTCCTTTAATATTGTATATTAGACCTTTTGATTTTGCAGGGCACTATAATTGGCAAAGACAAAGCTGTCTTTCTAAAGAAATTAGTAGTTAGCACTTAAGCATTCTGGTGACAACCTCTATAGATTTTAGCAAGTATATAGAAGAATTCAAAATTTAGATATATTCATTGATATAATTGTATTATAATGAGAACTTCAATAAATTTCTTAAGAATTTTGAGTTTAAAAACTGTCTTTAGAATGTGAACTTCAAATTATTATAATACAGTGTATATATAATGGTTTTAAGAACGTCAAGTTAAACTCAATTTAACTTTCCTAAGAATGTCATCTTCTCCAGATATAACTGCCTTGAAGTGTCAACTTTAAATAGGTATAACTGCCTTAAGAATTTTAAGTTAAGATAGTTTGAACTGTCGTAAGAATGCAAATGTAAGCAGATGTAAGTGTCAACTTTAAATAGGTTGGTATTTAGTTATAACTGTCTTAGGCGTTATATAATAGTACAGTCAATCTTTAAAAGCTGTATTTGAAAAAAATTACCATACTAAAGTGCGACGACACAAACGATACCGCAATTGTTGGTAGGGTAGTCATTTTTGAACATTAATCATTTGGGGCTAATGAGGAAAGGAGGAATCCTTCCCCTGGGATTTTTGGTAAAAACTAAAAAGTTTTTGGATTTCATTTATATTGAAAACGTTTAGGAAAAAATCTAGGGCGAAAAATTAAAAAAATGCTTGCAGATTGGCTGGAATATAACTGTTTACAAAATATCAATTAATTTAGGTGCCGGTTTATCCAATGAAGTTGGTATTAGTGTACCTAGTATAATAATAATAATAATAATATCTATACAAACTATCTGTCAAATAATCTGCCTTAACATTAGGTGCGTTCTTTTCACCTGAGATCTCAGTTAATCTCAGCTCACATCGGTAAAATTTGCAAATGTGCGCGTTCTTTTTGCTTCACTCACCATAAAGTGAGCTGAGATTTTTCCTCCCACCTCACTGATACTGCACATGCTGTGCGGGGGAATCAGTTTGAATTAAGTCGGAAATAAAGTGGAGGGGATAAATAAATTGATTTGTTCACAATCCACACAATTGTGTGGATTGTGGATTTGTTAAGTGTTTAAATAACAACCTAATCTTATGGGAAATTAGCTATAAGTAGAATTCGAATAAAATTGGTTTTCAGAAGAGAAAAACACTTTTTACAATATAATTGAACAAATAAAGTAAAAGTGAAGATTTTTAAAATTATTAAGTATTTAAAGAAAAAAGATTTTTTGCAATAAAACTTAAATTTCCATAAAAATAATTAAATTTTGTAAATTGACTATAGATTTAATATAATAAATAAAATTGGAAAAAAATTGTTTTTCAGAACTAGAAAAACACTTTTTACAATAAAATTAAACAAAACATGTGAAAGTGGAGTTTTTTTTATTTTATGTCATATCAGAAATAGGTTATGTTGCCAATTATTCTGATTGCGCATTTCAATTGAGTGTGTCGTTCTTTTTAATGCTTACTCACATCACTACATCTCATATCACATTAACTGAAGTGAGCTGAGATCTCAGGCGAAAAGAACGCACCTATTATCAACTATATTATAATAACTTAGGTATAAAGACTAATATTCAAGCCAGATACAACTGATACTACAATCAACTTAAGTTAGATGGAATAAATTAGTAACCACAACTGATACTACCATCAACTTAAGTTAGATGGAATAAATTAGTAACCACAACTGCAACCGAAAAAAGTAATGATAACCACGCAAATCCCGAGGCAAAACCATTTTTTTTTCATAGTTTTATTGGAAATAAAAATATCAATTTAGTTTACCCTATTAAAAATGCCCTATAGAACCCATATTGATCCAGATAAGGAAACTAATATGGATTTATATGGTTCTATATGTCCTATATGGAACGACCTGGTTTACACTTTGGAATCTATATGGTTTAATATGGAATTTCATTTTAAAATGTACAACTTGGGGATTTTTATATGGATTTATCTGGTTTCTGTTTTATGTGTCTTTCCATATAGGTTTCCCTATATGGTTGAATATGGAATTCCATTTTAAAATGTATATATATTTAAACGAAAATTGCATATTAAACCATATAGATTCCCCTATATGGTTAAATATGGATCTATATGGTAATAATTTTTTCACACCCAAACCATATTGGGCCAGATAGAGCAATATGAACCTATATGGCAATCCATATAGAAATCACTTTTCTATATGGTTTTCCAGGTATGGAATTCTATCTGGTTCAATAGTGCAATGCCTGTTTCAAATTCCTATATTGAACCAGATAGAACCATATAGATTTTTATTTTGTGTTTCTATATGGCATTTTTAATAGGGTAGGGATAGATATGGATTTTACTATAGTCATTTAATACGATTTTATGGTAAAAAAGGACTAGTATGCATGCGCTTTTTAAAATTTGGCGTTCAAAATGTAAAATGCGCATTGCGCATGTCTAGGAACTTTGAACTAGTTCGGGATAAGCACCGCGATAATACCTACTCATTATTAAAAACTTTTTTTTAGATGCAGTTAGAAGTAGAGCGGTAGATCTAATTTCCCAAGCATATTCTTCAATTACATTAGAAACTGTATCAGCAATGACAGGATTGTCCCAAGAAATATGTGCTCCCGCTTGTATTGAAAGAGGTTGGCTTGTGGAGGCCGACACGAAAATGGTACACCCAGTGAGATTAGGCAGAGAACCCGCAGGTCAAACAAGCAGTGAAGATCAGTTGTATAAATTGACTGATTTCGTATCATTTCTCGAAAATTAATTGTTTTTTGTATGCTAGTTTTAAGATTTTCAAATAAAATATTTCTTTAAGAAATCATCCTTTATTTAAATTAACACCATATTTTTTAATCCTTAAGATATTTAAACAAATAAAGCAAACAGCTAGTCTATGGTATCCACATAATATTCATTTGGAATGCCCTAACTTCTTCAGACCTAATGTACTTACCCAAACTCAACTAAATTTCCTTCACCCCAATAGGGTGACTTTAGACTGACATCAGTATTAATACCACTGAAAAAAATAGCCATCAGTGGTGTTCTTCCTTAACAATAGGTACTACTTCCCATACTATCCCATAAAACGGACTTTTGGATAGCGCGTGCGTGAAAAGGCACGTCGTCTTTTTTTAATTATATAAAAGAGAAAGAGATACCACTCTTCTTCAGGCACGCGCTATCCAAAAGTCTGTTTTATGGGATAGGTCTATTCCGCGCGCCTGAGCTACTTCAAAAATAATACTTTAATAATAAGATTTGCTTAATTTTAATTATAACCCGCATGGTCCAGTCACCAATCAGTTTTATTGTATGTCCGAATTATCAGATTGTTGCGGTCCGGAGCGCTGGCAATCTTGTAATTAAAAATAAAACGAAGTAAATTAAACTAAAAGGTGTATTAAAGTTAATATTTAATAAAGAATCTTAGCTAGGTATACATCTCTATATATTGTATGCACATATTAATTTTTCTCCTATGCCCTTCCTCTACTCTGAGTGCTCATTCATAATGGACGTAACCATAAGATGCCCGTAAGAAATACGTAAAACGTAAAGTTGAACATTAACAAAACCAGTGTGCCTGTTTATAATGAATAGCCGTAATTTTTACGTTTTACGTTCGAACATAAGATCTTATGGGTGACCGTAAAAAATACGTAAAGTTGAAATCATCTCAACTTTACGGGTTTCTTATGTGTGAATTTTAGTAACTTTCATGATTTCACTAGAACATTGTTGGTAGCAATCAGGGTAGTAGCCAGAGACAAGGGTCTCTGGCAGGGTTGGGTCAGTAGAAAACCTTAGGTAATTTACCTTGGTAGAAAAGGGTAGAAAACTTGTTTTCGACTTGCGTCGAAAACCTATAGGGTTTTCTACCTACGTAAATTACCTTATTCGACCTTCTCCTTCCACTTCTCTATAATTGATAAAAATTTGCCCTCATGCCAAAAATTATGTTGGGGTCTCCCAACCAAACGCGGCCCTTTTTTTCCCACCATAATAATGTTAAAAAACTCCAAATAACTTCAAATTTATGGTAGGTGTCTGATTTTTCACAACATTTAACAAAGGGACTGTCTACGTTACCTACTAGTAGGATGTATAGCCAGTTCGCTAAATATCCTACTAAAAGGACAAATAGTAGCAAAGCTAAATATCCTACCATTCAGCGTATTAATACGGTGAATTTCATCTACCATGATATCAAATAAGAAAAAAATTAAGCCAGCTAGCTAAGTTTGTGTTAGTTTTAGTTTAAAAAATGAACTAAAGGGAGCCTTAAGGCTCCCTATTTGGAATATAAAACCTGTCTTTGATTGTTCACATTGAGTTTTTTACCAAATAATTTGTAATTTAAACATTATTTTAATCATCCTTAATATTATTTAAATAAATGAAAACATTTATATTCTATATATGTTGTAAATGACCGATTAATTCCTGTAGAAACCAATTGAAGTATTGGTTGGTATCAATGGGTCTGAATTGGACTTACTGGATTTAATTGGGCGCGATATAAAACAGAAATTGGTTTTTACTGGTATTTTCCATGATGGAAAATACCAGTTGGGATTCTAATGGTTTTTATTGGTTTCGATTGGATAAAGCTACCTATAGGTAATTTCCAATTGAATTCAATTGGGCATTCCCAGTGTAAGATTCGAAAAATCTGCTAATTGGTTATTCCCAATACAATACAAATATCGCAAGAGGGCTCTCGTGTAGCTGCGCAAAATCAACGAGGTTGAGACGCCATCATAAAGAAAAAACGTCTTTGGACGCCATTTATTAGCGGTTTATTTTATTAGTCGATTTCAGTGTTAAGTGCCTAGTGTTAGTAGTCTACTTATATATTAAAAAAATGTTTATATGTGTAACATTACATTTCAGTGTTAAGTGCCTAGTGTTAGTAGTCTACTTATATATTAAAAAAATGTTTATATGTGTAACATTACATTGTGTAAGATTTAGGGATTTAGGCGATAGTAAGTTATATGTATTAATACATACACTGAGAAAAAAATATAGTAACCACTATCAAAAAAATATTAACTTACAATAAAAAAAATAATGAAATAGGGGACAAGAATAAAAAATATTCACCACCAATAAAATCATATAATGACTTTCTTTGCTAGCGGTTACTAAATAGTTAATAACCTTTAATATTTTTTATTTTGTAACTACAAATAAAAATTTTGCTTAACAATAATATTCATGATTATTAACGTTTATTATAAACATTTTTACGCGCCAATAACTTGCCTGTATGTATATATTTGTGACAATTAAAAAATGTAATAATGCTTACTACACTTATAATGGTGTATACTAAAAAGTGTAATAACGTTTGATAAAACGAGTATTAATGCTTAATAAATTATATAATAGTGCTTAATAAAACGTATATTAATGCTTAATAAACCCCATAATGGTGCTTAATAAAACATATAATACTGTTTAATAAAACTTTAATAATGCTTAATAAACCATATAATGATATTTAATAAAACTTTTATAATGTTTAATAATCCCTATAATAATGTTTAATAAAACTTTAATAATGCTTAATAAAACATATAATACTGTTTAATAAAACTTTAATAATGCTTAATAAACCATATAATGATATTTAATAAAACTTTTATAATGTTTAATAATCCCTATAATAATGTTTAATAAAATTTTAATAATGCTTAATAAACCCTATAATACCGTTTAATAAAAGTTTTACTTACCTTTACTGTAATGTATATTATATTGTCTAAGGTCCAAATATACAGTATATCTGGACCTTAGACAAAGGGTATTAGTTTCACTTGTATTTAAATTTTAGTAGTGTGTATATATACGCTAGTAGTGTGTATATATATACGCTCTAAAAAATTTAAAAAGCGGACTTAATACCCTTGAAATTACATTATTTTTCTTACTTTTTAATATTCCTTTTAGAAGGTATTTTTAAAAAAATACATATTTATGAATAATTTTTATTAAATAATAATAAAAAAATAATAAATACGTTTTAAACATAAACTATAGCTTTAGAAAACCTATACGTTTGTAACTTAAACTAAATATTTTTACTGGGTAAAATAGCGTTTTATAATACAACCTACTCGTTGATATACATAATCTATAAAAATAACGTTATTTTATATTCTTAATGTTTTAAAAGGTGTAAAAAATATTTAATTTATGTTAAAAACTTAAGATTGATTTAATAAAAAAACAAAACATACCATGTTACACATAGATAATAAACATAAATTTAAACATAAAAAATAATTGTTTAAAACATAAAAGATCACTTTAAAAAAAAACATAATTATAATATTTGTGATAACAAAATAAAATAAACCTATTATTCTTCTTTAAAAACGATAATAATATTATATACCTACAATGTACATTGTATAAAATAATTGCAAAAATAAAACTATTTGAAGAATTTAAGTATTATTATTTATATTTGCAACACTCTTTTAGTACGTATGTATTTAACAGTTAACATTAAAATACTGTAATATATTCTTTACTATCAATTGTACAAACCTTTAAATTATTTAAGAACTGAATACTTGCTTGTAAAATACACTTAATGACTGTACATTTAGTATTAACTTCATAAGCATAAAAATGATTATTAGTCTAAGATCCCAAGTAAGGTCGACCTTCACCCATCTGCTTACCAGATGAAAATTATATTTTATCAAATAAAATATGTTTCTGAACATAAACCAATAGGGTTGCCATAAAAAATATGATCAAGGCTAGCTATAATAAATAAAAAATTAAAAAAAAATAATTAATTTTTTAAATTTCACCGACTTGCTTGCCAAATGAACGAAATTCCAATGGAAAGCATACAACATACAGAATATGTAACAGCTAGGTTGCCTACCTTTTTCTGGTCCCTATTACCTGGTTGCTTTGTACAGGGTGATCCCCTATAATGTCGCCCCCCTTTAACTTTTTTATTTTAAGTGTCCCAAAAAATTTAAAAGTGTGGTTATGTAGGTACTAAAAAAATACTTTTTTTCTACGTATAAAGAAAATTGGAAAATTGATCAGTATACAGGGAAAACAAAAAGTTTATTTTTTTCAATGGATCACCCTATATACAGTGCTTGCAAATTCAAGTCCGACCGGGTTGGGAAGTACACGTGAAAATAATAAGGATAGAACGCCAAACAGAAGGCGCTTACAATACGCAGGCCTGCCGGCTCTGACCAATCAAATTCTGTTTGGCATTCTATCTTTGTTCTATTCGCGCGGGTATTGAACAACCGTCCTTTTCAACCCGGTCGGACTTGGATTTGCAAGCACTGTATGAATTTATTTTTCGATTCCTTGTAAAATTCTAAGCATATTTCATATATCATACCATATACCTAAATTCAACCGTTTCTGAAATATTTAAATTATTTTTAAGATAATAAGTTGAAATAGTTTGTTTTTCTCTGTCTGAGTACGCCATTTTTACTTATTTAACAACACTTATTGACATAATGTCACTATAGTAATTTATTTTCAATAAAAATTTTGGTATACTGAGGCTTCTTGATTTCTAACAGTTTAAAAAAACATTTAATGATGACATTTCGAATGCGAATATTTCAGAAACGGTTGAATTTAGGTTTATGGTTTGTTATATAAATTATGCTCAGAATTTTACAAGGAATCGAAAAATAAATTCATATATACGGTGATCCATTGAAAAAAAATAAACTTTTTGTTTTTCCCTGTATACTGATCAATTTTCCAATTGTCTTTATACGTAGAAAAAAAGTATTTTTTAGTACCTACATAACCACACTTTTAAATTTTTTGGGACACTTAAAATAAAAAAGTTAAAGGGGGGCGACATTATAGGGGATCACCCTGTACAAAGCAACCAGGTAATAGGGACCAGAAAAAGGTAGGCAACCTAGCTGTTACATATTCTGTATGTTGTATGCTTTCCATTGGAATTTCGTTCATTTGGCAAGCAAGTCGGTGAAATTTAAAAAATTAATTATTTTTTTTTAATTTTTTATTTATTATAGCTAGCCTTGATCATATTTTTTATGGCAACCCTATTGGTTTATGTTCAGAAACATATTTTATTTGATAAAATATAATTTTCATCTGGTAAGCAGATGGGTGAAGGTCGACCTTACTTGGGATCCTCTACTATATTAAATGAAACGGTTTTAAATTCTTCATAAACAAGAAAAACCTTTTTATTATTATTTATAATTATGTGTTTAATTTTACCAAATATAGGATTAAAAGTTTGTCTTATACATATAATATCATTAACCAAATATATAATATTGTTAACTTCAACTTTTAATACATTATATACATTACAATGAAAATCATTAACTGAAATATTTGAAACCTTGCAAATATTTGCAAATTCGGGTAAAATAGAATAAACCGAAATAAAACTGTTTTTTAAAAACGATACATTATGTTGAAATCCTTTTTTATCAAATATTCTATAAGCAAATTTTAGCTGATGTTTAATAGCCAGAGTTTTTGTTATATTGACCCTTGAACTTACAACATTAGCATTTAATTTTGATTCTCTGTGTTTAGACTCAAACCTTAGAGTAGATAAATTATTTAGGGGGCCGACTTTTTCCAGAACATATGGATAATGAATTAAATTATGAAACTTGGGTTTTAAAGTTTGGTTAAATAGGCATTTATATGCAGAATTATGTTCATCTATTAAAGTTATTAATAGTGCATTACATTCTTTAGTGGTGAAATCAGCTAATACAACATTTAAAATTTTTCGTAACAAAATGTAGATATTCCAATATTTATTATTTTTTGGAACAAATTTTCCTATAAGTAAACCAAAATTAAGAAGAAGGCATTTCATTTCTGCACAAGACATGTTTAGTTTTTTCTTTTTTAAATGATCAAAAGTAATTAACGGTGGTTTATTAGCCCCTTTTCCATAATTAAAATACTTTAACTGATTATTTAGGTTTTCAATAGATAAAAATTTATCGACAACTACTAATTGATACATTAATTCTGATATATCATAAACAGCAACCCCTTCAAAAATATCGTGTGCTATATCTACAGAAAAGTTTTGAGTAACATGAAAATTTTGAAGATTGTTTCATACACAATTTTCTTTTATTCCAGTTAATGAAATATTATTGATTTTAACGTCGTGTTCATAATTTTCAATATTACGTAGCAGTTTATTATCTTGAATGGTTTGTTTTTCCATTTCAAAACGACTAGCTTTGCAAAATCTACAATAAAAATTGGCCCTAAAACTTTGGGAAAAACCCAATACTGTGTTTAATCCTAAATTATCACCTAAAATTGCACATAAGTTAAAATAAAGTTGATAAGTTTTATTTTCAACAGTTATTGATATTCCTTTTGTTTGTAAAATATTACATTTATCTATTAATTTTGAGAAAATTGTACTATTACCAAAATCTTTTAAGTCACTACTGTGAAATAATAATGTTAAAAATATGTTTTCTAGTTTTGATCTGTATATTAAAGGTAAAGAAGGTAATGAAAAATATGTTGCACCTAATTTATGCAAGCCTGCATGTGAACCTAAAGGGTTGCCAGTTTCATATTCATCAAAATAAATAAATAAAGGAAGAACAATATCAGAATTTAATCGATCTTTAAGCTTATGTTTCCAAAAATCAGTTTGTACAATATTAGAAATATTTAAATCAGATTTTAATTTGGTCATATAATTTAAAGTTTCTTTAAGTATGCCAGGCAATTCAAAAAATAACTTTAATACTTTATCAGGAGAAATAAACTGAAGCTGATAATTAACAGGGTAAGGGACTCCGCTTTTTTGTTTATCATACTTTTGCCCAACATGTATTATTTCAGGAGGTATAAACATATTGGCTTTTTTTAGAGATTGAAAACGTAAGTATTCAGTACTTAAACCTTTAAATAGATTTGTAAATTTATCACAAAATTGTTTAAGTAATAATTCATCGGCTGACTGAATTTCATATTTTTTCAGCATCTCAAGCAAAAACAATTTAAAACTATTAAAAGATGATTTTAAAAAAATATCCAAACTTTCAACTATTAACTGTACATTTTTTCTTGCAAAAGAATTATTGGAATACATCTTAAAGATTAAATCCATAATATCATTGTCTATTTTGTTTTTAAAATTTTCAAAATAATCATAATTACTGGTTGTATTATTTTCATTTTGAATACTATTAGGGCTCTGATCTAAAATTATGTGAGAGCCTAAATTTTGTAAATTTGCATTTGATGTTTCCTTAAAAATTGGACTTTGTGAATCTGTATTTTCTATATTATTTGAAACATTAAAATTGTGCGCATAATTTAAATGTTTTTTAAATGAATTTCCCAGTAAACACACTGACATAAATATTACGTAAATATTACGTCATTGTAGGTCACGCTTACGTAAGATATAGGTCACAGCAGAGTCATATAAAGGTCATTATTTCACACAATTTTACGTCAGACTCTTACATAATAAATATGACGTAACCCTGACGTCATATATATGACATAAATATGACGTAAATATGTTTACGTCACACTCACGTAATTAAAATGACATAAATATTACGTAAACATATTGACGTCACTCTGATATCATAAATATGACCTCATAAATATAACGTAAAACTAGGGTTGTCCAGATTCTGTAAAAAAACAGGAACGTTTTGTATAATCTACATTTATTACGAAAATAACAAAATGATGCAATGCAAATTTAAGGTTTATTAATATTGTTGATAGTGTCATTTTTGTAATTAAGGTAAATTCGCAAAAAATAGTCCCCGTTTTTTTAACAGAATATGAAATGAAATTAAACAGAAAGTTTTTGAGAACAAATATATTATAAAAAATCAAAGTTAAGAAGACTTGTATAATATACAATGTATATTATAAATAATAAATATATAGCTTATCCAGAGGCTGCCAAACTGTCACAACTCAAAAAAATATTAAACTTTTTTAATTACACATTTTTTAGCTTTAAGTCAAAATTTACATTTTTCAGCCCAATACATCTGTACCTCAGAGTCTGAGGTACAGATGTATTGGGCTGAAAAATTTCAATAATGAATAAAAGCTATGTAATGTTTTAATGAACCTTTTTTGATTGTTTTGAATTGTTACATTTTTCCTCTGGACATATATAAAATAAACATAAAATATATTCTAAAAAATAACTACCTAAAATACACATAAACATTAAATATATATTTTAACAGTACAAAAATATTAAAGCTTTTTATGTTTTGGAAATTTTTACGCTTTTTTGGCTACAGCTATGGTCAATATTTATGGTTTTTAAAAACAAAACACAACTTTTAATAAAAAAATATATGAATTACTGCTCTTTAAGTTAGCACAGCAGGTTTTTTTGGGATTGGAGTAATCGACATGTACAAATTATGACTTAATTTTTGGTCATATCATGGCCAAAAATTATGCCATAATCTACATGTAGATCACTCCAATCCTAAAAAAAACAGTGTAAAATCTAATTCTTTCAGAAACATACTTTTGCCCTGCACTGGTCAGCAGCTCCATTTTATTGAAATTAAAAAAAAATATTTCTCTTATCACATATGTACTGAAATATTTCAGTAGAAAATATTGCATGAAATTTAATTACAATGTTTGGTTGTGTTGTGTTGGGAATATTGTATATCTAATCTTCTTGGTTTCAGCATTACTTGTTGCTGTTTCAGAATTCCTTTTTTGTTTTTGGCTTGGTTGGTTGCCAGAACGTTGACTGCCTAGTCTAAACCAATTTAACCCCGTTTTTTCGAATTCGGCGCAGGTCCAATCGGGAAATTTTTTCAAAATCACCTCTAAAATTACATTGTCAGGGTTGTTATTTTTAAAACGAATTGTTTTAAAAATGTTTAAAACAATTGTTTTAAAAATGTTTAAAACAGCTTTCAGTTTTTAAATAGATTTGTTTTAAACTATTTTAAACTGATTTGTTTTTATGATTTTAATTTAAATGGTAGGTATTAAATATGTCTTACCTTGAACTATTTCAATTAAGGTAAGAGATTTTACTGAAAATTTAGTCTTTTTCCCTTCCCAGGTATTCTCATAAGCAAATGAGGACGAAAAAAGTAAATCAAAAACTCTTTTTGAAAAGTCCTCTCCATTTATCCCACCAACTTGATAAATAATTTGTAACTACAAAAAAACAAATCATTAAATTTAAATTGGGTTAATTAAAATTAAGAACAAAAAACGTTTTTCCTAGAAAAAAAATATTTTTACAAGTATAGTTAAGTACATTCGTAGACACACTGTATACTTTAAGATAAATGTTTTTTGTTTTAATAATTTACTACTTCAATAATTTACTACTTATCCAAAAGCTATAACTTTGCAAATTTATTAAATTAATCATTAACATAAACTTACAAATCCTTTATGATTCTCTTCTGATGACAGAATTTTTTCAAATTGTTTCACTGCTTCTTGACTTTGTAATGGTAAATATTTTTTTATTTCGTCCACTTTGTTATTCGTATAAGTGTATTTATTACTATTTAAAGAAGCAACTTCTTGTTTTAAATCCTTCATTTCAACCAATACCTTTCCAACAAGAGTTAATAATTTAGCCGTATTACCTTCAACATTTTGCAGGCGTTGAATAACATTCTCTTTATTCTCCCCATAATTATTCCCATCAACTTCCACGAAGAGGACTTCTGACATATTGTCAAAATTATTTGTGGTGCTCTCAGTGGCAATATTATCAGCCCTAAATGTGGGCAATTGAGAAGCTGTAAATAATATCTTAATGTAAAACTAAATAAAACAATAATAATTATTAATTAATAATTATAATGGCAGCTACTTTCAAATAGCTGTTTTTCTCTATGGCAAATAGTCAAATTATTTGTATTATATAATATGGGTATAAAAAATAGAAGAATGCCTATGACTTTTTGTTTTTATACTGTTTACACTGAGTTTGTATAGGCTATACAAGGAAATTTTATTACTTGCCATAGGAAACACTATTTGCAGCATCTCTAAAAAATGACTTTACCAGGTATATTTGTTAAGTCATCATCAGAGCTTTCTGATTCATTTAAATTTATTTCCATACTGGCAACAGCACTGGGTTGCCTTTTTCTGCATCCTCGACCCAAAATTTCATCTGACGATGTATAATCTGCATCTTCTGCCAACTTTCTTGCTTTCTCCAGTGTATCTAAACATTAAAAAATATATTTTTTATATTAAAATATTTGATATATCTGAAGCTTGCTAGAAAAACGGCCAATGTCCATTTAACTTGTTTAGGAAAAATGTAAAGTAGTCTGGAATCCCAAGTCATAATCCCACTGAGATTATTGTTCAATTTGGCAATAATAGGAATGATTTTTTTAGATCCCTAGCTATGAAACATGGAGACATTGGCCTTTTTATGATTAAAATATGTATAAAAGAAGCCTAGCAGAATCATTAACTGCTAAATGCAATTTACATAAAATTTAAAATTAATTCTAATGTGTACTTACCACAATATTTTAGAATTTCAATTTCGTATGAAAGCCAGTCTATACCAGGACTGCACCTACTTTTTATTAAACTATTGGTATTTTTTACTGTCGGTGGCGGCCATTTGCATGTTATTTTTTCTGAATTTCTATTCTGTATCCAATTATTCGGAATTTCTGAGAAATCGTTCGTTTCCACAAAACGCACAATGGCGTATTCTTTCATTGTAACAAACAACAAATTCTTTTTCTTTGGAACAAACTTCACAAACTCGTTTACCTATTTATCTATTATATTGTATGATCATTTATCAATTATTCACAGAACAAAGCTTGTATACCGGCCTAAGATACCTAAGATACCGGCTGCAATTTGGCGTTCTTTTCTCCCACCACCGCTAAACCGTTATATCAATGGTGGGGAGCCCGCCGTTTTTAAAAATTATTATGAAAATGATAAAAAAGCTATTTTTTATATAATAATAATCAGGCCAATTAACTAACATGAGTCGAATCAGAGGTTACCGGCCGATCTGACCAATCAGGCCGATTAAATATAACGATAACCACTAATGCTAGTGGTTAACGTTAACGACTCTTGTTAGTGAATTGGCCTGTATATGAGTAGAATACTCTGATAAATGTAATTCTTAAAAGATTTAAATTAAAATCACGCGGTTAAAATTTAATTTGATGAATAAATCAGCAGTGTTGCCATTTGCAGGTATTTTATCCGAAAATCGGGTATTTTCGTCATGCAAATTTTAAACAAAATACTAAATTTAGAAATACCTAATTAGTGAATATTATTGTATTTTTACTAAATATACCTAATTATTTTATTCCATCCTGTGACCATTTTTCTTCATTAATTCAAAATTTAATTAATACCTATGTCAAAATAGGGCAAATGCAAATTTATAAAGACTTTTTTACACTTGCGGGTAAAATCGGGAATTTTGTAATTTTTGTCAGAAACTTTCATAACATTCATCCGACAACTTGTCAGTGACAAGTTGCCAGTGGCAACACTGTAAAAAATGTATGTTATATGGTATAGAATAGATAGGTTATATTTACGCTTACATGTGATAATAATTTTAATTAAAGTATTATTTCAACAACAAATTAAGATGCCTAAACTAATAAAACATATGTGTAAACGGAGAATTTATCAATTAATCAGTGAAGAAATTAAAAATGCCGACGAAAGTAAAAAATCTAACAATGAAATAAAAGATAATATGGTGCCACAAATTATTTTATCAGACAATACTTGTAGTTCTTTAGTGACGTCTCATGATTTATTTAATGCAAGTGAAAATAGTGACAGTAGTTTTGCTGAAGGACATGAATATGCTAGGGAATATACCGAGTTGAATTTAGAAAAAAAATGTCTTGTGGCAAATAGGACTAAGGCTTACACACCTAATAAAATAGAATTTTATCAAAGTATACATATAAAAAAGGACTTGCAGTTTTGGTTATCGGAAAACAACATATCTCAGAAGGCTGCTAAAGACTTAATTGCTATCTTTCGATCTTATGGACATGAACTGAAAAAAGATGTAAGAACTTTAATGAAAACACCTCGCAATGCCACAGATAAAATTATACATGGTAATGGTGGTTCTTACTTTCATTTTGGGATTGTTGAAGCATTAATCCGTTCTATCAATAAATATTTTGATATTATTCCTAAAACAATTTCCATACAACTTAATTGTGACGGTATGTCATTTTCAAAATCTTCAGCTAGTCAATTTTGGCCTCTGCTGGTAGCTATAGAAGCTGAATTTTATACGGAGCCGTTTTTAGTTGGCCTATTTCATGGGTATTCCAAACCTAATGATTTTAATGTTTATATTAAACCATTTGTTGATGATATGAAAAATTTACAAACTAACGGTATCCTTATTAATGACAAAAAAGTTAATATAAGACTTAGTGCTATTATTTGTGATGCACCAGCTAGAGCATATTTAACAAAGACAAAATCTCATAGTGGGTACTTTGGTTGCTCAAAATGTATTCAAGAAGGAACTTGGATTAGCTATGTTACTTATCCTGAAACAGATAATCCTTTACGAACAGATGAATCGTTCAAAAATATGCAACAAGAAGAGCACCACTTGGGAGAATCTCTGTTAAATGAACTAGACTTTGGGATGGTATCACAAATTCCTATTGACTACCAACATTTAGTGTGTTTAGGGGTGATGAAACGGCTCTTGCAGCGCTGGTGTAATGGTCCTCGAAATGTAAGGTTGTTGGATGATAAATTAAAAAAAATTGATGTGGCTTTGATGGAAATGAAAACTTGCATCCCAAAAGAATTTGCAAGAAAGCCTAGACTTTTGGATTGTGTTGCTAAATGGAAGGCCACTGAGTTTCGTCAATTTCTATTATATACTGGGCCAATAATACTAAAAACTATATTAAAACCAAGATACTACAACCACTTTATAGCTTTAAGTGTTGCAATTAGAATTTTATGTGATGCTCAGAAACACTTTATCTACAATAACTTTGCTAAGGAATTATTAAAGTGGTTTGTTAATGAGTACAAAAATTTATATGGAGCAAATGCAATATCATACAACGTTCATAATCTCATTCATATTGCAAATGATGCAAAAAAATTTGGACCACTAGACAATTTTAGCACATTTAAATTTGAAAATTATATGTCCCATATTAAAAATAAAATAAAAAATGCACCCAAACCACTGGAACAAGTTATAAATCGTTTCCATGAAGAAAGTTCTATACCAATAATTAAGAATGTTATAAAATCATATCCTATTTTAGAAAATTTAGATGATGATAAAATAACCACTCTAAAATTTAACGGTTTTATTTTAAGTAGCAAAAAAAATGAAAACTGTTGTTTATTATCAGATAATAATATTTTATTAATCAAATACATTGAAGTTATCAATGAAGAGATAAAAATAAAAGGCGAATGTTTTTCAGATTTTGATTCACTATTCTTAGAGCCATGTGACTCAAAACAGTTGAATATTTATTCTATTAAAAAAACATCTATTTCAAAATTTATATCAATTACGTCAGACTTTATTAAATCAAAGTGTTTATATTTTTCTACTCCAAAGTGTAATAACTCTATTGTCATACCTTTATTACAATATAACAATTAAAATTTACGAATTTTTGTTTATTATTATAACCCCTTAATTTATTCAACAAAAAGATGATAACTTAATTATGTTTCATCTAAATTTATAATGGGTAAGTAAAATTTTACAAAATAAATAAGTTTAAGATATGTATACATGCTTAAATTGTAATGGTATGACTGATTTCTTATGTCAGTCTTACATAAGAAAATGACCCAAAACTTATGTAATAGTATTACACATTTCTTACGTCAGTCTTACGTAAAAAAGTGACCTAAAACGTATGTAATAGTATGACGTATTTCTTACGTCAGCCTTACGTAAGAAAGTGACCTTAAACTTAGGTAATATTATGACAGATTTATTACGTCAGTCTTACGTAAGACAGTGACCTAAAAGTTATGTAATATTATGACAGATTTCTTATGTCAGTCTTACGTAAGAAAAGTGACTTTAATATTACGTCACGATATGACTTTAATATTACATAAGATGTACGTAATATGTAAGTCATTTAATTACATCATATAAAAGTCACGTTTTGGGTCAGTATTATGTCACTATGACGTAAAAATTGAATTACCTAGATATGATCTACGTGTTACGTAAATTTTAGGTCATAAGTCACGGTTTGGTTCACTGGGTTATGGATGAAAAATGTCTGTCACAGTTAATTTCCATACAGGATATTTTCATATTATTTGACAAACTATGGATAATTTTTAAATGAGTTATCAAACTCTTTGATTTTGTAAAAAGAGTGTTACAAATGTTACAAAAAGGCATTTTTTTATTTTTTTATATGGGATAAAATGTCTGATATGACACAGGCTGTTGTACTGGCTTTGGGTGATTTGGTTTTAAAAACCAATTCTTGAATAAGATGCCAAATATGTTTACATTCTGGGGGATATTGTAAATTAAGAGCAAAAAATGCTTTGTACAATAGTTCTAAACACCTTAAACTGGATTTGCAATTGTAAAATACATTATTAATAAAAATAAATAAAGAATCTAATTTATCACCTTTAATAATTGCCGCTGCAAAGGGCTGAAGTGGCAATTCATACGAAGCTAACCTTTTTCTTCTTGTTTCAATTTTTTTTTGTATATCATCAAAATTGTTGACAATTAAAAAAAAACTTTCTTGGACCTCGCTTCTAGAGGGTCTCCAAAATCCTTTTTTTGAATTTATCACTGTTATAGTTGAAAATAAATACGGAAGTATTTGAAGGGCTTGTAAAGTTGTATCTAAAAAAGTTGAAATTAGTGATCGGCCGATACCAATATAAAAATGGGTGAAACGGTATAATTTCGGCAAATTTTGCCGATAATTATCGGCATATTTGAAATTAATTATTTTATTAATATTATAAGTAAAAAACAATTTCTAAAATTTTTTACATTTATCATAATTACACGATTTCTTAAAACGCTGTTGCTGACGTCATGAGCAAGACCGACGATGGTGCCGATACCGATATTATATCGTTATCGGCAACTAAAATCCGTTTCGGCCTAGCACTAGTTAAAATGCTACATAATTTTTTTAAAACTTTATGCTACCTAGATAGTTTAATACTAAGGCCATTTTAAGCGCGCGAAAGGGGCAAATTACAAAACTATTTTTATAAAAAAATGTATTTTATTTATTATTCATTATTTTGGCATCAAAATTATCAAATATATTCTTCTTTTATTAGGCTATACTTAAGTTAAATAAACGAAAGAAATATTTTATAAAAGATAATTTTAATAATTGGCAGTTGCGGACAGGACAAAATAAGATTTTCTATTGTCCCATCCGCAACCGTCAATTATAAAATATATCTCTACAGATATTTTATAAACGTATACGTTTATAAAATATTGCTTGCCTTTCTTTTACTTAATGTATAGCCTAATAAAAGAAGAGTATATTTGACAAATTTTGATGCCAAAATAATGTATAATAAATTACCTAGATTTTTTTTATAAAAACAGATTTGTGATTTGTCCCGTCCGCATCCTTGAAATGGCCGACTTACCTTCTAGTTCAAAACCCACACATAACTTTCTATCATTAGCTTCTTTAACAATAGCTTCAGCTACCACTGGCCACTCTTTATATATTATATCGATTTATTCATCATTTTCTCGATTGTAATCTGTTTCAAGCTAAAATTTTTACACAATATATATTCATATCGTCGGTGAAGTTCTAACACAGCCGAAGTGAAATAATGTAATAATTAATAATGTAACAATAATTATTAAAGTAGGCAAAAATAACTTCATATATACATGATCATAGATATATATATATATCTGTTTGTTTGGTACCTAGGTTATATATTTCGATTAGATTGTTAAAAAATAAGTAATTTTGTAACAGTAGGATCAAAATATTTACTCCAGAAACTAAAATAACAAAGTTATAAAGTTTTTTTGCTCTCCTGTAATATGTTCACTTTTTGACTTCGGCAGTGTTAGAACTTCACCGAAGATAAAGTATAATTATTTTATAACATACCAGTTCGATTCCATATGCCTCTTTAAGGCAGGGAAAATCCTTATAAATATCTTCAATAGATTTATTTTTGTATATATTATTTCTTAGATTGTATGTATCTTCCCATAGCGACAAAATTTTATGATATGGTTCAATAGCACTATTTAAAAACGTAAGTTTAGATTCCTCCTCTTCATTTAATGGTTTGGTGGTCGTTGATGGAGATTTTAATTGTTGAGAATTGGACATTCTCAAAGCAGCTTTAAGATTAATATACCGCGACCATAATTTTCCGCGGGCTTGTTGACATCTTAAACCGTGTGTTGATGCTATATATGGAGTAAAGTAAGTTTCCTCAAGTTCACCAGGAAACAGTTTTACAATGGCTTTAGCGGCCTCAATAAATTGTTCAGTTTTTATTCTAAAAATCAAATAATTAAGTAAAATAATTATTTTGGAACCTATGTAAAAATTACTCTAATTTGGATTTGTTCAAAGCTTCCTGGCTAATAAGATGGTTTACAACAACTTTTGAAATTTTCTGTCTTAAGTCATTATTCAGTCTATTCCTACCCGCCAAAATAATTTGCCCTTCTGGACATAATTTTAAAACATTTTCCAGATTCTACAAATAAAAAAAAAATAAAATAAAAACAAAACAAATTATGTAGTATGTACTTACAAAATCATCTAATTTAATTTTTTTTGTTATGATTGAATTAGTAGAAATTTCTTCTAAAGGTCTCTTAATTATTTCAAGCAGATCATTATCTGGTTCAAAAATAATTGAATCACTACTTCCTGTATCTACAGATAATGTAGATAGAGTAGATTGAGAGTAGATTGGGTTAAAATTTTCAACATTTTCAACATTCTAAAAAAATAGATAAATTATACTTATGTAGATTTAAGAATAACATTTTCAAATATTTTAATTTCAACACAAAACTTTTTTTATTAATTCATTCAAATGATTCTTTACCAAAACGTGACATTTTAAATACCTGTTATTGAATTAACAGTTTTTGCGGTTAAATAGGTACATTTAATATTTTCTTGGATGTAAATTAACTAGGTATTAATTTAAATCCAAAAAAATATTTAATGTATTTAACCACAAAAACTGTTGATTCAATATAATATATTGAATCAACAGTTTTTGTGGTATATATATTATATAATAATAATGTATATGTAATAATAATAATGTACCTATATGTAGGTACCTATACTTTTTCTCTCAATGTACGAATGTGGCGCAAAAATAAATATCCACAACATTCGTGATAGATTTAAATCGATTTTTTTAAGATTCACCAGATTCATTTGTGAATTTAGGGATGATACTTACCACATAACTTTGAGAGTTCGTTAAATTGGAGAAATATTTTTTAAATTTAAGCCTTGGTCCACTTTTACTAAATATCTTATTAATGGTCTCCTCGTCTAACAATGTAAAGCTTTCATCGTCAATGCCTTCGTCTAAAAGCAAACTCATGAAAACTATAAAAATGTGAATAAAAAAGTATCAAAAAATAATATAAGTATGTAGAGTACCTATTCAAACATTATTTTTTGTAACTTTTGGCTTTTTTTTTAATAAAAGAATAAAATAAGTAAAATATGGTTTCCAGTATTGACAGGAAGTTTTACTTGGGAATATTTTAAAAAGTCAAAAATAATAGGCAAATAGGTATAGCCTTATTTAAAAAAAATAATACTTGTAAAAAAATAATCGAAAAATCGTTTTTTTTAATTAAATCGATTTTTAATCGATCTATCGACTATTTCATATTAAAATCGATTTGGTGTAGGATCGATTTCTTCCCACCTCTACAGAAAACATTAAAATCGCAGAAAACCTAAATAAATATTTCCTTTAGGTTAAAGTTTAATATTAAACTTTAACCTAAGGCAAATTATTTTGATGCTTACCTTGAAATATTTCAATATATGAAGACAATCCCCATTCACTTAAATGCTTTTCAAAATTCATAATTATTCTTATGAATAATACCTAATTCATTAATTAACCACGACACAAGCACGACACACCCGACCGCTATTAAGATGCAAATGACCGTTTTCTTCTGTTTCCGATGCCTCATCCCTTGTATAAGCCAATCAAAACGCATATAGCCACCTGCAGTGCGATCATAAAAAACTCTTTAATATGCCGCTATTGAGGGTTAATATGCATTTATTGATGTTTATTAAAAACTTTTATTTTAATAATTATGTTTATCTCCACGCGGTCTATAATTTAAACTTTATTGTTGTCAACATTCGATAAAGAAATACCTTGTTATGGCCTAGGCCGATAAAAATTTTTATGAGGCAAGTAATTAGTTCGATTTTTTCTCGCTAGGGGTATTGTTTTGACAAATTAATCCTTTTCTAAGAAATTAACGTACTAAACTGGTTTAATTTATTTATAATAAGCACTAATTTGTTTGTTTTACTGTTATAACATTTTAATGTTTAATATTTTTCATTAAATTATTGTAAAATTAAATATGAATAATAAGACAAAAAGTGAGGTTAGGACATTGCAATTTGACGTTTCACAGTTGTGTTTTCTTTTTCTACGATTTAAATTATCTTTAAATTTTAATTTGCTTTAAGTTTTCAGTAAAATTAAATGTTAAACACAGCGTAAACATTCCAAACTACCTATTTTTTTAATAAAAATGCAAACAAATTGAAATTAGATACCTATTTATTAAACAATTAATTGAATTCAATGTAATAGCAAGAGGGTAAGTAAACCATTTTCTTACAAAAATCCATTTCTACTTAAATCATGTAGTTAGGTATTGCCAAAATATTACTGCTTCTAAAAGGAATAATAATTATTGTACATTTAATGTAATCTTTAGCTAATAAATAAATGAGATTAAAAAAAGTGAGGTTAGGGCGCTTTCATGTTGAATTAAATTGACCTATATAAAGTGCTTTGAAGATAAAATGTTGTATGCCATTCGGCCAAGAAGTGTCTTTTTGTGCTTCGCTCAATTGTAGGCCTCCGCTACGCGTCGGCCTTCAAACTTTGAGCTTAGCACAAAAAGCCTTACTTCTTAACCTAATGACATAAATAACTATTATTTATCAACAATAAACTGTTTATTGTTGATTAATATTTAATATATTAAAACTTATACAGTATAGCGTTTATTAAAGACAAATAGGTTTATTATTTACGATAAATAAAGATATTTCAAGTATATTTTTTTATTAATCAGCATTATAAAAGGATATTTATGATAAATAGACTTTTAATAACCACTAATATATTTTTGCTTAGTAAACTGTTTATTAAGAACTGTTTTCTATTAATACATACATATATCACAAAAAAAATAATAAATAAATAAAATTACTAACAATAAATTTTTTGTCTCTTCTGTAAAAAATGAATTCTGGTTTTTACCCGGTTATCCTTCTGGGATCTAAAATTATTTTTGAATGAAAAATAAACTGGTAGGTATTTTCTAATCCAAATTTTAAAAAATTAATTGGTTTAAATTGGTTGGAATGGGTTTGGTGCTATGAATTACCAATTCATTCCATGTGCATTTCTATTGGATTTAGCCAATAGAGACAAGCGTAGGCATGGATTGGTATTTTCCAATTCAAGCCGCTGACTTCATTGGAAATTACCAATAGGAATTCAACTGGAATGAATTGGTGATTCATAGCGCCAAAACACATTTCAAACCAATATTGGTTTGAATATTCAAACCAATTCAAACCAATTGCTTATTTTTTATTGGATTCTATTGGTATTTCCCAATTCAAGCCGCTGACTTCATTGGAAATTACCAATAGGAATTCAACTGGAATGAATTGGTGATTCATAGCGCCAAAACACATTTCAAACCATTTAAAACCAATTCAAACCAATTACTTATTTTTTATTGGTTTCTATTGGTCATTTATAATAGGGTATGTTCTAACATATTAGAATAGAGTGACAAAATCTTTTATTTAAATATATATTGAATGTAAAATAACACATCCACTCTTCATTTAATTAATAATAAATCATCAATAAGTGGTCATTTAATTCCATTATAGACATTAGGGTTTTAAAGTCTCGAAAAAAAAACCGGAAAAATTGGGGAAAAAACTTGATTGCCAAGGTTATGATGATTAGCTGTCATCTTGGTTATGCAGTTACACTACATTGTGCCATACCAAACTAACCCAAACTTAACAACCCAACCCAACCGACCCCGCCCCATTGGGCCCCCCCTCCCCATTGAGCAATAGAGGTATAATATATCTAAGGGCAGGCTGGATTATGACAATGGGGCGGGGGGGGTAATGGGGCGGGGTCGGTTGGGTTAGGTTGTTAAGTTTGGGTTGGTTTGGTATGGCACAATGCAGTATACCTGTGTAACCACAGTTACATTAAAAAGTAAATAAAAGCACAAAACAGCCCCACACCCATAAAACTAATGAACAAAACGCAGGGCAACGTCCGCCTCAGACGTGGAAATAGGATTTTTCACGTCCGATATAGTAGGATATTTAGCCTTACTACTATTTTTCCTATTAGTCGGATATTTAGCGAACAGGTTATAAATCCTACTAGTAGGACACGTAGACAGTCCCTTTAACAAATCATAATAAACAACAAACTTGCATAACCTCACATTTTTTGATATTTGACAGTATTCTACTTTTTTACGTTTTCTACCGTCGAAAACGTCGAAAAAGGTTTTCTACATGTCGAAAACAAAAATGTAGGTAGATACCCAACCCTGGTCTCTGGTAGTAGCCATGCAAACAGATGACAGATCTTTTTCAAGTGTATTCTGGTGTATCCACAGAACAAACAATCTATAGATTTATAAAGAACCATTCATTATCCTAAAGTTTTAGTTTGAGTATTATTCGACGAAATTCGCCCTTTTTTTCTTCTCTTTGCCAACGTATATATCGCTCATTACACTAATAATTATAATAACACTGATAGTTTTAACTTAATTTATATTTATAATAATTATAATTATAATTATTATGCCTTAAAACTTTTAAGTTTTAAGACATAATAATTAGACGAAATCTGTCAATGCTGCCATTTTAGTGAACTTGGACATGCGCGCCTTATTAATATAAGCATAAGCCATACGTTCATTATAAACACAACTCATCGTTACGTACAAATTATGGTGATATTATGTTTACGTTTACGTTTACGTTTACGGGCATCTTATGGTTACGTCCATTATGAATGAGCACTGACGTACATTTTACTGTCCAAATGCTCTGTAGGAACAAACCATTAACCTACATGCTCGGTAGGAACAAGGCTTAAAGTTGGCTACCGACAATGTTGCCAATAGGCGGAGAATTCTCACTTTGTAGAGAGTAGTCTGCGGAAAATTAATTTTGACGAAGAATTTAAAGATAAAAATTAAAATGCTGCAAACGAATTGTAAAAAACAACAAAACAACTTTTTTATTATATTTTTGGCGCAAATAAAAAATTTATTTTAAAAGTCTGTTGTACAGTTGGCAACACCGTATCGGAGAACAGCTGTTCTAAAACCAGTGTTGCAAATAAGCAGAAAATTTTCCACTTTTCAAGAAGCGGAAATTGTAGTCAAAAATTTTTATTGTTCATATATTGGGGTAAAATATGTTAAAAATACATCATTGTATTTTGATTGTAGGATGCCCAGAATTTGATAGATATTCAAAGAATGTTGTTGTTGAAGGGGGGGGGAAATATCAATGCCCCCTTCGGGGTTTTCTATGACTGTTGGCAACACTGGCCACCGCCTTGAAGTTAGCTTCTCTCAGATTTTAAGTTTAATAGGTTAGATTTTTCAGTTTTTAATCTAAAAATGGTAAATATAACACATATAAACCATTTTTTTGCATTCAAAGTACTTTTTAGCACGGTCGGTTGAAAGTTAAAACCACAGAGGAGCAGAGGATAGAGAAGCATAAGCAGCAACAGAAAAAATTGGCTGCTTATCGAATGGGAATGAAACAAATCTTATCTACAAGGTCTATAGATAGTTATGAGCCTGAATCTCTAGCAATTTGTACACAAATATTGTCTGGAAACCCTGATATATACACTTTGTGGAATATTAGGAAGGAAATAATACTTATTGAAATCGAAAAAAGGTTTTTATTAGATTGTTTTTATTTGGTTGTTTGGTAACAAATTTTTGTTGTAGCAAAAGCAATGATATTGAAGGTGAAGATCAACTAACAAAATTCCTTGATAATGAGATTGGACTAACTGAAACCTGCCTTAAATCAAACCCAAAATCTTATGGAGCATGGCACCATCGATATTGGGTTTTATTGCATCATCCTAATCCTAACTGGACTAGAGAATTTAATTTAATTTCAATGTATTTAAGCTATGATGATAGAAACTGTATGTTTTACAAATTATTCTATATTTTTTACTAACATACCTAAATCCTGTTTTAGTTCATGTATGGGATTACAGACGATTAATTCTACAAAAAAAGGGTGAGACATTAGAGAATGAAATTAAATTTTCAACAAATCTATTAAACGAAAACTTTTCAAATTATTCCTCTTGGCACTACCGAAGTACACTAAGGAAATTAGATGCAGACACTGTTGGCAATGAATTAACTTTAGTCCAAAATGCTGTTTTTACTGATCCTGCTGATTCAAGTGCATGGTTTTATTTAAGATGGGTCTTAAGTCATCCTAATATTCCCTGTGGTGATAAAGAGGAAGCATTGGAGTCATTTGAACAGTTACAAGAGCTAGAGCCTGAATGCAAATGTAAGAAAAATAGTCTCATAAGGGTGGCTAAAATCTAATATTTATAGTTTATTTATCTAGCTTATGTTGAAATTCCAAGATAAGTTATAACTAATCCAAGTTGGCATTTATATTTTTCTTAAATTAACATTCAAAAGAAAGTTTTATCTTACTAAGTTCACATTCTTAGACTTCTATATCAAGCTTATCTATAATAAATACAAAGTTAATATCATATTTATGGGTGATATCCTAAAATGTGGAAAGTATTGCCAACATATTTTTGATGTTTTGGTTGTCTCAAAAATAGCGCATGGTATGGTATGCCATGCTGTAAGGGGGTTATTTTCTTATAAAAAAATTATAATTTTTTTCAACAACTACTTTTTGAGTTTTAGGAGTTAATAAATTTAATTTTATTTTCTTCATGTTAATTTATTTAAGAATATTTATTTATTTAACACAATGCCTTTCTTAAACATGTTAATGTCAGGTATCTGGATGTTTAATGTTAATTTTTCGATTGCCGCGTTTTTTAAACTTAAGCTTCATAACTAAATAATAGGTACTTTATACTTCTAAATTTTAATAACCCACTGGGTATAGATCTATATCTATACATCCTATATATGGTTTTTGTATTTTAGCATTTTAAAATTATTAAAAGAAATTTAAAATACATTAGTTTTTAATACAGTAAATTAATTAGTTTGTTAGGACATTTATTTTGCCCTACAATGCCTAAATGCATATATACATATATATATATGTATATAAACAATAAAAATGATATTTTGTCCCTTATTACTTAAATGGCAACCCAATTAGCCAAATAGGGCAACATATACTTAGTAAAAATTGAGATATGTAATTTTTGTATTCTGCACAAAGTTGCATGCACAAACTAAAGTTTTTATTGGGCAATCAAACAATTCAGGCTCATAAAGGGCATTTCCGCGAAACCTTACCCCACCTTGACAAAAAAATCAGATGTGTTATTTAACAAAATAAGAACTATATCTGAAGTCAAATAGTTTAATTGCGACGAAATTTATAACCTTAAAATATTCGTATATTGTGATGCTAAGAAGCTAACATTAAGAATAAACACGGAAGAGTTTCAATACTCGATAAAATGTTTAAATGTCGCACCCGTTATATTTTGAGAAAGTTTTAGAAAATAATGTATATAATATTTATGCATTTAAAATACTTGCTTGTTTAAGGTTACTATTCAAGTTTTACACAAAATATTATTACCATATGCTTTCCTCCAAAATTTTACAGTATAAAGATATGCAATATATATAGACAGTATCAGCTTTATAAGCCAACTTGTTCGCATTGCCGATTTTCTAAGGTTGCGCCCGTTACGCGATTCATGACGTTATAAAAGGTTTTTAATACAAGTTTTTATTGACATTTTGTTTGAGTTAAATACCTAACTTTTTATACTATTTTTGTATATTAACTTATCTTGATATTTATGAACATTTTAGTATCTTGAAAAAACGCAGTGTCGCACCCGTTACAATGGAAATACCCTAAAGCAACATTAACCCAATATTAACTTTATGTTAATATTAATGAAATATATATTTATATATGATAACATAACGCAAAAATTGTCTTATGATTGGGATATATAAACTAAGTTTTTATAAACCGTGAAAAGTATTCATGGCATTACCATTTGTTTTAAGTAAAAAAACATATGCGTATTTGCAATAATAATGCAATAATAATTAAACATTTAAACACTACAAAATAATGTTAATTTTGAACAAATATTAATTTACAGAATTAAGGGCTACATAGGGCTTTTATCATATCCCTACAAATGGCCAAATATTGAGATAGCAAGAGTTTTATGCTGATTGGCTAAAATTGAGTTTGATATTTGGCTCTCTGGGATATACTGCATTTTAGTGTTGTAGCAGGGTTTCCATTAAACCTAGAAATCCTGGTAGCAGGGTTCCCACTAAACCTGGAATCCATGACCAAAAGTCATGATTTTCACTAAAGAGTCTTGATTTTTGTTACAAATAATATTTTTACTACTCATTTTTATCTTTATTTGTTTTCGATAAAATTGTTGAACCTATTTTCTGAACTTACTTCAGGTTCAGGGTTTGTACTGAGAGATTTTTACTTTTTTACTCCCACCATTACCATTTATGCAAATGCTAATCGAAAATTGAAAAAATCATTCACTAATTACCCAAAGAACTGTTTATGATAATATTGTCCTTTGTGGTGGTGCTGAAAATATCATTGTAGCAGACGATATGATCAAACACTATAAACGGGCGAATAAAAAATATAAAGAGTATTTGGAGAATCAGAAGACTTAGAAAAGGGGGAAAAATGCTAGACAAGGTGAAAAGAGAAAGATAGAAATGGAAATAAAGAAGTTGGAACTTAAATTGGATCTAAAGAAAACGGAATTGGAGTCAATTGAAACAAGAATCACTTTTGAAAAAAAACTATAAATAAGATTTAGCAGAAACTGTTTTATGCTGTGTTTTTTTCTTTTAATTAGAGTTTTTATTTTGTTTATTTTAATATAAAAAAATCTGTATCAATATGGCCCTTGTCAATTTTGTTAATCATTGAAAAAAAATATTTACTGGTCATGGAAGTCATGGAAATTGAAATTATATTGTTGGTGGGAACCCTGCATAGGGCAGTCTTCATCATTAATTCTATAGTCTATATATTAGAATAGAATTATATTATAGTGTTGCCAACCTCTTTGAACACTTTTTTAGTAGATTCCTTAAGAAATGCCGGTAGAGATGAAATTTGGTTAATTTTTTTATTAAAAAAACTCATGTAAATAATAATAATAATATAAATAATATTCAAGAGGAATTGAACCTTCACATTGACAGAGTTGTTGTTTTGAGTGCGTTCCACCAACTTAAATACCGACAGACAGCTGTTTCGACCTATATTGGGTCTCATCAGTGTCGGGCAACGGTGTAGAGGAACACACCCAAACTGCACAAGTAAGCCAACAGAGGCGAGATGTAAGAACATCACATGATTCATACTGTCTAAAGACGCAGCCACAAAAACTGTGGCGAGGTGAAGGTTTAATTCCTCTTGAATATTACCAGTAATGGGTCAAGAAAGTTTCTTGGAGAAACTAAGAAAATTGAATATAAATAATATGTAGTATATGTAAGTATAATACAAACTAAATATTTATAATATGAATTTTAGCAGTTAAAATTCATAAACGGAAACCAACAAAACGCAGATTTTCCTAAAATTTATTGTAAATTTATATTTATTTTAATTAATAAGTAAATAAGTGAATAAGACCATGATATTCCTTTGTATTTTCGACCGCTAAAACTGAATCTGAACTCTGTTTAGCCCCTGCACGTCTGTATTTTTTCTACAGTGTGTTCCTGGATCAAATTGTAAATAGAAATAACTTTTTATTTTTCGCTTTTAAGAAAATTCTTTATAAATAATCCTGCTTGTTTAAAAAACGAGATTTAGATTAAATTATTAATTATTATTATAATTTTTAAATTAAATGTACAAGATGCTCAAAAAACATAAAAATCCTTGAAGAAAAAAGATGCATTCCTCATAAAAACTCCTGATTGTTGAAAAAATAAGATACCAATACAATAAATTGAATCAATTTTACAGGTTGTTCAAATTAAGAAAACATGAAAGAAGTAGAGAGAAGACTTCTAGGTACTTCTAGACTTAGTACCTACCTTTATTTATTATTTTTTGAAATAATTTTATCTCGAATTTTATAAAAGAAAGTCTTACATTTCAAATTTAAGTTGAGATACAAACTATTTTTTTATTTTAATATTTAATTTAATTTATTTATTTACTCAGAAATTAAGGGAACATGAAAATCTTTTAAGATTTATTAGTTTTTTTATTAAAGTGTATTAACTTTAAAAAAAATAATTTTGCAGACCTGAGTAGCCTAAAAAAACATATTGATGAAGTAAATGAAAAATATTGTGAATCAAACTTTATTATGTAAACATTCTAAAATATTGTTAAAATATGCCCAATTTTAATCAAAAGAAAGCCTATAGGCTAGCTAGAGCTTATAAGCTCTAATTAGAATGTTGACACTTGTGATATAACAACTAAGATAAATGAGGAGTGATTTTTCAAAAGGCCTTATTTCCATTTTTACTTGAATGTAATTTTTTGTGACAAAATCCCAAATAATAAAAGGTATGGTTAAAAGGCATATATTAACGGCGAAATATGACAGCAGGTCTGAAGTATTATTAAATATTCATTAGAATTTTTTTTTAATAATCTATGTTCCCTAACCTATACAGGTTATAGTCATTTTTTTGAAAAATTGTTGCAAATGGAAATACGACCTTTTGAGAAATCACTCCTCAAATAAACTAAATATTTCAACAGGAAATGCAATTATTCTGATTTAACAAAAACATTTTGAATCACAACATAAATTTACTAAAAAAATAACTTTTGGAATAACTCTTTATTTTTAGGGGTTTTGTTGGCAAAATGTTGGCTTACCGGTTCCCTATGCCTAAACGATAAAAAACATGTAGACAAACGTGTGGAATATTACCAACAACTAATAAAACTGGATCCTCAAAGAAAAGGACAATATGAAGACTATCTTAAAGCTGCAGAAACCAAAAAAGCTGTGGGTGATAATTAACATTTTATTTATATAATTATGCAACAATTTTATACACTAAGTTTCCTTTTTTGTAATTCCATTTCTACTTTTTGTTGAACTTTTTCTTCATCTATTTGCACCTGCAATTTTATTGTTATGTATTATGATTATTGAATACATTTTTAAAGATACTCACTGATTCCATTAGAGTGGTGAATTTGTTGTTGTTTTCTTCCTTGCCTAAGGTTTGCAGGTATTTTTTTCTTAGGTAAAGGACTGTGTCAATGTGGGTTTTATGCTTGATTGCCAAATCTAATGCTCTAAAAAGGCAATTTAAAATTAAAAGCATTTCTATGCAATTGACGCTTTTTTTAAGCGTGAAGATATCAAATAGATAATTTTTTAAACAAATATTAGAAATATTCCCCAACACCAAAACAAAACACAAAGTGCCTAAAGTACTTTCCGCCAACGATGTTAGCATCTTCAAAAGCAAAGTTTAACTAAATCTGACTGCTAATCTCTAAATAGCAACTCTAGTTTATATAAATTAGTTTGTTAGTTTCTCTTTACGTGTTTACTGAAGCGGTTACGATCCACGTTTTATAAGCTGTTTTCGGCCATGGTTCAGTCAACCTTAGCTGATAATTAGTATAAATATGGTAGATTTAGCAGTTTTAGTGTAGTTTTAGGAGATTTAGTTACACTTCACTTCTAAAGATGCCAACATCGTTGGCGAAAAGTATGTTAAGCACTTTGTGTTTTAATGTATTACTAGATAAAAACAAACCCTGTTTTTTGAGTTTCAGGCATTTATTTCAATTTTATTTTGACAATTGTTTCGATAACACAGTAGCTTCTTCAGAAATGATTTTAAACTTTATCTAATAACAAACTTATATAACAGTTATTGAGTTTTTATTAACAAATTTTATATAATATTAGAATAAATTTAACAGAGGGAAAATATTAGTTTCTATTTGATAATTGAGGATAATATCAAATTTTTTTTATTTATTAATTTCTATTGATTCTTTTTGAAGAAATTTGACAGATGTCTTGTCTTAGTGCCCAAGTATGTGATAATGTTGTATGTGGGGTTCTTTTGTATTGGAAAGACATGATTTTTAGCCATTTTCAGTTTTTTGTTAGATGGTATATTATTATTTAATTGAGCGCTATATGCGCAGAAAAAGGTACGAAGTTAAACTTCTTTGAATCATTGCAATAACTGTTATTAGATAAAGTTTGAAATCATTTCTGAAGAAGCTACTGTGTTAGCGAAACAATTGTCAAAATAAAATTGAAATAAATTCGTGAAACTTATAAAACATGTGACATGGAGTTTCATCAAGTAAAGGTGGAAACAATAAAATACTTTATGTTTTGTTTTGGTGTTGGGGAATATTTATAATATTTGTTTAACATATCACCAAAATTGTGCTTTTTCAAAGATAATTTTTTGTCAAACTCTAACCAGGAACGGACTCAAAATTAAATTAAATCTTGAAAGGCTGTTTCTCTCTTATTTGAGTTTTGATAAAAAAGTTATTTGAATTTTAAGTCTTGAAATATTTCTTTTTTTGATTTCTAAAAAAAGTGTAAACTTAAAACTCCCTGTTTTAGTAGTTTACCTTGTCCAGTTATGCAATTGTATGTTATCATAAATGGTTAAAAAAACCATTCCATTATGTAACAAAATTGATTCAGCTTCGTGAAATTGGCCACCTAATTGGGCCATGCAGGCCTTTTGCTGCGCCTTGGAGGGTAAACTCTAAAAAATAAATGTTTTAAATAATTGTGATGCATCATGCATCATACGTGTAAAAATTATAAATTCTTACTTTAATATGTTGAATATAAAAAACTTTATCATAAAAGTTGATGTTGGCATAAGCTTCTTCAGCTATATCAAAAACATCAGAATTTGATTGAGTCGAAAGAACAGCTAAGCAGGCCCATAATGTAGTTTCATTTGTCGTTCTACATAAATTAAGGGCTTCTGACCATCTGTTATCTTGAACATACTTGTGCAATAATGCAGGGAAAGGGGATATTGGCACATTAATCAAAGACCCATCAGCTCTTCTAATCGAAACAGAGTTACCAACAAAATCATTTATTCTAGGACTTCTGCCTAGTTCCGGTGAATCATAGGTCATCAAACACATTTTTAACAATTTCTGATTAAAAGAAGCCGTAGGACAGTACCACACAATCAACTGCGTGTCTTGTATGGCTGCAATTAAATTTTCCTCACTGTTCCATTGGAAAGTGTCGATTTTTCTGCCCAATTTCGAGAAGGCTTTGCTCGAGCTTCTCACGTGGATGATGTAGAGGTCTTTAGTTTTGTCCAATAGAGCTAAGTTTCTTGTTGTGGGCGGTCCCCATTGGTCCAAAGCCAGCTGGATTATTTGTTGGGTGTGTTGGATGAGGCCTGGCGATTCGTTGGCTGATCTGTTTGCTAGATCTATTATATGGGCAACTACAAATAGGTTGTATCAGCATAAATTAATGAAAATTATACTGCAGAACTTACTTTTGTGATCACCAATATCCCTTACTACTAGTGTATCTGGTGATAAACTAATGTGTGATGTTCTTATCATGTCCAAACGCATATTTGGCCATCTTGGGGATGCTATTAATCTTCCTTGGAAGTTATAGATGCCCACAGAACTTTTTTCAACTAATAAAAGGTCCCTAAAATTAATATTGTAGGATGCACTTAAGTTATATTAAAGATTTGTAGTTACTTCTCGCACAACATAAGAAGTATAACACTTCCATCCTTCAAGTCGAAAATAGCAGGCGTGTTCCAATTGGCAGTGTTATAAATGTAACACTGAGTTGGCGTAGTAACCACCAAGTGCGAATACCTCATGGCCATCTGGATAACTCTTTCGGGCAACTCTAGCAACTCCACCGTGTCATCGGTGACGTTTTTTACGGTGACGACTTTTCTTTCGCTGACGGACGCAGTGAAGTTCATGTAGTGCACGTGTCGCTCCACCACGTGGGCAAATAGAACGTGGCCGTTTGCACATGCCGCCGCCAATTGGGTGCCGTCTCCGGACCAGGACATCTTGTAGATGCCGCCAGTGTTGGGTTTTTCTAAGCATCTTGACCACTAAAAAACATTTCTTTAAAGACCAATAGCTTTGTAAATCAAAGGAAATCAGAAACGATTTGCAATGGGATCCTATTGGTGCTGGCAAATTTACAAATCTTAAAAAAATTATAATATTAAAGAAAATTTTTAGTTAAAAAAATTTTGATTCAAGAATAAGTATTGAATAAATAACTGTTGGCTCTTACTCCTGAGTAGTCGCAAAGTCGTAGTGTATTGTAGGATCCTATGGCGAAAAGATCTCCGGCTGGTGCCCAGGCTATGGAGGTGATGTGGTTGTCGTGTGGTACGCTTGAAAAAAGTTGCCTTCCAAAACTGTCCCAAACTCTGTATTTGCAGTCTTCTCCTCCGGATACCAAAAGGTCTGTAGCAGCGCTCCATGCGAGACAAAGTACAAGGCCTTCTTGTGCTTTCCACTAAAATATAACACAATTTGAAAAGCAGTCTTAAAAATTATTAAAGACAAAACTTATAACAATGTTTGTAAAGGAGTTTTTAACTGGCACTCAATATTAATTATTGATCCTTTAGGAGCTTACTTGTAAAGAACATCATAACTTTTTAATAATATTACAATAATATAAATTTTAAAAGTTCTTAGATCACAAAATGTTTGTTTTAAAATTTAAATATCGTCAAAGGAATATAATTGAATGTTTAAGCAAAAAATTAAAAAATTATTAAAAAATATATAAAAGATCTCAAGCTACTTGTTTCTTTTTGCAAAGTTATAATAAAAGTTTTTATTTATTTTATATACTTCAGGCTTTTATTTTCTAAAATTAATAAAAACCATGTCCTTTATAAGTTCTAACGATAATTACTAAAAATAGTTAATATTAATTTTAAACTACGGTATACAATAATAAATATTATTTTTACCGTTTCTTCCTAAAATTCACATCTCCGATCGGCCAAATAGTAAAATGTGGTATACATTTTCAAAAGAAAGTCGCGACCAGTGGGAGATAGAGGAGTTTCATCGACCGTGGAGTAGTGACCAATATTCGCACACAATATTTTATTCAGCTACCGCAAGGAATTTACAGCCAATTTTAATTGATATTTTATCTGACAACTGTCAAGCTGTTTTAACCTCACTTTTTCAATTTTAACGTAAAGCCCGTGAGCGAAATACTATTTCGCCCTTTAAGAAATTGTATTAGTATATTGTAAACATTATAAACACTTATTTCATTTCTTAACTTTATTAACCGGTGGGCGAAATTTAGCTTTGTTACAATTGGAAACAAGTGAGGTTAAAACTGCTTGGCAGATGTCAGATATCAATCAGATTTTTATCAAATTAGATCAGATATTGTCAGATAAAATATAAAATAAAATTGGCTTTAAATTCCTAGTGGTAGTTGAATAAAATAGTGTGTGCAACTCCACGGCAACTCCATGCTCGACGAATCCCCACTAGTCGCACAATATACTATTGCATGGAAAAGTTATACTTGGTATGATTTTTTTATTATCACTAGAAAAAAGAGGTTACTTAACATTTTAGTAAACAATACTTCATTTTTTAAAAAATTTCTTTTAAAAATAGGATCTAGATGCCTATCAGCTGATGACCGTTCAGTGAAGAGTGAAGAGGTATATTTAATCAGCGATAACTATTAAAGATTTAAAAAATGTTTTAAACAGATATGTACAAAATTAAATAAATTACAAATTTATTTTTTAACTTTTTGATCAGGGGTCTAATATTAAACACGGAAAAAGCTACAGCATTGCAGACGCGCGCGGAATTATACATGGTTGGTATGGACAATTTGTAATATGTAATTTATTATTAAAATTTACCCTTGTGGAAATTTTTCTCTGAGAAAGTCTCACTTTCTCTGAAAAAGTCTGAATAATACTTATTAAGTCGGAAAAAGTCAGAATAAGACTTATTAAGTCGGAAAAAGTCTGAATAAGTCTTATTAAGTCAGACTAATAGCAAGATTTGGGAGTCTTCTGGAAGAGTTAATAAGACTTTTTAAGACTTTTAGTAGAGAAATGGTAGGTACCTACGGAGATAAAAATAAATATCCGAAATAATTCATAGAGGCTGTATTTGGTTATCGTAAAAAAAAACACATAGAAAAGTATTTATTAACATTTTTGCTGTTGTTATAAGCCAAGTTTATTGCATAATTACCTATGTAATAATTAGGTATAACAATTATAATTTTATACATATGATGCGCTTGACATGCATGCTTCCACCATAGAAAAAGGAGTTGCCACTGTACGTTTTATTTTAATAGTTTCTTTTGATACACGCAAATATTTACCTATTTAAACATTGTTACAAACAATAGACGTAAGACGTAATATCGAGAGACCAGCTTAGCTAGCTGACCAATTAGAGCACAGCTGACCTGTCAGTGGGACACAGTGTTGCCGTTTGCAAGTATTTTACTCGAAAATCGGGTATTTTCATAATATTTGCGGGTGATTTGCAAATTTCTATCAAAATAATAACAAAAGAAATTTTCAGTAAATAATATTGTATATTTACTAAATAAGTATGCACAATTATTTTATTCTATCTTGTTACATTTTTATTAATATTTTAGTATTTTGTAATTTATGGTCAGGAACTTTTATGGCAACACTGTACGAAAACACGAAGATCAACCATGATACAAAGATGAATGCCTAGACCAAACAGGGATGGTCTAGGGATGAATGAAACACGAAGATCAACCATATTTGTTATGTTCTGTGCATATTTGTCTTACGAGTCTATCGAAAATATCATGTCTATAGACTTGATATTAACTCCTTTTTCTATGTTGGAAACAATGAAAGCATGTTAAGCGCATCGTATGTATAAAATTATAATTGTTATAATTATTACATCTTACCTATGTCAGTATATAGGTAATTATGCAATAAACTTGGCTTATAACAACAGCAAAAATGTTAATAAATACTTGTCTATGTGTTTTATTTTACGATAACCAAATACAACCTCTATGAATTATTTCGGATATTTATTTTTATCGCCATAGGTACCTACCATTTCTCTACTAAAAGTCTTATTAAGTCTTAAAAAGTCTTATTAACTCTTCCAGAAGACTCCCAAATCTTGCTATTAGTCTGACTTAATAAGACTTATTCAGACTTTTTTCGACTTAATAAGTCTTATTCTGACTTTTTCCGACTTAATAAGTATTATTCAGACTTTTTCAGAGAAAGTAAGACTTTCTCAGAGAAAAATTTCCACAAGGGTAGACTTTGCCAGTGTCGAAGCTTGCGGGTATACAAAGTAGACAATGGCTACCCAAAATAATTTGAACCAATTTAAAGATTTGAGTGTTTTATTTTACACTTTTGTTATTCTAATAAACATGTAAAATAATTTAAAAACATATCTTTATTAAATATTCTAACCTGCGAAACATTATTTCATTTAATAAAACACTTCAAAAAGCATAGGGTAGAGAAATTTAAATTTGTCTCGCTCGAGAAATCATCAACCTATAACAATTGCCGACATCTACCGTAATCGAACGAATAACCTACCGAGATAGGTCGCTATTAGACAAAATGATTGTTGTCAGCGTAGTTATTAACTTTAACACGTGTCCCTTATAAACATAAACTTTATGGCTGGCTTTATTGTTTTAATTTTAAGGCGTGGCCACCGTTACAGGCTAACGTAGTTATCTATAGTAGTTATATATATATACTGGTACACGGGTCATTTATGATTATAAAATTAGTGGCTGGCTGCATTGTTTTAAATTTATTTTAAAACATGCAGAGTGCACTCTTTAAAATTTAATGTAGGTATATATGTATTTTTTACTCAGTTTAAAAATGGGTCACCTAGGGTACCCAATTGTATATTTAAGTACCCTTAAATTTTCTACTTTTTCCCTCGAAGAAAAGTTGGGATTAAAATGGTAGCAAAAGAAACCCGAATTAAATATTTCTCAAAGAGATAGAAACAAGGTCCGAAAATTTCCGTTTATAGGTCAATTCTGGGTTCTCTCGTAAAATTTCTGTAAATTCGTAAATCTATAGCTTACGATGATCTGTAACTATAATGCTTATAGAATCGTAAAAGTAGCAATTCTGGGATGTTATCTGTAAATGTATAATTTAAAGTAGTATAAACGAACTACACTGAGAAAAATGTATGTAATTTTACACAACTTTCACACTAACTGAAGTAGTAAAAAATTACAAATTTTTGGTAAAAGTACATATTTTTGTGTTTTTAAGAAGATATATGTGTGAAATTAGATAAAAAATGTAAATTTACATATTCTTATAAAAGTACATAACATATAATGTGAATTTTATAAAATTTTAAAAGTACTATGTAAAATTTACATTTAAAAGTAAATTCTACATAAAAATATTAAATATTACATATTATAGGTCACATTTACACATTTCATGTAAATATTAACCAATAGGATTTGAGCATTAAGTCACGCGATGCGGCACAAGCGTATGTAAACGAAACGAACATTTTGTTGGCTGAGTTAGGACGCGTCGTGTAGTGTTTATAGTTGTTTTTTCGTATTATTTGGTAAGTATATTAATTATAAATAAGGAGCATAAAAGAAGAAACTATGATGCCATCAATAAAATGAGATTTTCCCAATATTAATTGATATATTTTACTTAATTTTATTTAAAGAATTGCCTATTCATAAGTTATATTATTTTATTTAAATAAGTTTAATTCCAATACTATAGTATATTAAACATCTATCCAGTAAAAACAAAATATTTGGTGCTTTGATGTCAAGTGGTAAAAATGCACGTGTTTACAAATTAATATCTAGTTTAAGCAATAATTTTAGTTTAAAGAAATATTTTATTATAGGCTAATTTTACTTTTTTTTCAGATCCAAATATTTTTTATTGAATAAATATTATTTATTAGAACAAATAATAATAGGTTAGATTTTAGATTAAATAGGTAGGTATGTCTTCGCAACGTACCCAAAATCTAATATTTCCACGCCACCGTTTGAGTCAGTATGAGAAAGGTTGTTACTATGCATGTATAAAATGTTTTAATCATTTGCCAAAATGCCTTCAGATTGAAACAAAATTGTCAATATTTAAAAAAAAGCTTAAAGATTTGTTAATAAATAATATTTATTTATTTATTAAATATAGAACCATATAGTTTAGAAGAATTTCAAAATAGATCAATGAATAATTGATACAATTGTTAGTTTATCAATGCATTTATCCTTTGCTTTTGACATTTTTTTTCCATAATTGTATATGTGTGTAAACTGTAAACAATTATTTGAAAATAAATTATTATTATTATTATTAATATTATTAAAATAAATCTTAATTTCTATTAATTTTTATATAAATTTGTTATATATATTTGTTATATGTACTATATATTTGTATTTAAAAAATGTTAATTTATTATTGT